ACAGACATCAACATTAATCAGCAGTAATTAGCATTTTCTTTCAATTGACTGTGATCTTAACAAGTCTTTCATCCTGTGTAATAACAAATAGTTACATACACAACAGTACAAGCCGATCCCCAGGCTGATACATACAAACTCCACTTCTACAAGATGGTTCCAGCGCTCATCAAGGAAGCCAAAACTGTTTCGAGGCAAGTGTGTCTGGTAGATGAACAGAGTCTTGCCCGTTGGCAATGCACCAAGTATCAACGGTCACAGTGACGCCTCTCTTCACTATGGGAGCAACTTCAAGACGGTACCATCACCACCTCATTCTTCCTTCGTGCCGTCGGACACATGTACGACATTCCTGTGCCAGACCCAGAACCAGAAGAAGACACTGACAGCGAGTGATTTAATTGACATTGAGTGAACTGTATGACTTGTACTATGTTAGTGCATATGTGGCTACAATCTATATGTTTATATAACATTTATTTATTAAATGCTTCATGAGTATTCTTTATGTTTAGAATAATATATATAGTGCGTTTGTTCTTGGTGAGCTAATCAAATTGAACAATTATAGTGCTGTTAGTTCTATATATTATATATGTACTGCGTATGATAGTTACTGTATATGTTATTGTAGTGCTGCAAGTGTGACCCCTTTTATATTATGTAAGTGACAGTGTAACTGTTAGTGTAAATGATTTAAGTGTTATATATATTTATGTGAGTGTCAGAGATAGTGTGTTTGTTAGTGCGTATGAATTTATTGTTATATTATAGTAGTGATGGTATTATATTTTAGAGAGTGAAAATGTGCATTCAGTGTAATTATTTTGTTATTATCTTGCAATAAAGAATAATGGATACTCATATAACTTGTTTTTTTTTTATCTACACACAACTATTCAAAATATTGTCAACTTAAAAAAAATATATTGACTATATTCGATATTACAAAAAAAAGAATGTGTTATAGAAGCCTCTGATGTTACCTGAAAAAAAAATACAATTAATTATTATAACACATAACACCAAACAAAAGATCAAACTATAAAGACCTTGTTGATTACGTAACTTTAATCAATCAGGATTTGATTGAATTAAGTGATTACTAGTGGCATTACCTTAGTTCACAATCATCAGACAATTGTTGAATAAACAAACCAATTATAGACTAATGATTTGATTAAACAAGTCATTATGATGAGTTAAAATTTATAGGTTCCCTTGGACAGTAAATATTTATTTAGCTATTCTGTGTGTGAATTAAATAAAATAAAAATCGCCATGACATTCAAAGTTATCATGGAAAATAACTTCATATTAATATGTTGAAGCTGCTATACAAACAGACACAATCACACTCATTTTCGTATCGATTTAAAATAATTCTTTGACTGGTACTCCAATACTTCACTTACCTGTTGTCATCCATCATCGATACTTTTTACAAATTCCATTTATACTGTTAAAATTTGTCACAAAATCCTCCAAAGTCAATATAGTTTATTCATATTTTATTATGGGGCCGGATCGACGTAGGGACGGATCGACGTGGGCCGGATCGACTTGGGACGGATCGACTTTGGGCCGGATCGACTTGGGGCCGGATCGGTTTGGGGACGGAACGACCGGATACCGGGCAAGTCGATTCTTCATACTACTTGTCCGATAAGAGAAGTGAAAAATCGATGTCAGATGTAAAAATAAATCAAATTCAAGACTTTAATTCCCCAAAAATTGAATGCTTCTTTTATTGATCATGTACGAAATGAATTAAATATTCATTGATTGAACATGCTGGCAGCGGCTGACCAGGGGAATAAAAGTAAGGGGGAAAGAAACCAATGTTAATATGCTGGGAAGCTTTCTTCTTCTTCTTAGTATAAGCCTCCTTTAATTAGGAACACCTCCATATGGAGTTTTTACTTTAACTTTAAAGTTTTTTCCAAAATATGTACAGCACATAAATATTAATAATAAAAGATAAAAGTGTCATGCATGGCATATTTACAGGGACCTTTTAAATACAAATTAATTTACCATATATTCACTAATATAAGTACCTCAGTTTTATTTATAATTAAAGTATGTTTCATTTCAATTTGTTTTTATGCATTAAAATATGTTAAAAAGAGGTTTTATTTAATAAGATCTATATATTAAAATGATAAGTTAAGATGTAATTATGCTTTCATATCGAAAGGATAAATCCTGAGAGATCCTGGTCACCAGAATATCGATCTCTAACATGTTTTAATCGGCTGAAATTAACTGTCGTATGCATTGCATTGTTTACCTGCTAGAAAGTAACAAAGTTTAAATTGATCTAAGAAATGTCATGTTTTCATAAGGTGGTGGTCTACAGGAAGACCAAAGCATCCTTGGTTTAACCCATACAACTTCTACAGAATGGATAGGTCCATAAGAGAACCTAGTGATTTGGGAAGTGATAATGATTTAATTATCGACACATGATAGTGACATTGAGTCGGGGAACTCAGTCTTGCATCATTCTTTATTTAGTTACAAGCAAATTCATATAGCATAACAAACTGCTCCCTTCATCAGGTACGATCAAAGCTCAAGTGTTATTGTTGCATACCATCAATATGTAAGATTTTCAATTTTGAAATTGGACAAGTGAGTTAAGAGTTCAGACAAGTTGATTTTCTTGCAACTTGTCCCAAGGGACAAGTTAGAAAAAATGATAATGTAGAGGCCTGTAGTTTCAGAGATATAAGCAAATAAACTGCTTAGCTGAGCGCAGCTGGATACGCCCGCAGAGGTCCAACCCTGAACAGTTGGGGCAAAAATGGACGCAATATTTCCGCTTGATACAGGTCTGAATTTGGATTGTAATTAAATATTTGACATATTATAGGTTTCTGAATAAATGTAGTCAAAGAACTTGAAATTGGTTATATGAATTGAATTTATATTCAATTAAAGATTTCTTGTGCAATACACTGTGCTGTTGCGCAATACTTAGTAAATCTGTTGTCAGACTATAAACAAACAATAACTTCTCAATGTTATATCAGAAATTTATAAAAAAACTAAAGGGAGGTTATCTTAATAGATATAAATCAGTCATCAAAGTTTAATGAAAACTGCTCTAAGCACTTTAAGGATATTGTCCAAAAACTTGAAAATCACCCCTTTTTTTATGAATAAAATCTTATAACTTGGAAACGTTAAATCTTAAATTTATAAAAATCAAAAGGGAGCTTACAACAATAGATATAAACAATTTACCAAAGTTTCATAAAAAATGCTGAAAGCATTTTTGAGTTATTGTCCGAAAACTGGAAAATCAACCTTTTTGTAAAGAATAAAACCCCATAAATAAAAAAATGTATAATCTAAAATTAATAAAAATCAAAAGGGAGCTCATGTTGATAGAAATGAACAATTCACCAAAGTTTCTTGCAAATTGGTGAAATTGTTTTTGAGTTATTGTCCGAAAACTGGAAAATCCCCCCTTTTTTAATGAATAAAACCCCAAAACTCAGAAACTGTAAATCCGAAGTTTATAAAAAACGAAAGGGAGCTCACATCAATAGATATAAACAATTCACCAAAGTTTCATACATATTGGTTAAAGCGTTTGTGAGTTAATGTCCGACATGTTGACGACGGACGGACAGACGGTCAACGGTATACCATAATACGTCCCGTAAACGGGCGTATAAAAACTGCATTTATACCTCTGTTCTAATTTTAGCAATATCAGTCTGATGGTTGGCAGGCGTGTCATCGGACACATTTTATAAACTAGGTACCCTAATGATGATTGGTTAAATTTGTCTAAGTAGTTTCAGAGGAGAAGATTTTTGTAAAAATTACAAAAATTTACAAAAAATTGTTCAAAATTGACTATAAAGGGCAGCAACGCCTTAAGGGGTCAATTGACCATTTTGATCAAGTTGACTTATTTGTAGATCTTACTTTGTTGAACATTATTATTGCTGTTTACAGTTTATCTGTATCTATAATAATATTGAAGATAATAACCAAAAACTGCAAAATTTCTTTAAAATTAACAATTCAGGGGCAGCAACCCAACAACAGGTTGTCCAATATGTCTGAAAATTTCAGGGAAGATAGAAATTTTACCCCTATGTTCTATTTTTAGCCATGGTGGCCATCTTGGTAGGCGGGGCGGGTCATCAGACACATTTGTTAAACAAGATACCCCAATGATGATTGTGGCTAAGTTTGGTTGAATTTGGCCCAGCAGTTTCAGAGGAGAAGATTTTTGTAAAAGTTAACAGATGACGGACGACGGACGCCAAGTGATGAGAAAAGCTCACTTGGCCCTTTGGGCCAGGTGAGCTAAAAAAGAAGATGTGGTATGATTGACAATGGTACAACACTCCAAAAGAGACCAAATGACAAAGAAATTAACAGCTAAAGGTCACTGTATGGCCTTCAACAATGAGCAAAGCCCATACTGCATAGTCAGCTATTTTTGCCTGTTTTGTGCATTATCCTCTAAATCTCAATTCCCTTTCAACATTTTTTTTATGCAGGTTCTACCCATTACATCTTTTACCTGATTCTAATTGATAACTCCTCATTATTTACCTGATTCTAATTGATAACTCCTCATTATTTACCTGATTCTAATTGATAACTCCTCATTATTTACCTGATTCTAATTGATAACTCCTCATTATTTACCTGATTCTAATTGATAACTCCTCATTATTTACCTGATTCTAATTGATAACTCCTCATTATTTACCTGATTCTAATTGATAACTCCTCATCTTTTACCTGATTCTAATTGATAACTCCTCATCTTTTACCTGATTCTAATTGATAACTCCTCATTATTTACCTGATTCTTATTGATAACTCCTCATCTTTTACCTGATTCTAATTGATAACTCCTCATTATTTACCTGATTCTAATTGATAACTCCTCATTATTTACCTGATTCTAATTGATAACTCCTCATTATTTACCTGATTCTAATTGATAACTCCTCATTATTTACCTGATTCTAATTGATAACTCCTCATTAAGTGTATTTATTTGCTCTTTACACTCATACAAAAGCTTCTCCAGATGGTCTGCATTGTTTGTAAGGCTTTCTTCTCTGAAAAACAAAACAAATACCGATCTAAAAATCTTTTTTTTTTTTTTTTTTATTTAAAATTTCTCATTTAATGTCATACACATTTGCATATAAAATATAAATAACACATACCTGAAAGGGTGATAGAGCAGATTGTTACCCCGGGAAAATCATTGTCAACTCAGGCCAGGCGAAACCAAGATTGACAATTTTTTTCAAGGGGGACCAATCTGATCTATTACTCTCTTAGATATGTGTTAATAAATTTATCATACTGAATCTCCTATCATTATTGTATTTTACTGTTGAATTTTAAATATAAAATATTTTACAATGACGTTATGTACATGAAAACCTTGCAAGTTTTAGAAAAAACAACAGAAGTGAAAAAAATTTGTTTTATTTTTTATTTTGACAGTTTATAAAAAAGTTCTGAGTCAAAACGTAGAACTTGAGCATTGTTTTTAATAATATATTGTCCTACAAATCTGTATTGGTCAGCACTATTCATATTACCACAAATTTTTAGAAAATCTTTTTTAATTTCATATGAAATGCAAATTTCGAAAATTTTAGCAAGTATATAATCCAAACTTATTGATAATCGTTTATCAACAGCTAATTAATGATCCAATCAATATATTCCTTGTTAAGAGAACATGCACATGCGCAGTAATTCAGTCCTATTCATGGCTGATATCTGGTGACGTGCATTGTATTACGTCTGGCCCTATCAACGAAGTATTAGATTGGGTCAGGAAGCCAGGCTACATTCATATCAATACAATCAGAGTTGTGCAACTTTCTAATTTTTCTAAACAAGCATGTTTCAAAATTCGTAAGGGTTTCACAGAACCAACAGTCTCGCCTACTTTTGCTGTTAGTCTCAGGCTCACCAAAAATGGGGAAAAAATTATTAAAAATTTTCCTCTAGATACTATCTTTTGATTGTAAGAAGCTTCTGTCCGAGTTGGTAAAAATCGAGGATGGTTTATGAATCTAATAAATGTTTTAAAAACTTTAACTGCAGACTGTAAGTAACGTTAACTGGAAGAAAAACTAAGTCCATATATAAGTAATATATGGAAGAACAGGAAATAAATTTTTATATAAAATTTCCTTCTAGATACTAGCTTTTGATCATAAACAAGCTTCTGTCCAAGTTTGGTACAAATCCAGGATAGTTAAAGAAAGTTATTAATTTTTTTAAAACTTTAACCTCAGTGAATGTAATGTTAACTGGCAGAACAACTAAGTCCATTTATAAGTAAATTACAGAAAAACAAGATTTTTTTTTTTACAAAATTTACTTATGGATACTATATTACAATCATAAACAAGCTTCTGTCCAAGTTTGGTACAAATCTAGGACAGTAAAAGAAAGTTATTAAAATTTTTAAAACTTTAACCACAGAGCAATGTAATGTTAACTGACAGAAAAACTAAGTCCATTTATAAGTAAAATATGGATAAACAGGATTTTGTTTTTACAAAATTTACTTCTGGATACTAACTTATGATCATAAACAAGCTTCTGTCCAAGTTTGGTAAAATCCAGGATAATTTAAGAAAGTTATTAAAATTTCAAAAATGGTGAATATTTCTGGATGCCGCTGCCGCTGCGGAATGTAGGAACTCTATGTCTCACTTTTGTGACAAAAGTCGATAAAAGTCGCAGTCTCGACAATAAATGTTTAAGATATTACTGAGAGTCTCCCAATATTTGTTTCCAAAAAAAATGAATTTGACATGTTGGTACACTTATGATGTAGATTCAAGATTAAAAGTTTTTTTAAAGTGGATTTTCAATAAACTTCATAAACTCACAAGTTCCTAGTGAGCTTTTCAATTCGACTGAATAACAAAAAATATAGACACATCCAAAGGACATGAAAACAACACAATTATTAACTTACAGTGCATTGTAAGATACAACGAATGACATATAAAAGTTAAATAGAACTGTGGATTCATTTATTTTCGTGGATACCAATTTTCATGGACTCAGGGAAAATTGTATTTTTGTGGATTTTGATTTCATGGTTTTGCCAATGTTTGCATACAAGCATATAGAAAATTTGTACTTCTTTGAACATTTGAATTAGTGGTTTACTTCCACCCATGAAATCCACAAAAAAATGGTATTCCATGAATCCACAGGATGCAAAATAAAGCATATTTAACACATAGCATAAGTTTGAATGATAAACACAGCAGATAATAGCATCTTAAAAAGTTAAACAAATCAAATAGTCACACACACAAAAATCAAAAACAAAAAAGCAGTCAAATAAACAACATATGCATGCACTTCACTGGCATAGCTGTTATTGGGATCCCATGTTTGTAACATGTTTTTGAATTAGTCAAAAGATGTTTCCATTCAACATTGGTTAGGCAGCTCATTCCAGATTTGTGCAGCATTATAGTCAAACAATCTTAAACCATACCTGGTAGTTCTGACTCTTGTGAGTGCTGCTGTGTCATGTGATCTTAAATTATATTTCCGAGTTTTGATATCCATTACTGTGACTTGACTATGGGTGTTGCTGTTTACTTTTACCTATTGTTCAACCAGATTGTAAAATTGACAATACAATAGGGACATTTAAATTGACCAGTTGGTATTGTTAGAGTTGATGAATAGATGATCACTCATGCATTTAGAGTCTAACTGGATTCTGTCCTATCACTTAAGGTGGTACCAAACACCTTGACGAAAATTAATTTGGCTCGTTCAATTTTCATAAAATTTTGACAAAATATTTACTTTGACCTTTTGACAAAAATATGAAAATTTCAAAAAACTTGAACCACACACTTTATCGGAAAAATTTCATTGTGGTATAGCAGTTTGACAAATACTAATTTTGATCATTGAGAAGCTTAATATTTAGTTAACAACAGAACATGATTAAAACGTTCAGCTGATTTTTACAGAGTTATCTCCCTGTAGTGTTATGTACCACCTTAACCTGTTCAATTGTTACTGTTGTAGTATAACTGAGATCGGTTTTTCAACCTTATCCATGTGGTATTTAGGCTTCAATTTTTACCTTTGTTAAATAACATATTGTTCATTTAGTTTAAATTAGTATTTATGGTATAAATAAAGCTAGAGTTTGTCCACAAGATGCAAACTTATTTCATGTTCTAATAGACGTATTTACACTTGTATGCAAATTTGTCCGCCATTACGTAAAATCACACAGGTTCCCGTAAACTTTGACATCATAATTCAAAACGTTTGACGTCACAATTGAAAAGTGATTATTGCCCGACTTCAAAAGGTCATTCGGAGGCAAAATATAGCTAAACACCAAAAGTGTAAATACGTTTATATTTGCTAAATACTGCTGATTTAATAAAAAAAAAAATCACTATCCCATGTTTTTCATTAGAGAATCCTAAAACAAGTAAAGGAAAAATAAACATGATAAACATTGAAATTACAGTCTTTTTATCACTGAAATTAGGGTATTCCTAAAAGTAATTGGTCATAAAATTACACAAGAAACACAACATTTAGAAGGAAAAAGAGTGATTTTTTATTTTACTCTCATTTCAAATTTTAGGAGTGAGCATTTAGCCAAAACAAGAATGTATACTGTAAATTCAGAAATTATTGCAATGTTTTTATTATTGCGAAAAATGCGACAGGGTTATAATCGCAATAATGTAAACTCGCATTTCAAAATTTTTTATATGAATTAAACAGGATTTTTCTCAAAATTGCATGTTAGTCTAAAATAACGAAATCGCAATAATAAATGCACTCAATAATTTCTGAATTTACAGTAAATATGTACATGGTTTTGTTTGCAGGGTATTTAATTGCATGTCGTATAATGCACTAACTTTCCTCTCTAATGTTTCATAGCTAAATACTATGAGAGGTTGGATTTCTTTTATAATGTTGAAAAGACCTTTTTTTTTTTTATCTCTTCGGCTTTTTCTAATGGGAGATAACTCAATATAATTTGTTTTTGCTCTTGTGGAAATCTGAATTACATTATAATTTCCATACTGACACTTTGATTAATTAATACTTTAATATTGACATGTTCCTTGTACTCATTGTTTATGCATACTGAAAAATCAAAATTATATTTGAATGAACAATTTTATTTATTTATTGACACTGATAAATGACATCTCATCCAGTACTCCAGTTTCACTATTTGAAATGATTTTAAAATATTTTCCTATTTTATTAACTTTTTGGAAATTTTTCTCACATTAGTATTCACTTTGTCACTTAGATTCTTTTTCTATATCCACAGTATATTCTGTTTAAATTCCCATGATATGCATCCCAATTAAAAAGGTGCAGAATCTTTATATAATTCAGAATTTTGTAATTTTTGATCATTTCCATAATTATATTCCAAATTAATATCCTCACTGAAATATTTTGGAAAATATTCATATTTTTCACTAGATCACTTGATTTGACTATATACACAGTATTCATATTTGATTTCATTTCCTATGATATATTTCCCTATTATACAATATAAGATCCAGAATTTTAGAATGATTATTTCCAATTTCACATTCACATAAAAATTATCCTCATGTTAGGAATATTTTGGAATATTTTACTTTTATTTTCACTTTATCACTAGAAAAGACTATATCCACTGCAATAATTTAACAATTTTTTTCATTTCCATGATATATATCCCACAATATTGTATACACATTGATACCAATAGCATACCTGCCAACCTCTGAAACCTTCAAAGAGGGAGATCTCCCCCTCAGCTATCACAGCTGAGGGGGAGATTTTGCGTGAACGACATTTTCAAGTGAAATATATGACGTGTTTATTTATTTATCTACGAAACACATATAAGAGTTTATAGATATACTTTGTTTCTTTAAATATGGTTATATCCTACAGAAGGTGTGTTGTTTGTTTCTTTCCTATTTCATCAATTTTGACATTTGAATCACTTCCAGACAACTTTCACCCCAGACACCTCTGTTATAAGAGAGCATTCATTTTGTCACAGGTGCATTTTGTGTGTGCACTTATCTATTTGACTAAAATTGGTTCAATACATATCTTATTAATTTCAATATAAACATTGAATAGAAGTATAGATCTTTTAAGTGATTTTTAAAATATAATTATTTTTTTTGTCTTAAGGCATACAAAATCTTTTAATTGCCCTTCTTTTATGATTCTTTGTTCAATTGCATTTAGTTTATATTGTTTTATCAATTCACATTATTTTAAGAAGGGTAACTTAAAACAGGATTAAACAGGGGAAGTAACCCGAAATTTCTTTGAAGAGTTTTGCTTCAAAAGTCGTTAATTATAGTTAATTATATATAATTAGTACTATGTTTGACACCCAAGCTGTCAAGTGAAGCCATTAAATTTCACATGGTCTGTGATTTACAGGTAATTACAACCCTAATAAGTGAGACAAAAACGTAATTACTGTTGACTTGTCATTCAAGGTTAAAATATCCCAAAGGGGAGATTCTTTACTCCCGCGCGGGAGGGTACCGGCAAGCGGGAGATTTCCCGTTTTTCGCCATTTGAGCGGGAGTCTCCCGCTCAAAACGGGAGGGTTGGCAGGTATGCCAATAGATTTCAAACAATGAAAATAATAATCCAAAATGAAAATCTTGAATGGGACTTATGAAGAAAAGCACAACATATCCATCTGAAAATTGAAACTGAAAAGACCTAAATAGCTATTTCTTGTTTCACTGACAACTGGACAATACTATGTATAAGGGTTAAAATTTAAAAGAATCATTTTTTATGGAAATACAGTTTTAATTTTCATACATATTAACATGCAGTTAATAAAATCTTTTACTGATTTCGACTTTTGGTAAAAATCAGATCGATCATCTATATTGGAGATTTAAAATGATGAAAACAAAAAATATTTTCTTCCCTATCAATTTTATATTAGAATAATCCTAGGTGAAAAAACTTCAGGAAAAAAGCATGCTGTAAGTTTGGGTTAGGTGAATAAAACTAAAGGCTCTCAAGAGCCTGTGTCGCTCACCTGATTCTACTTTGGTTTTGGAAATCATGTAAAAATAGATTAAAATCATAACAGATACCCTAATAATGAGTGAGGCCAAATTTGGTTTAATATTGGTCCTGTAATTTAATAAAAAAATCCTGGTGGCCATCTTGAACAGTAAATCGGCAACAAAGTAGCAACACTTAATCAGCACCTCATAAGAAACATTTATGCCATGTTTTCGTTTCATTCCATTCAGTTCACCTCTAGAAGAAGCATTTGTATGTATTTCCCATAGGGTCTTATGTTTAAGGAAGTCCCCCCATTGGCGGCCATCATGGATGAAGGATCAGCTTCAAAGTAACAAAACTTAGTCAGCACCTCATAAGGAACATTCATGCCATGTTTGGTTTCAATCCATTCAGTATGTGGTTCTCTAAAAGAAGACATTTGTATGTTTTGTCCATAGGGTCCTTTGTTAAACATTGTCCCCATCTGGAAGCCATCATGGATGAAGGATCAGCTTCAAAGTAACAACACTTGGTCAGCACCTCATAAGGAACATTCTTGCCATGTTTGATTTCATTCCATTCAGTGGTTCTCTAAAAGAGGACGTTTGTATGTATTTCCCATAGGGTCCCATGTTAAACTAAGTCCCCCGCTGGCGGCCATCTTGGATTATGGATCGGCTTCAAAGTAACAACACTCAGTCAGCACCTCATAAGGAACATTCATGCTATGTTTGGTTTCATTCCATTCAGTGGTTCTCTAAAAGAAGACATTTGTATGTATTTCTCATAGGGTCCCATGTTAAACTAAGTCCCCTGCAGGCGGCCATCTTGGATTATGGATTGGCTTCAAAGTAACAACACTCGGTCAGCACCTCATAAGAAACATTCATGCCATGTTTGGTTTCATTCCATTCAGTGGTTCTCTAAAAGAAGACATTTGTATGTATTTCTCATAGGGTCCCATGTTAAACTAAGTCCCCTGCAGGCGGCCATCTTGGATTATGGATTGGCTTCAAAGTAACAACACTCGGTCAGCACCTCATAAGAAACATTCATGCCATGTTTGGTTTCATTCCATTCAGTGGTTCTCTAAAAGAAGACATTTGTATGTATTTCCCATAGGGTCCAATGTTAAACTAAGTCCCCTGCTGGCGGCCATCTTGGATTATGGATCAGCTTCATAGTAACAACACTTGGTCAGCACCTCATAAGGAACATTCATGCCATCTTTGGTTTCATTCCATTCAGTGGTTCTCTAAAAGAAGACATTTGTATGTATTTCCCATAGGGTCCAATGTTAAATTAAGTCCCCTGCTGGTGGCCATCTTGGATTATGGATCAGCTTCATAGTAACAACACTTGGTCAGCACCTCATAAGGAACATTCATGCCATGTTTGGTTTCATTCCATTCAGTGGTTCTCTAAAAGAAGACATATGTATGTATTTCCCATAGGGTCCCATGTTAAACTAAGTCCCCCGCTGGCGGCCATCTTGGATTATGGATCGGCTTCAAAGTAACAACACTCGGTCAGCACCTCATAAGGAACATTCATACCATGTTTGGTTTAATTCCATTCAGTGGTTCTCTAAAAGAAGACATTTGTATGTATTTCCCATAGGGTCCAAAGTTAAACTAAGTCCCCCGCTGGCGGCCATCTTGGATTATGGATCGGCTTCAAAGTAACAACCTCGGTCAGCACCTCATAAGAAACATTTATGCCATGTTTGGTTTCATCCATTCAGTGGTTCTCTAAAAGAAGACATTTGTATGTATTTCCCATAGGGTCCTATGTTAAACTAAGTCCCCCGCTGGCGGCCATCTTGGATGATGGATCCGCTACAAAGTAACAACACTTGGTCAGCACCTCATAAGGAACATTCATGCCATGTTTGGTTTCATTCCATTCAGTGGTTCTCTAGAAGAAGTTCAAAATGTAAAAAGTTAACGCCGACGACGGACAACAGACGCCAAGTGATGAGAAAAGCTCACTTGGCCCTTACGGGCCAGGTGAGCTAAAAAGGAAAAGGTAGCATCAAGTTAAACTCAACTCTTACAATACCAACTGGTCAATTTAAATGTCCCTATTGTATTGTAAATTTTACAATCTGGTTGAGCAATAGGTAAAGGTAAACAGCAACACCCATAGTCAAGTCACAGTAAATCATGAAGATAACTAGACTTTTTTTGTAAATTATTTGAACCAATTCCTTCTTTTATTTTAGGAGACTTAATATCTTGATCAGTTTAGATTTATGTTTACAATAATGTTGTTTATAAAGAAAAATAATTAATATTTGGACTAGTAGTACTATTTTAGTGTTAGTCAATACCTTCATAATCCTTTAAAATGTAATTCTAATGCAATTCGTTTGTAACGATAGTTTTCATTGGACGTTGACAAATATTTTGTAGGGTTAGATTCCACATTCTACCAGTCCGTAACTAAGAAAGCCACCATTTTGAATTCCAATTTTTTTGGGGTATGTAATTTCTCAAAAAATAAACAAGAAAGACACATTTTGTGCCTCAAAAACTTCTTTTTGTCAATATTGAAACCATTCTGAAGGCAATTGATTTGACTGTCGCAAATATCAGTTTACCTATCTCCGCGCCCCGTCACTAGGTAAACTCAATTTGCGACAGTAAAATCTACATTTTACAAAGGCCAAGCTTAAAATACAATACAGTTATCTCCTAAATTAAAAAAGCACATAAATAAAATAAAAAATAAACCTACTCATCTGGGTCTGGTTCTATATCTTCATCATTTAATATTTTATGGATCAGATAAATATCTTTCTCTAATCTTCTTTGCTTCTGGACTTCCTCTCTGTAAAATATATGAGTAATTTAAGAGATTTATAGCTATTTTTCCTAATGCATGTAGTTTAAAGATTTGGTTGGCTTGCTTGGTTTGTTTGAATAACTGTTTGCTCAAGCATTGTAGTTATGTTTTAATTTTTTTTCCAATCAATAGATATGTGGGGCTTCAACTTGTATAATGTTACTGGGTGCTTGATCAAACATTTAAACAAACATAGCAAGCAAGCCAACCAAACCTTCAAACTACATACATTAGGAAAATAGCTGTAATTGTTATAAATGTTTGTATCTTTCAAAAATCTATCCTAAGCTTCTGCAACCATTATTTATTTATACTGGTGATTTACTGCTACAAACAGCAAAATGCTATTACCGTTACAGTACATTATCTTCAATATAATAAACAAATGTTACAAAAAAAATAATTGCACAAATATTTTTGTTTAAAAGACCTGTTAAATATTTTAATTACCTGCAGTTATATTAGAGTTTTTCTAATTTCCATCATCATTAAAATGTCTGAAATTTTGCCCCTGGACATATGCAAACAACAGTCAATCAATTTTAGTTTCAACGAGGATAAATTTCCTATTCAAGTCATATTTATAACAATGTTTGATTGTCCTCAGTAAACCCGCTTAACAACTCCTTCATATATTGTCTGATCTTTTAGTGAGGGTAAATTATTTGATAAACATCTTGCAATAACACTGATCTAACTATTCTATGTACCAATATGTTAGAACTCAATTTCCTTATTCATCTTATTTTTATGGTAATTTTGGTTTTCAAAGGATAAATTATATTTGAACCTCTACTGCTGCTAATGTGTTGGTGAGTTGCCATGGGAGTTTTCATCTGGTCTTTGATTGGATATAACTTACCGCACCCTCTCCTGCAGTAACTGTATGGGTGTTTTCTGGTCTTCCATGGGAGATAACTGTAGTTGAAATCTCATACTCTGTAATTTCTCTGTTGTCTCCTTCAAGTTTAAACAAATTCATATATTCACATTTATAGCTATACAGGACTTTTGACATGTCATCATAGTTTATATTGTTTTTCATTTTGTGTAAATAACAAATGATTGACATAATACAATCATTTTAATTTGTTCAACATGTGTTGCAATTTTTGCCTTAATCCCTCTTTTTTCATTCTAATAAAAATGTTCCTGCTCTCAATTTACTTTTGATGACATTGTTAACAAGGATTTATTATAAATAAAAAATTATGTAAATTTATCATTTCCATATATTTTTTTAATCCTGACTTCAAACAATCTCTGTATTGCAACATGACCTGCGTCTTTCAGAGGCACCTGATTTCACCCCTTTATATTGTGGATCATTTTGCTTAATCTCAAGTTTTCTTTGTTGTGTTTTTTTTTTGCCAAAATTTTGTCTGTTTCACTGCAAATTATGGTTTTGTAAATTTTTTAAAAGTTTTTTTCAAAACTTGTTTCCAAATTCCCATATATGACTTTTATGTTTAATTTTACTATTCCTTTGTTTTTTCTTTTTCAACAGGGGCTTAAGTAGTCGAACTACTGTATCACTAGCCAGTCAACACTGAGGTTGTGAGTTTCGAATACCGCACTGGGCAGGTGCACTAGACTCCAATCTTAATTGACTAGGACTGACGGTGGTCCTACCGAAGGTCCGTGGGTCTCCCCATGCACTTTGGCCTCCTCAACCAATAAAAACTAAACACCACGAAACAGCACAATAGTGTTAAAGGTTGTGTTAAACACCAATCAATCAATCATTCTCTTTTCAGGACAGAAAGAGGGAAAATGGGAGAGATCTTACCTTTTTACTTTGTTCTGTATGTAACAACAAATTATTGACTATATCCAAAATCATCAAATACTGGGACTGCAAATGAAAATAAAACAATTATTTACTGATAACAAATGCAAAAGTTTTCATAAAACCAAAATCAAGCAATCAAAAATAATTGTGATAGAGTTACAATAACTTCAAAACTCATTGCTAGTTACAACCTTGATTCCAGTGAGCCATTGGCTCATAAATATTATTTATCTCTTATAGTTTCAAATTTTAAAAAGCACCGATATACCCTCAAATCATAAAAGATTTCAATGTACACCAATACTCTTACATGACGGGTGCCACATGTGGAGCATGATCTGCTTACCCTTCCGAAGCACCTGAGATCACCCCAAATTTTTGATGGGGTTCGTATTGTTCAGGGTTTAGTTTTCTATGTTGTGTTTTGTGTATTATTGTTTGTCTGTTAGTCTTTTTCTTTTTTAGCCATGGCATTGTCGGTTTATTTTTTGATTTATGTGTTTGAATGTCCCTTTTGTATCTTTCGTCTCTTTTTTACTATTTTTTGAAAAAATTCTCAAAGTATTATTTATAAGAGACTTGAAACTTTTATTTGCTTTATAACATTTCTTAATTTTTTTATGTTAGCTTGAAAATTATTCTATGGCCTAAAACATATGCCCCAATTCCTCACAAATATCTTCCTGAAATATAAACAACTTTTGCAAACTAACAATATGGTATACAATTCAACATCAAGAAACTGGATGTACTATTTTTATAAATTACTTACAGAATTTGTACAAATATTGAGATCATGATGTAGTAATGTGAAACTATCCGCCCCTTGTTCTCTAGACATCATATCAGAGTCGTCTGAAGGCTGAAAGATAAATTATTATAATATTTCTTTGAAATCAAAATTATCTTTTTCATGACGAAACAACACTCTTTCATATTTATTCAACTATTATAATATTCCATGTTGATCAAAAGTTTAAAGGCCTTGCATTCAAACTTTGTTTGGATGTGTTTTCAACTATTGTAATAGAGATTTTGTTCGACAATGAACATGGAATATTATAATAACTCTAGTTGTTGCAAATAAGCACTATGGTCTATATTGTGGTAAAATTAAGTTGCATCTGGATTTTTTTATTTACCACCAAGTAAGTCTCAGTGATAAAGCTTGCTTGATGTCTTGTTATTAGCATAAACTTACAGGAGGTGGAACTTCTGGCAGTAAACTGAGATCACATTCTCCATAGGAGGCATAAAATATTTGACATTTACATCTTGATATAATTCTTTGGAGTTGTATACAATCCTTCATCTTGGATTTCTGAAAAGGAATTGGTAAAAGTAACTGTATTAACACTTTTGCAAAAGGAAATAGAATGATTAATAAACAAGAATGTGTCCATAGTACATGGATGCTCCACCCGCACTATCATTATCTATGTTCAGTGGACCGTAAAAGTGGGGTCAAAACTCTTATTTGTATAATTTTTTAAATTAGAAAGATCATATCATAGGGAATATGTGTACTAAGTTTCAAGTTGATTGGACTTGAACTTCATCAAAAACTACCTTGACCAAAAACTTTAACCTGAAGCAGGCACTATAATTTTCTATATATGCATACCTGCCAACTTTTGAAAATCCCCATGGGGGTTTTAGTGTGCGACAATAATTTCTAAGGTTACAATTCTTTGCGACATTTTTTGCGCATGCTGTTTTGTGGTCTAGAAAAAGTGTCATATTTGTATGATGAGCTTATAAGCCCTTTTCTTCTGTTTATTTGCATGATTCTAGTTATTATATCAGTAGAAAAAATAAACATGTAGATAGAATACCAGGATTTGTTTTCTTGTGTAAGAATATTAAATAATTGTTGACTCTTCTAATTCAAAATTATGCACAAAGAAGGACATTTATTTGGTCCTTGTGAAAAATAAAGAATAGTACATTGTACTTTAAATGATTTGGTAATTTAATTTAATACAAATGACAACTGTAGTATATGATATGTTACAGCAAGTGTAATGTCAATAAGTTAGTGAGTAAACTACTATTTATTATCTTTATGGTAGTATTGCATCATTGAATTTTGTCATGCTTTTATTCTTTAGCTGTGTAAGAAGCTCCTTGCAGATGAAAATTCATGTCATGTTCACGATTTTACAGTTCTGACTATACAACACAAGTTCAAAATCTAGGATGTCCCAATAATCTTGAGAGAAAACGTTTTTGATTGGCTTATTAATTTGATCATGAGAAACACAGACTTTGATTGGCTGATCAAGATTGTCTTCCCTTGGGAACAGTTCAAAATCGGGAACAATTATATTTTTCGTGTACATTTTCACAAAATCGTGTTTTAGAGGTTTTTTCACGATCACGATCGTGCAATCGTGACAAGGGGTCAAAATCGTGAAAGTTGGCAGGTATGTATATGTTCAGTGGACTGTGAAATTGGGGTCAAAATTCTAATGTGGCATTAAAATTAGAAATATCATATCACAGGGAATATGTGTACTAAGTTTCAAGTTGATTGGAATTAAATTTCATCAAAAACTACCTTGACCAAATACTTTAACCAAAAACTTTAACCTGAAGCGGGACAGATGGACAAGCGAACGAATGGACTGATAAATAAACGAACAGACAAACGGACGCCCAGACCGAAAAACATAATGCCCCTAAGTGGGGGGAAAAAAAAAAGATGATCTTTTTAAGATCACTACAAGTTTTGTTCAATTTATCAAAAAAGTCTGAAAAACATGGAAGATTATTTGATGCTGATAAAATTTGGGTTTTTTGTATAATTGTTCTTCAGCTAACTGTATTTTTTGGCATGATCCAAAGAAAATACATTTAGTAAGCTCTGAGAAATCTGAAACCACAAGTTCTTCAAGTTCTCTTTAATGAAATTAAATCAGTTAATAAAAGTATAATAAAAGTTTTAATATGAGGAAATACTACAAAATCCTTTAATTTAAAATTCTTTATTTTCTGAATTATCAATATTTTTTATAACCATATGGATGGAGCAATGACCTGAATACTATATTTTGTAATACCTGTTTGGAATGTGGAAAGTAACTATAGACAACACCACCAACACTGTGACCACTGGATACCATTTCTGTCAAACCAGATAAATCTGGTTCAGACCGGTCCTCCACATTCTCAGGAGATAACCATGCCATTTTATCATCATCACACTCTGGTCCAGAATCAACTGTTGCATAATACTAAAAATAGTAAATGTGAAATTTAGGGCATAATGGCCTCCCTTTCACATTTACAGGTTCAGTGACCTGCCAAATCTGATTAAATTTACTTTGAAAAGTTCACATCATAATGAAGATGAAATAACATGGATGAACACATGCAGGCATGAACCAAGAAAGGAGCCTGTAATGCAGTGATTGTCGTTTGTAACTGTATATCATATTTGTTATTCGTTCATTGCTTTGTACATTAATCAGGCAGCTAGTTTTCTCGTATGAATTGTTTTACTTTTGTCATCTAAGGGTCTTTTATAGCTGACTATGAGTTATGGGTTTTGCTCATTGTTGAAGGTCGTAAGGTGACCTACAGTTGTAAGCTTCTATGTCATTTGGTCTCTTGAGGAGTTGTCTCATTGGCAATCATACCACATCTTCTTATTTTCATATGTACAAACCTGAAAACATAATGTCACTCGTCTATCATAGAAAGAGCAAAAAATTAGAAGGGATGTGTGACATTTTAATATAAATTTTAGAGAAACTCTGGTATACTTTACCTGCATACACTCCACAGAGCAAACCCATGTTGTTTTGCTGCGTAGTTGATTGTCTTTCCAGACTGGTACATGATTACATGATAACACCTGGGCATGGGCAGCACTGACAATCACATGACCTGGTGTCTCACAACCTTTTACTATCACCTGACTGTTGTGTAACTCAACTGTAACAGAAAATGAGATCACATGACTATAACAGATGGTAAAGATTATATAAAAACTGGGTATACTGTTTGCAAAAGGAATGAATGGAAACTTTGTGCATTTCTTGATGTCGGTCATTTAAAAATCAACTAATATTATCAATTTACAGTTTCTGGGGAAATTAGGTATGTTTTGATGATGACTTCAGTTAGAGTACTCCAGTTTTTTTTTTGTATAAAAGTTAACTTTATATTGAGTTAAGTTTTTGTTGGTAAACTTAACTAAGTGAGCTACTTTCTCAAGGTAAAATTTTACTTACTGAGCCAGTTTTTCTGAGTAACATCATCTGTCTGACATGCTGCCACACCTTGTAACTGATCCATGTTGACACTTGATGGCTGAAATAAAATGTAAGAATTAAGTATAAATTTACAACTCAAATCATATATGTGTTAACCTGCAATTAGCCAATTCTAAAACCGGCTGAAGGGCCACCCTTAAGAAATTCTTTGTTTGATGTTTCCTACCCATGCATTGCTTTATTAGGTAGGAAAATTTGAAATGATTTGTTGGGTGGCTGGTTCTTCATTGGGTAGGTAGACAACATCAAACTTTTAAAATTTTATTTTTGGCCTAGTCATGCTAGACAAGAGATTGTTTATCAATAGCCTCTAGAAAAGTGTATTTACTCCTATAATAAGTTGTCATATATTATAAGTTTATCTGTAAATGGATTTTATTTGCACATTGAGAAAGGATAAGACAAATGTTATTAAAAGTAAAAGTAAAAAAATCTTCTCATATACAGTATACCAAAATATGTTTTCACAACATGATTTTTTTTCCGTATAATCTCATTTAAAATAGTCAGATGCAGCGCTACTAGATCTTTGAGTAAGATCAGAATTATGTAGGTCATTTGGAGGGGGCCTGGGTGGCAGAGTGGTCTAAGTAGTTCAACTGTTCAACTACTGTATCACTAGCCTGTCAACACTGGGGTTGTGATTTCTAACCTCACAAACTGTTCAACTACTGTATCACTAGCCTGTCAACACTGGGGTTGTGATTTCTAACCTCACAAACTGTTCAACTACTGTATCACTAGCCTGTCAACACTGGGGTTGTGATTTCTAACCTCACAAACTGTTCAACTACTGTATCACTAGCCTGTCAACACTGGGGTTGTGAGTTCTAACCTCACAAACTGTTCAACTACTGTATCACTAGCCTGTCAACACTGGGCTTGTGAGTTCTAACCTCACAAACTGTTCAACTACTGTATCACTAGCCTTTCAATACTAGGGTTGTGAGTTCTAACCTCACAAACTGTTCAACTACTGCATCACTAGCCTGTCAACACTGGAGTTGTGAGTTCTAACCTCACAAACTGTTCAACTACTGTATCACTAGCCTGTCAACACTGGGGTTGTGATTTCTAACCTCACAAACTGTTCAACTACTGTATCACTAGCCTGTCAACACTGGGGTTGTGAGTTCTAACCTCACAAACTGTTCAACTACTGTATCACTAGCCTGTCAACACTGGGGTTGTGATTTCTAACCTCACAAACTGTTCAACTACTGTATCACTAGCCTTTCAATACTAGGGTTGTGAGTTCTAACCTCACAAACTGTTCAACTACTGCATCACTAGCCTGTCAACACTGGAGTTGTGAGTTCTAACCTCACAAACTGTTCAACTACTGTATCACTAGCCTGTCAACACTGGGCTTGTGAGTTCTAACCTCACAAACTGTTCAACTACTGTATCACTAGCCTGTCAACACTGGGGTTGTGAGTTCTAACCTCACAAACTGTTCAACTACTGTATCACTAGCCTGTCAACACTGGGGTTGTGAGTTCTAACCTCACAAACTGTTCAACTACTTTATCACTAGCCTGTCAACACTGGGGTTGTGAGTTCTAACCTCAAATGTGGTAGGTCCATTCAACTCCAATCTTAATTGACTATTAAAGCTGTACTCCAATCTTTATTGACTATTAAAGCTGTACTGGCTTTCGGAAGAAAAGTAATATGCTCGTACAAAATGGCCAATAGTGCGTAAAGTTGCTTTAAACAGCAACAACCAATTCAATTTACTTTGACTAGAATATAAAAAAAATGATTTTACCTCCTCAGTGAAAACAATAGATTTACTATCCGACTCAGCCACAAGTTTCATTAACATGGAGTAAGCTTTACCCCTCTGAGATTTGGCAAATGGATCAGATTTTTCTGCTGTAGGGGAACTAGCTCTGTCCTGGAATGATGATGTCCTGTTTTTCTACAAAACAATAAATTTTATGAGAAATTGCATTATAGTTTTGTTGAAGAATGAAGACCTCAGAGCAGCCTATTACTGGTTTAGGGTTTATAGTATCAGCAGGTCTATTATATGCAATTTAGCCTCAGTATAGAAAGCGGGTTTTTATATAGGGCTAACTTTGGAGAAATATTGATCCTCCATGAATCTACTCTTTTCACTGCTTTTTGATAGATCCAAGTAGCACTCTTCCAAAATTGAAGATGATCGAATTAATTCTTCAACTTCAACAAGTCGTAATCATCTAAAATGATTTGTTATAAGTAGCAGTATTACAACTATAACTACACAAATTGATCATTTTGGAGACCTCTATCATTAACCTTACATTTATTTTTTGACAAAATATTACTTCAGGATACTTACAATTGCATTGCGTCCTTCGTCGACCTTGACCACCTTTAATGCATCTGATGACAAGTTCCTCCGAAGAGACTGAGCCTTCTGATAGCTGTCATACAGACCAATCAGTACAATATTATTACTCTTGTTCCACGCTCCTTTCATATCATATACATGAACACAATGGGTAGGTTTGGCCTATAAAAAGACATATTGAATCTAATACATTAAATAAAACTGTGGGTTTTTTCTTTTTAATTTCCAATAGATACTTTAATATAATTTAATCTGTCCCACATTTAAAAAAAAAATATGTTCATAAGTTCTTATGTCTATAGGTTGCACTTTGTAAATACAGCTGTTTCTCGAACCACACCTCTTTTGGGGAGATAAATAATATTCATAGATAATTAATTTTGTTTACGTACTGGTTCCCAGTTATGATCTCTATGATTCATCTCATAGAAACATAACTTGGGAATGTTACCAGTAAATATGCATATGCATATGAGTCATATTGAAATCTGTGGATATCCTAAAGTCAAGGTAGGGGTAGTATAGAATATTAGTGCAAGTTTAAACTCTTAGAAGGGGCATATAAACATTGAAAATATGCCCCACAGCACTATGTTTTGACCTTTGTAAAAAATAGTAGTGCATATGAACTTTCCATTCTAGAATATAATTTTTTTCAAAACTTCATAGCTAAAGTGGTACAGTTTTAGCCGTAAAAGGAGTTCCTATGGGAAATTGCATAGTCGATATTTACAGAAATGAAACCTATATTGGGTAAAAAAAAAAAGAACATACCGAATTTCACCAAATCTGGATTATCTCAGAGATTTTAATGAAATTAACTGAAATATGAAGTTTTATAAATATTTCATGAAGATTGAGAAATCCTGGGCCTTTACTATGATGACTCAGCATAAATTCACAGTTTACAGTATGCATAGTTTACTAAAAGCCCTGAATGCAAAATAAATTCATAATACATGCATATTTGTAATTTAAATTGTTTAGAAGTGCTCATATTTACTCTTCACAGTCATTGAAACTCCTAGATCCTTCCTGAATATTATTGGTGGGGTGTTTTTGTCCTGTCGATAACCCAAAAGTAAGCCGTAACACCTAAATGTGCTTTTTTGTGAACACTCCGTAAAAATTCCAAGCTAGAAATACAAAATTAACCCAATAAAACTTACTATAGTATGGTCTATCCTAAATATGTACTAAATATTCCATATTGCTAAAAACAGCAGAACAATTTAGGAAATTTGAGGCCCCAGGGGCAAAAAAAACAGAGAAAAATGGCTTCCCCTGGGTCATAAAACAAATAATTTAATTTGTAAATGCTATGATTTCATTATTTTAAAGGTCTTTTGTACAGAAAACAATAACTGTGCTTGGAAGTAATGCAAAAGACAGATGTTAGCAGTCATTTCTATAAAACTTTTATTGAATTCATACATCAGACTGGTATCTTCATACATACAACTTTTGCAAATATGGCTTTGTTTAAACACTTCTAATTCATTTATTAGCTAAATTATGTTAGATATATGGTTAGAGATGATACTGTTGTGACAAGATTTATAAACTGACCATTTGAGGCAGAAATTATGAACTTTCATTGACAAATAGGCATACAGTAAGATGTGGACTGGAGACGGAGGCAGGATTGGATACTTTATATAATCTTGAATGTTGGAATGATTAACTGCTAAACATTACATAAATTTATAGTATTCTGAAATGTTTTCAATTTGTTATCAGAATAGTTTCAAACAGGTTCTAGACATTTTATGTCAGAAAAAACATGCACATAGGGTAAGCTGGCAATAATTAAAGTCTTGTTTTCAAATTCTTTAAAAAATTGAAACAGGGGTAGGGGTATAAAATGTACTGTAAAAGAAAACTTAGAGTATATTCAGTGATTTTTTTAAAGCTATAATTCAGATATATAAGTATTGTTGCTAGAAAAGGTGTTTTTAGAGAGTTTTCTATTTGATTAAATGTTAGTATAGGTTGCACTTTGTAAATACAGCTGTTTCTCAAACCACGCCTCTTTTGGGGAGATAAATAATATTCATAGATAATTAATTTTGTTTACGTACTGGTTCCCAGTTTTGATCTCTATGATTCATCTCGTAGAGACATAACTTGGGAATATTACCAGTAAATATGCATATGCATATGAGTCATATTGAAATCTGTGGATATCCTAAAGTCAAGGTAGGGGTAGTATAGAATATTAGTGTAAGTTTAAACTCTTAGAAGGTCGGGGCATATAAACATTGAAAATATGCCGCACAGTCCTATGTTTTGACCTTTGAAAAAAATAGTAGTGCATATGAACTTTCCATTCTAGGATATAATTTTTTTCAAAACTTCATAGTAAAAGTGGTACAGTTTTAGCCGTAAAAGGAGTTCCTATGGGAAATTGCATTGTCGATATTTACAGAAATGCAACCTGTAAAGATCATAAATATGATTTAATATGGAAATTTCTCTGTAAACTTCTGCTGTTTTCAAACTCAAATACTGTTAATTCAGAATGTTTTTGATGTTTTTATTGCTACAAAAATTGTGATAGATTTTGCAAAAATAAATCCTTGCATTTCAAATTTTGAAAGCATCATTTGTATGCAGCACTCCCTGAAATCACAATAATTGATAATTAATATTTCATATTTGTCCTTTGTTCAACAATCCCAATAATAAATGCATGCAAAAAATTACTGAATTTACAGTATTATTTAATTTTTGTTTTCCTCAACCCTTTATTGCTTTGCATTGCTATTTTGATGTGATTTGTTTTTCTACATCCTTCATTTGTGGAAAGTTTCAAAGCAAAATGTTTTTTTTTTTTTACAAAGTCTGTCCTACAACTTCTGGTAACATTTTAGTTATCATTTTCACTTACACCATTTTTAACATCTTCCTCTTCATCAGAAGAATCCGATTCTACAACTTCTCCTCTCAAATAGGTCACCCTAAAACACAAGGAAAATCAAACATCAGAAACCTGTATAGTACTAATAAAAGAACAGGGTTGCAACGTCCCCCTCGTTGCACATATTTTATCTGTCCATTGGCAAAAACTAAAAATTTCTTCAATTTTTTTTAAAATATCTTAGAGAAATGAAGGCTTGAGAGCAAATGCAATGCAATTTCAGATATAATCAACATTTCCAAGGGGCATACTCTTTTAAATATATTTCATCTGCATTAATTTTCTTAATTGTCCAAGACATTGCTGATATAGACTTTTGACATAAATTTGATAAAAATCTTGCAAAAATTGTATCAGTAAGAGCGCTTATGATGCAATTTTCAATATAATTAACATAACTCTTTTTAAAATAATTGATCGGCACTGATTTTCAAACTTGTCCAAGACATTGCTGATATAAATCTATTAATCAAGTTTATAAAAATCTTGAAACAATTGTACATGGAAGCACTTACAATGCAATTTTCCATATAATTAATGTTTCCAAGGGGCATAACTCTTTTAAAAATTATTGATCGGCACTGATTTTTCAAACTTGTCAGAGACAATGCTGATATAAAACTATGATAGAAGTTTCATAAAAATCTAATAAAAAACTGTACAAGTGAAATTGCTAAAAAAAACTGATGATCAGTATTTCTTTGTCCCCTGCAACAAGTTGACATTAATTGTTTTGCTCTTTTTAAATACTTGGTGAGATTCAATGAAGAAGTCATCAAATTATTTTTATAAGGGTGATATGTATAAATGATTTCATTTCTACAAAGAATGATTTATCTTTTACAGGTATCCCATACACGTAATACAATCACTATATCAGTAATATAATACCTGCTGACACTTATGAAGAAACTTTTGTCAACTGGAAATCTTAGGGAATGGTTAAGCTGAAATATAGAAATTTGTTTTAATGAGAGAAAAAGTCTTGTTACTGCAGAGGCATAATGTAAAAGTTCAGTAGGATTTAGCACAGATCTTTCTACAATCAGTAGAGTTTCTTTGTTTGTGTTTAGTTTTTGCACCCTGATAATACCATAAAAATATGAGAAAATATTTAAATAATCTTGTTGTTTCAAACTTTCACAGCCTCTTTAATACCAACCTCCCAAAAAAAATCAATGCAAGAACAATCAAATTTAGATATTTCTTACCTTGATGTAAACACACAAATCAAAAGTAAAATGAATATGAAAGGACCATTTTTACATAAAATAACTGTTGACATATGTCTTGCCTGTAGAGTGAGAGACCCATATTCGCCGCATAATTCGTTCATTTCAACTTAAATCAGACCTACATTCGAATATTTGTAACTTTTTATGTAGGTTTCAGAAATTTAACTATATGAAAAAAATGTTTGATAAAGAAATTATCTTCAAACATTGGTTAATTGTTCTAAAAACGAACGCAAACTCAAGAGGAAATCAAGTTGTTCGTGTACCATGGGGGACACATTTTCGCCGCAATGTATGATATGACCATCCTCATTATCCTGGTATATTATAAAAACGAATGTTTGCAATTACATGAATTAGCTTGAGAGATCATTCCTTTACGATTTTTCTCACAAATATTTACTTAAGACTGCGCATGATTGCCATATAAATCTTACATAATTGCCAAAATCATTTAAAAACACCTGCGTATTTCTCAATATGTGCGAATAACCTTGGAAATGGGATAAAGAGGAATATCAACAGTTCAAACATTACAAACAGCCTTTACCATCTATTTAGGTAGATATTGGGTAAAGGCACACAAATTTTACAGAAAAAATAGCAAAACGGCGAAAATGTGTCCAAGGCGAATATGCGCCACCCACTCTATATAATTCTGATAGTAAAATACAAATGTTGAAATCAAAATGTGCTACTCTTACACAATAAACTGCTTCGCTGAGCGCAGCTAGATACGCCCGCAGAGGTCCAACCCTGAACAGTTGGGGCAAAAATGGACACAATATTCAAGCTTGATTCAGGTCTGAATTTGGATTGTAATTAAATATTTGACATATTATAGGTTTCTGAATAAATGTAGTCAAAGAACTTGAAATTGGTTATATGAATTGAATTTATATTCAATTAAAGATTTCTTGCTGTTGTGCAATACTTAGTATATCTGTTTTCAGACTATAAACAAATAAAGTTCAATTTATTCTCAATGTCATATTAGAAATTTATGAAAATAAAAAGGGAGCTTACATCAATAGATATAAACAATTCACCAAACTTTCATGAGAATTGGTGACAGCAAATTTGAGTTATTGTCCAAAAACTGGAAAATCACCCCTTTTTTTAATGAATAAAACCCCATAACTCAGAAATGTAAAATGTAAAATTTATAAAATTCTAAAGGGAGCTTACATCAATACATACAAACAATTCACCAAATTTTCATAAGAATTGCTGAAAGCATTTTTGAGTTTTTGTCCGAAAACTGGAAAATCCCCCCTTTTTTTATGAATAAAACCCTGTAACTCGGAAACGTAAAATCTAAAATTTATAAAAATCAAAAGGGAGCCCATGTTAATAGATATAAACAATTCACCAAAGTTTCATGAGAATTGGTGACAGCAGTTTTGAGTTATTGTCCAAAAACTGGAAAATCACCCCTTTTTTTAATGAATAAAACCCCATAACTCAGAAATGTAAAATGTAAAATTTATAAAATTCTAAAGGGAGCTTACATCAATACATACAAACAATTCCCCAAATATTCATAAGAATTGCTGAAAGCATTTTTGAGTTTTTGTCCTAAAACTGGAAAATCCCCCCTTTTTTTATGAATAAAACCCTGTAACTCAGAAACGTAAAATCTAAAATTTATAAAAATCAAAAGGGAGCTCATGTCAATAGATATAAACAATTCACCACAATTTCTTGCAAGTTGGTGAAAGCATTCTTGACTTATTGTCCGAAAACTGGAAAATCCCCCTTTTTTTTAATGAATAAAACCCCATAACTTGGAAACGTAAAATCTAAATTTTATAAAAAACGAAAGGGAGCTCACGTCAATAGATATAAACAATTCACCAAAGTTTTATGCAAATTGGTTAAAGCATTTTTGAGTTAATGTCCGACATGTTGACGACGGACAGACGGACGGACAGACGGACAGACGGACGGACGGACAGACGGACAACGGTATACCATAATACGTCCCGTAAACGGGCGTATAAAAACTATAAAAAAAAAATTCAAAAGTCAATGAACCATATCTCATTGAGGGGAAACAAAAAAATCATTTAAATGTAATAATTACTTGTTCGTCTTCAGATTCTTTATGAGCACTACACAACCATGTTTTAGCTCCCAGTAACTCACAACTTAAATATCTCACACTCCAGTTTGCAGCTGGACGATGGAACAAGCCATCCTCTATTGGAACTAAAGATAAATCGTTACACACACTGAGTACAAATGACTCAGCTAAAAGTTCAGAGCCGTGTTGTTTTGAGAAAGACATCCAGTAACATATGTTAAATCTGTGTAGGTTCACTGCCATCTTTATACTCCTACAAAAAAATATAAATCTATATCAACCAAAGACTTACAAAAAAGGGTCATGAAAATTTTGCAGGAGATTTTCTGCCATTTCACTATGACTTGAAATTCAGGGTAATTTTTTTACAAACTGTAAAATTTATATCAGAAGTCATGGCATTAACAAACTATTATTAACATTTTTGAGTATACTGTGTATTTATTATTATTCGTTGGATACTAATTTTGGTTGATTTTGTGGGTACTGGTTAACCACAACTTTAAATCTTCAACTACTTACAAATTTTCTATAAGCTTGTATGCAGACTTTTCCAAAATCACAAAATCAAATATCCACGAAAAATATATGTTTTCCTCAATCCACAAAAATTGATACCCATGAAAATAAATGAATCCACAGTACATGCAAGTTACAAAGTCCACTACATTCAATCCTAGGAGCTTTAGAGTTTTGTAAGGCGTTAGTTCATTAGTTCATATCTGAAGACTTTCCAACCACCATCAAAATGAAGAATAGTATCAATGAAAGCACTGTGCCTTTGATAAATTAATATTTTTTACAGAAAATTATCTTTATCTTTATCATTATTAACAATAGAAACAAGCATCTCTGCAAAGGGTAAAAAATGTATACAAAAACCATCCACGACTTGTTATTACATACTTGTAATGTCTTGTTAATTGAGGTTTTCTTGATTTATTGCTGTCAAATAGTGCACCTCTTCTTGTAGGCCTAGTAACCCCAGCTAAACAGAGCTAAAAGATTGAAATTCAGTAATGCAATAAACTTCATTTCTCAAATATTTAGGATTAGAAAGAATACGAAAAGCTTGTAAAGCTGAAGCCAGCAACAGACGTAATTTGAAATCTTTTGTATATTCATTATTGCTGTTAAAAAAGCTTAAATGCTAAGTAAGGTATTTCTGCTATTTAACTATTTCATTAAATTAAGTTACAATTTCAGATTGGAAATATCCTCTGAATTGCCATTGGTTAATTGAGTTCTATAATAAGCAAGATGAAGGTAACATTAAAAATATTTGAGGACAAGAAATTTCTATTTATCATTCAATACTTCCAATATGTCTTTTACTTTTGGTTGGCGACTCTAATATCCTGCTTTGAAAAATAGGTTTATTACTTTTGCTCCAATATTTACTTTACTTTTAAATACTGTTGCAAGCTTAAAATTGCTGATAAAATGAAAAAGCTTTCATATCTGTCTATGGTAATATATAGTTAATTTTCATTTTTCTATTCAATCATATATTATTAGGCTGAAGATGATATTATAAATTTTGAATGCTACAAACCTTAATCTTATCCAGAAATCTCAATGTACTGGCATAAAATATACATTTAGGTACATTCAGTGTGTTGTCATGTTTAGGTTTGGTGTCGAGTGACATTGTTACACTCAAATTCTGTGATCTAAAAGCTCTAAAAGAATCATGGTCCTATAAAGAGAAAAAGAAAATAGATTAAAATTGGTCTTCTATTTATAAAACATCACATGAAAATGAACTGAAACTTAGGAAATCAGACAATTTTCACAATCTATTATTCAAAGTAGGAATGTGAATATATTGTAAACCAACTAACTTTTGCAAGCAATTTATTTTTCGTGACTTTCTCTTGCAGAAAAATAAAGTGAATATAAATTGTTGCAAGTTTTTCCTTATCTAAATACTTCAAGGAGACTTGAAAATCATGAAATTAAATTCCTGCAAAGTATTTTATAAACGGCTAAATGTGAAATAAAGTATCAACGAAAATAAGCTGGTTTACAGTATATTAAAATTGCTGCAAAAAAGATCATATTTACTGATGTTTAACTGAAATTTATCATTAAATCTCACAAAGAGCATTTCAAATAAATTTTGGTGGGTGGTTCTATTAATACAAATTGTTTATAATTTAAAATTTTGCTATTGGTGATGCCTCTCAATCATAACACCACTCTTCGCATGAACTAACAAAACTGCTTAAATGTTTCATATAACAATTTTATATTCCAATGCAGTAATCACCTCTAAAGAATATTCTGGTACTTTGTCAGGGGCACAGGGCATCACAGCATGATGGTCATTAGGGTCTCCACGGCTTATCCAGTCTAAATGTATGCTGAAATTTTTAAATGAAATGTAAACATATGAATTTGACTGACCTGCATTCTACAGTTGTTATTCAATAAGTCCAATGTTCAGAGTTGCTTGTAACAAGATGTTGATCATGAAAATACTTCAAAAATTAAAATTTTCAGCAATTTCACAGTGAAATTCAGGCAGTTTATGCCTAAAAAGCTATTTTCCATAACAGTTTTAACTTTTAAACATACTTAAATTACATTTATAGCAATGAATGTCAAAACCTATTCCTTTGACTGGTGAAATAGAGGCCACTTTTCTGTCTTTTACTTACTTTAAACGTAAGTTAGGCAGATGTAGAAGTTTACAATCATCATATTTAGAAGCTGTGTTCACTGATATGTCAAAATCTCCTTTTAGAAGAAAATTAGCTGAAAAAAAAACAAATAAATGTAAATTTTATCTACCACATAATCATACAGACTGATGAAATTTAATCTACTATTAGATTTGTCATCCACAAAAAATTCAAAATTGGACCAATAAACATGAAATTCTTATTATAAGGATCAATGAATAAATTAAGCAATGTAAAATAAATCATTCAATCAAATATATTTCTGATCTCCAAAATGAAAATATTTTATTTATATTTCTTGCTTTCATAACTCTTTGACATTAACACTGGATTAAAAAAAACAAATACGAAATCAAGAAACTGTGAAAATACTATTTTTTCTCATTCTACTTGAATTTGTACCCATTTATCCAATTCAAATAGTATTACCATTTGTCCATTCCATTAATAGATTAGTCCATGTCCAATCCATGAACTCTGTCGTGTTGTAAGGATCAAATGAAGCATGGTATAACCAGGTCATTTCCTGTATGGAAATGGTCAGTCTTCCATGAAGCAGAAGTCTAATTTTATCCCAGACTGGCATGGGTATGCTCGGGTCTACCGAGGGTTTGTTAACATTGTCAAAGCAAACATTATACTGAGCTACACAAGGTTCCCAGTTAGCCCCATAGGCTTGCGTCCAGGATACCACATCTGGAAAAGATCAAAACAATTATGATATATTATGCAAAACAAAACAATATCTGTCTTGGTTTTCCAGACCAACCCGAAGTTGTAGCTCCAACCCTTTAATATTTTCCTCAAGATTTCATCTTCATAAACTATTATCCAATTAATAGGTGTTTTAAAAATCAACTAAACTATTCCATAATAGATATGAAACAAAATTGCATTACCTAATAATCAATGTCATTTTTGTTCATTGCAAGATTAACTAGAGGCTCTCAAGAGCCTGTGTCGCTCACCTGTATTTACTGATGCTTTGGAAATCATGTAAAATAAGGTTAAAATCATAATTAATAGTATTAGATATTAGATATTATAATGATATCTAAGATAATAACAAAAAACTGCAAAATTTTTGTAAAATTACTAACTCAGGGTCGTCGGATTTGTCTGAAAATTTCAGGGCAGATAAATCTAAATCTGATGAACATTTTTGCCACCTGTAAGATTTGCTCTAAATGCTTTAGTTTCAGAGATATAAACCAAAAACTGCATTTTACCCCTATGTTCTATTTTTAACTAAGTTGGTCATGATGGTTGGAAGGCGGGGTCATCAGACAAATTTTTTAAACTGGATACCCTAATAATGATTATGGCCAAGTATGGTTAAATTTGTATCAGTAGTTTCAGAGAAGAAGATTTTTGTAAAAGATTACAAAAATTTACGAAAAATTGTTAAAAATTGACTATTAAGGGCAATAACTCCTAAAGGGGTCGACTGACAATTTTGGTCATGACAACTTATTTGTAGATCTTACTTTGCTGAACATTATTGCTGTTTACAGTTTATCTCTATCTATAATAATATTCAAGATAATAACCAAAAACTGCAAAATTTCCTTAAAATTACCAATTCAGGGGCAGCAACCCAACAACAGGTTGTCAGATTTGTCTGAAAATTTCAGGGCAGATAGATCTTGACCTGATAATCAGTTTTACCCTATGTCAGATTTACTCTAAATGCTTTGGTTTCAGAGATATAAGCCAAAATCTACATTTTTCCCCTATGTTCTATTTTTAGCCATGGCGGCCATCTTGGTTGGTTGGCGGGGTCATCGGACACATTTTTTAAACTAGATACCCTAATGATGATTGTGGCCAAGTTTGGTTAAATTTGGCCCAGTGGTTTCAGAGGAGAAGATTTTTGTAAAAAGCTAACGACGACGGACGCCAAGTGATGAGAAAAGCTCACTTGACCCTTCGGGTCAGGTGAGCTAAAAATAGTAAAATTTCTGTACAATATGTATAATACTGGAACTTTTTTACTTGGTGATTCCACAATATTTCTAGCTTGTGACCATATAAAATATCTCAACCTACGCCCCCCATAATTTTTTGGAACACACCTTTTTTGGCCTTATATATTTTATAGCAAATGTAAGTTCAATTTTAGTTACCTTGACCTTCATGACGACATTAATTGTCTTTTTTTTTTAGGAACCAATTCCCTCAATCCTCATGGATACACATTCAAAACAGGTTGTTTTTCCTAAATTTGTATTGAACCCTAAAAGCTTTTATATAAAAATTTTGTTAGAAAATAAACTTTTAAGATACAAACCACAGCTAAAATCATGATAAAACTTGAGTGCCGGTAAATTTCTCTCTACCTCCATATTGGTCCATGGAGTTGCTACCTCCACTGTACAACTTCTCTTAGCTACAAATAGAATAAAAAACAAATAATGATTGTGTTATTCAATTGAAAATTCAATTTCTCAAATTATTTATTGTTTAATTTGGTCAGAAAGGTAGTCTAAATCTAATTCTTCATCTTTCATTTTAAAATATGTAATGTTCCACAAGAAGTGGCATGCAATGTTGTGCAAGATATATTCCCACTTGTTATGAGACATTGATGAAAAATCACATGATCAGTGGGTAAAAAAATACACAAATAAAAATAGGTCAAAGTTCATGTGACTAAATTTTTCTAAAAAATTACTAAGTTCCAATGTCTGGAAAAATGAGAAAAAATTCCATAATAGCAGATGCACAACATATGTGCAATCTTCCCAGAGATGGATTTAGGGGGGACCCAGGAGGCCCGGACCCCCCTTTTGTGAGAAAAATTTGGTTGATTATATAGGGAATCACTGAAGCATGACTGGAGCTGGGCCCCCTCTTAGGCAGTCAGTGGGCCCCCACTTTTGAAAATTTCAGGATCTGCCACTGCTTCCTGTGAAGTTTCAGAGAACTGGCTTGAAAACTGTAGTAGTTGAATCCTCAAAAGTAAAGAAATGTGTTGCAAATTTTCAATTTATAGATCATTTACCTGAACTTCATCTAATGCAATTCCCTTAAACAAAATAAACTGAAATGGTTAAAACCATTTAAACGTTTTATGTTTTTAGCTTCTCAAAGTTTTGGTCTCCTGTAAAATACTGATAAATATTCCATATTTAAAAATATACACCTAAAATCAGTATAATCCAATAATTCTCAATCATTAGCCTTCTGCAGCTATCACCTCTAAGGTAGCAGAGGATTTCTTTTTGAGAGTGTTGCCATCATTATGTCAACACTCTGCTGCAAATGTACTGTTCATCAGATGTAAAAAATATTTGAAGAAGTTAGGTTTGTATACGCTTAGGCACAGTTCTTTTTGGAATTTTTGGTTAGCAATGCTTTTTAACTTTGTAATTGATTTGGTCTTCACATTGAATTTACAAAATAAAGCACAGTAAATGATTAGAATGATTAGAGTGATTAAAGTACATTTAAACAAACAAGTGAATCTGTGAGCTACTGTTCACTAATGATACCCCCCACCCCCATCCCCGTTAAAAGTATAAGGTAAACAGGAAGTTGTTGAGTGATGAATCTGAAAACTCAACACACGGTATAGCTGATTCATATAAACCCTGAAACCAAATTTCAGAAATCCTTGTAATGTAGTTCCTTAGAAAGATGCGACGAAAAATATTCATGGGAAGGATGGACGGATGGATGGATGGACAGACATAGGTAAAACAGTATACCCCCACTTTTTAAAGCGGGGGTATAAAAAACATGTATACACATTTAAAGAAAGTAACATATAAACAATGTCATTGACAAAACATTAAGTCATTTGGATGCCACTGTGACCTGGAGAAAATATGTTTTCTTAATCAATTTATAGATCTAGGTATGTGATGAGTCTTATGAAGATGAAAGAAGCATCTGGCATACTAAATTATAATCCTGGTATCTTTGATGACCATCTATATACTTAATGTAAGAAGGGTTTTTACTTATGCTACAGAACTAACCTCTTTTAGTTCCATCTTGTTCAGCACCAACCAGTCTTCCCCATAGATAAAGATTTTTAACATCAAACATTGGCTGAGGATAGTCACGTAACATCACAGTCCAATGGTTAATATTAACTGTTACATAACGACACCATAGCGTCAAAAATTCTAGACCTTCTTCTGGATAGGGACTGAAAGTACAGTAAAATATGCTATGATAAAGTAATACAACAGTAAAAATTCCATATTGAAAATTCTAATATGAGTACCTACTGTGGATTCATTTTTATTCGTGGTATACCAATTTTCGTGGGTTTCATGGGTCACAGCGAACCACGAATTTAAGAGTTCAACGAAAAGAATAATCACGGGAAATGTGCATGGATTCGGATTCAGTTATGTTATGCAGTTCTAGTATAGTGTTGACTAGCGATAAAGATTGTAACATAACACATGTTTTTATTGAAAAGAAGATACAAGTATTTTGATCAAATCAATAATAAAAATATCGAATATCAGGGATAATTTACTTTTTTAAAATTGATTAAAACTGTTAATGGAAAGTTGTTAAATACTGTGTCATAGTTTGGTTTACTGGTGATTAAAAATCAATAGGATTAAGTACGGGGATATTGCCCGTAGGTAATATTGTTTATGACAGGAACATTTATTTTCATACCTTTTACTTATATGACTGTTTATTATATCGTGATAAATGAGCTTTCAATCATAGAGTTTTGAATGCCTTATATAATTCAGACAAGAATTTATAAATTGTAAAACAATAATTAGTTGTCTCTGTCCATTATTGTAATAGAAGTTTTCAATGAACACTTTAACCTAGAATGACCAAGCGAGGATTTTGACAATTCAAAACTTTTTCAATGAATTCCTTCTTTCTTGTTTGTTTTATTATTGATCAAACCAAGGTGGTTATATGATCTCCTAAATCAAAAAGAAATCCACGAATTACGTATCTGAATTTATTTATTTTTTGTAATTAGCGATCCACGAATTTACGTATACCACATAACATCTTTTTTTCTCTATCCACGAAAATAAATGAATCCACAGTATATATCATCAACCAGTACATTTACTTTTAGCACAAACGCATTAATACACAAAATTGACTGTTCTGAGTTACCCCCACCTTATTTGTTCGACCAGGTAAACTCAATTTGCAACAGCTAAACCCAAGTTTTACTGAGGCCAAGCTTCAAATACAAAACCGCTACCTCTATTTTAATGCAAAATAAACAAAGCAGTCCATTTCCGTTATTATTTCGGTGTAAAATTTCTTAAAAAGAAAATTCCACGAAATGATGTTATCGTCTTTGGCATCTAAACAAGGTGACGTCATATGCAAACACTGGGCATTTTCATAAAATAGGATAAAAGGACCATTTTTAGGTGGAAAATGTGAGTTTTTTCTTTTTATTATTGAAAAATATAATACTATCAATACTATTATAGAGGGGATAAAAGGGAACAGCCAAAACAGAATCTTGTGCATAGGGCTTTCACGGTATTAGTCCTATAAGAATCGAAATAAATCATGGCAGCCGTAGATTTGTAAATTTGTTTTCATTTAACCATGGGTTGGACATTTATATTCATATTTTACCCCTAGCTATTGCTCGGGATATAAAAATTGAATATAAATGCCCAACCCATAATAAATCACAACAAATCTACAGCTGCCATGAACTATTTCTTAAATTATGTATGATTTTATCTTATGCTAGTTATGCACATTTTGTTAATCTACTGATCAAGATTTAATAGGAGGGTAAAGATCTAAAACACAATAGTTAAACCGACCCACACTTTGATGTGCCTGTCCAAAGCCATGAACCTTACGAGTAGTTGTTGTACGTCATGTCTGTAATATCTTACTTATCTATTTTTTCTTATTTGAAAATAACATTTAACCGTGCAGAAAATTAAATAGCCGAATAAACACCAACTGATTCTAGGGAAAGGTATTACTACCTTTGCAATAATAAATAGTTTTCAAATTAATATCCTTCTGTAACCTCACCTATCAGAATCTATTTCCCTCATATGTTTTACTGCATTTTCCTTTCCATGATATGATAAATCAGCCATTGCTATGATTTCTAAATCTTTCATTGTCCATGTAAATAGTTTTGTTCTCATTGGAGTATTAGCATAAAGAAGTCTGGAACGTTTCACATATATATCACTACTCTTTTTAGTCAAAGATGCATATAGTTCCTCAATTGTGTCAGCTGAAAATGAAAAAGACTGGATACTGTAAATTCAGATATTATTGCATACATTTATTATTGCGATTGTTGAAGAATGGACAAAAATGCGAGTTCAATAATTGCGATTTAGCGAAAATCTGCATACAGATATATGTTTCAGATACAAAAATGAGAGTTCTTATTATTGCGATACTCACCCAGTTGCATTATTCGCATGAATAAAAACCTCGCAATAATTTCTGAATTTACAGTAGTTTACATGAAAGGAGGCCCTATTTCTATCTGTTTTGCATTCATTTTGTTTTCCAATTTAGTGCAAATTCTTCTTGAATATTATGTCTTATCTTAACCAAATATGCAGCTAATTTGCAGAAAAAGTATATATTTATGTATATTGCAAGAGCACACAGTAAAATATTCAATTTATATGTATCCTGTAACCAAAAAAAGCCCTAAATTTTCTAGAAGGAAATAGCAAAAATGTTTATGTCAGGAACAGAGAACACATTTGACGATAACTTTCTAAATAAGTCTTTTGCATGATGTTTGCAGTAACAAAACAATTCAAGGACATCTAATTTTTATAAATTATAATTAATTCAAGAAATAACTGTACTTGTTACAGTGCGGGACGTTTGCACTTTTTCATAGGACCTTTGCGCTTCAATTCATAGGACATATGCGCTTTTTAAAGGACATTTGTGCTTTTACAATATTTGCTTCTTATGACTTCCCTCCTATTTTTTCCGGGCTTAGGACTGGTAGAATTGACCTGGCAGAGTTAAAATCATAATTTTCACTATGGTTAAAAGTTTAATAGTCACGTCATAGCACATTTGTGTTTAAAAGTCATTTGATAGCAAATTAATATAGTTATATATATCTCAGAGTGAACATTACTTAAAGACAGGTAGTTATCACAGGTCAGTTTTTGCTTGATATCTGAAGCTCAGGGAATGAACAAATTTAGCTCTTGTAATCTATCCTGACTGGTATTTCGCCCAAATGAAATAAATATTCTAGTTTCACTTTCTCAATTCTTGACTGAGGTCCCTGTTTATCAATGTAATGAATTTTAATGAAATTAACCGACTGTTGTTCAATGATAAAAATCCATCATGACATCTACATTTTTTTTTCTTTACTAGTCTATAACTTTACACTCTATGTCAATGTGAACTAACTAACCACAAATGTAAGTTGAATTTATTTACGTAATGATTACAACTCATTAAAATTACAGGTAGACAACTAGAGGTAAAATGCGCAAATGTCCGTTCAATCTAATACAGGTGTATCAAAATCTAAAGCGCAAATGTCCATTGTGTTAGAAGTGCAAATGTCCAATCGTGTTACAGGTAAAAAAGCGCAAATGTCCTGTGCCCACTTGTTATATCCCAGTTGACCACCTATGATTTGAACACATTCCTGTTTATATTTCTATTCTTACTAAATACTAATAGAGTATTAAAATAAAACACTTTGTCATATTGCACTACAATTTCAATCAACCCTCAAAGTACATGAATTTCAACAATTTTATGTATGCAAAAAATAAGACAATTAAAATATGCCAAACTGTATCAAATTACCCTAAAGGAAGATATAACTCTCTTGATTTCTTTAATTGTGGGGCAGATTAAACCTTATAAATTTAGCGATGATTTGTGTTTGTTAATACTGATCAGTTTTCATATAATTATGAGTAAAAATTTCTTTAAATGTCATGACCTTACATTTGGGAGTGCATTGGAAGGTTATGAGAAATCTGACATTAAATGGACCATTATAATTACTTACAAGGAATATAGCCATGTTGTTTTCTGAGAGTTTTTATCTTTTGATCCATCACATTTTTCCTGATAATATTCTCCTGACATTCATCTTTCAGTAATTCAAAATTGTCACCCAACTTGACTTCAAATGGATCGTCTCCAAGTTGTACCATAAACAACTGCAAAGAAAAAAGGTGGCCCATAACACTTATGTAAAGAGTCCTAAAATAAATATAGAATCATTTTATTTTTCCATTTAAATTATAATTCAATGTGATTTTTTGTTAGTTTGTTTTCTTTACTTGAGGTAATTTAGAACCTGACATATTGTATAGGCACCTGTCTTGTTAAAACCATGTTTTGTTCTTGATATGTATTTTTTCTGTTGTTAGGTTGCTGTCCTTGACTTTAACCTGACATCTTCTTTTTTTCATTTTACAAAATAAAAACACTAAAGTGTTGATCAATTTTCTTGCCACTAATCATTTTAATTTAAAATTCATCAAGACCACTTAAATAAATTCAGAAATTGTTGCGAGGTTTTTATCATTGCAAATAATGCAACTGGGTTGTTATTACAATAATAAAAACTTACATTCTGATATCTGATACATATAAGTGTATGCAGATTTTTCCTGAAATCGCAATAATAAATCTCGCATTTTTGTCCTTTCTTCAAAAATTGCAATAATAAATGTACGCAATAGTTTCTGAATGTATAGTATTGAATTCCATATTGCTTTAATAAAAGTGCTCAATTCAGAAGTCTTAGTGATGCTAGATTAGCTTGAGTTCTGCTTTAGCAATTTTAGTTTCAACTAAAACATTAAGATGCACCATGAGATAACTTAAATAAAATTAATGACTTGCAAGAAACTTTGTTAAAATAGGATTGATTTTGAAATAGTTTCTGTCTTTTGAAATTCATTGTATGTACTAAGTTTTGTTTTGTCCCCTTGGAATGAAATATAGTTCTTTATGCTAAGCATACCCACATTCAGGTATTCATATTTTCAAATTAACTGTTCCTCCATGATTTTGTTGTTTATAGAATTCATAGAACAGTTAATTTTTACCTGCAAGACCCTCATGGGTAGTCAAATTCGTTAATAATCCCCCTCGTCAAGTTATATTTTTACCCCAAATTGTACCCATAGAAAGCTTGATTTTACTTGTTTAAGTTGCTCCTATTTGACAGAGTACCAGAATGTCCTACCACAGAGTAGGTAACCAGTCAAAAAATTATATACTCCAGAGTCAAAAGTCGGTAACATGAAAATAGTCTATTTAGCACTTACTTTTGCTTTTATCTGTAGATCTGGAGGTAATTTACTCTCTAGTGTAAAATCTTTCCTCTTGTAATTATGAACTAACTTCCACCATTTAAATAAATTCACAAACTATAATGAAACAGTGTCAAAATACAGATTAATGATTTAAAAATACTTCAGTGCCTCAGTACCACTTAATGGAAAATATATAGTGTTTACAGTGACATCTGAGAATTCAATTAACAAAAATTTTCATTATAAAAAATAATTAGATAACCAGAAAACTGATATTGGTCAACATTTTTAATACTCAATTTTATCAGACATGTAGGATTTTATTGTTAAAGTATGATTTCCACTTGCAGAAACTTAAAATCAAACATTTTATAGCAAAGTCTACTCTTTTTTTTAAATCTCAGCTGTACTATGAAGTTGCCATCTAAACTTTAAATTTTGGTTGGGGTTATAATGGTATGAATGCCACTTACCTCTTCAAAACATAAGGCAAAATCATACCCATAAGGAAAAAGGATCATAAAACTGTCAAAGGAAAAATTCCTGAAAAAGCAAAATATACTCTATGTTAAGGTGGTACCAAACACCTTGACTAAAATTAATTTGGCTCGTTTAATTTTCATTAAATTTTGACAAAATATTTACTTTGACCCCTTGACAAAAATATAAAAATTTCAAAAAACTTGAACCTCACACTTTATCGGAAAAATTTCATTGGATATATAGCAGTTTGACAAACAATAATTTTGATCATTGAGAAGCTTAATATTTCCTTAACAATAGAACGTGATTAAAAATGTTCAGCTGATTTTTTAGAGAGTTATCTCCCTGTAGTGTTTTGTACCACCTTAATAGCAGCAAAAATATGAATTTACTCTTTAAACAATTACTGTGGATTCATTTATTTTCATGGATACCATTTTTTTGAGGATTGAGTTAAAAATTGCAGTTTCGTGGATATGTGATTTTGTGGATTTTGTCAAAATATGCAAAGAAACCTATAGTAAATTTGTATTTTTTTGAACATTTGAATTCATGGTTTACCTTTACCCACAAAATCCACGAAAATTGATATCTCGCAAATAATAATGAATCCACAGTACACTATGTCAATAGCAGCAAAAATGTGAATATACCCTTTTTACAATTACTAGATATTCTAGAAATGACTTAAGGATACCACTAACATAATCTAATCCATTAAGAGGACTTTGACCTCCCCCAAACGACTGTTTTCAATATAGGAGCTTGGAAATAACCACTATATTGATTTATTTTATCTGTACCAACCATAATCTGTTTGTTGGGAGTTCTAGACAACCAGCATCTTCTCTCTCCTGCTGTAAAGTACATTCTCCCGAAGTTCCATACAGTAATCCCTGGAGCATTAATTGAAATATAATGAATACTGATTGTGAGATGATATTTGGATGACAGGAATTATTTGATTCTACTAAGACAAATACTGTTATTTAAAAAACTGAAGCTATATAAAAAAAAATACATGCATATAAAAAAACCTTTGAAAATGGTAATGTATCTAAAGAAACTTTTTTTTAAATTTGTAATTTTATTTAATAGGCTGTACTGAGCTGATCTAAATTTGAATACACAGTATCAAGTCTTTGACAATTGCCTTTTTTTTCTGTGATCTTTGACAATTAATGCAAAGCTCTATCTAATAATTATAATTATTGCACCTGGACATAGTTATATTATTTTATGTACTCACACTGCAAGGGTTCCTGTATCATATGTTACTCAAAAAATAGCCTCACACTTATATTTCCCAATATACTGTCCATGTGACCTGTTCAATACTTATTTAAGGATGTACTCAGGTGAGGTTTATGAATTTTTGTGAGATGTTCGGACTTCTTGGTTTTTTTCCTACGTTACAGGGTAAAATATTTTGCCCCATATCACCAATTTTTCTTTTCATATAAGACTTCAATAGCTCATAAAAAGGTCATTACCAAAATTTAAGCAAATTCTAGATTTTTTTTTCTTACGATTGAGACCCTATTAATGCCAATGCTAAATATAAGGTACAAGTCCAAAACAGACTTTTCCTGCCATTTTTTAAAAAGCAAATACTTCAAAAAAGAGCTCCATAACCTATCAATATTTTCAGCTTATTTTGTTCCTTAACTAATGTTCTTCTGACTTATAGTTTCATTTTTTAAATTTTAGATTTTTTTAATTTCACCCAAGTACATTCTTAAAAAAAATGTTACCTCAATAGTGATAATATCATGACCTTCACACTTTATGATTAATTTGTCCATTTGTAGTAGAATTTCTTCAGCAGATAATGTCATTACAACTTTGTTTTCCTTTGTCAAAGATACCCTGCAATAAAATAAAATTGTCAGTTTATTGATAGGTTCTATTTGTAGTTGCCACAATCCTGTCCTCTCATTCTCTTCAAGGATGTTGGCTACTCTGTTTCAAAATAACAAACTTTTAAATAACTGTTGTAAATTGATAGTAATATATCTAAAAGCAGAAAAAAAATACAAGGTCCATGTCATTGTTTTTTAGATACAAGTTCTAGAAAATTTGGCGGGAAATGATTCTTTCAAAACTTTTCATACAATTAACATTGACACCTATTTTCTTTCAAAAACTATGAAAAAGTAACAAGGATATTATAGGATTTTCAAAAATGGCTTTTCAAACTATATGTAATTGTAATAAAATTATGAAAAGAAAAGTAGGGGTTAGAGGTCAAAATTTGTTAATGGCACCAAATGGATAAAACCAGAGGATTCTGAATATCTGACAAAAAAATAAAAAACAAGACAAACATACACTCTTAAGAAGACCAAATGGTACTTATCACTATACTTTTAATTGTCATGATCAATGCCAAAAGTGCCACCAGTGGAGCAGGATTAACTTATCCATTAGGGACTCATTTCACAAAAAATCTTACGAGAAAAAATACTCACCAGTCATAAACATTCCATTATAACTTACGATCGATTTTTATCGTAAGATTTTTTGTGAAAGGAGCCCCTGGTGCAGCTAAGGTTCCCCATTTCTTTAGGATTCCTGTTGCTCAATATAAATTTTCTGTGGAGTGTTTAAAGGACTCTTGTTTGTCTCCATCTTTTTTTCTATTGGCCATGATGCTGTGTGTCTTTCTACAAATTTTAATTTTTTACTGCTCCTGGGTTTTGTCTTACTATTATATAATCTTCCTATTAAGATATGGCATAAAGTCTGGTTCTCTCTCTTGAAATCTGGATAAATTTATTATCCATGATGCAAAGGTAAAGAGTTAAGTAGCCATTTTGATGTAAAATTTTACACAAAATTTGCCCCATTTTATAAATGGATTCCACAAATTTCCTTTGAGACTTGTGTCACGTAAGAAACTGCTATGAAGACAAGAAAATCAATCTCTATATATACTAGTTACTTTACTCATAAGTTTGTAAAGATATAAATAATTTATTTTACCATCTTTGTTTGGAGAGCCTGAGTGTAAGCATAACATCAGCAGTTACTATAACACTGTATGTTACTTCCATTCTTTTAGGTTCTGTGTTGCTTCTTTTGGGTTTCACTAAAATAAAACATAGCAATGAAACTGACATTTTTGCAATCTAAAATAAAAATGTTTTGGGCAATTTTTTTAAGATAATATGATTTCCAATTTTCAGATCTAAAAAAATACATACTATTATTCATAATACTGTTAGTTCAAGAATTTGTACTTACATTTATCATTGTGATAATTGAACATATAAAATACTGCATATAAATAATGCTACTGTAAATTCAGAAATTATTGCATATTTTTAAAAATACGAATAACGCGACTAGTTGAGTATCGCAATAATAATAAAATGCTTCGCTGGGGCACAGCTTGATACAACCGCAGAGGTCGAACCCTGAACAGTTGGGGCAAGTATGGACACAACATTCAAGCTTGATACAGCTCTGAATTTGGTTTGTTATTAAATATTTGACACAGCATAGGTTTCTGACACAGAAAGAATGTGGTCTAAGAACTTGAATTTTTTTAATTTACCTATTATGGTCCAATGTCCAAAATCAAAATACATGGTTAGATTCAGCATATCAAAGAACCCCATATATTCAATTTTTATTAAAATCAAACAAAGTTTAATTTTGGACCCCAACTTGGACAAACTTGAAAACTGGGCCCATAATCAAAAATCTAAACACATGTTTAGATTCAGCATATCAAAGAACCCCAAGAATTCAATTTTTGCTAAAATCAAACTAAGTTTAATTTTGGACCCTTTGGACCTTAATGTAGACCAATTTAAAAAACGGGACTTAAAATTAAAAATCTAAATACACGGTTAGATTTGGAATATCAAAGAACCCCAATAATTCAATTTTTGATGAAATCAAACAAAGTTTAATTTTGGACCCTTTTGACCTCAATATGAACCAATTTGATAGCGGGGCCCACAAACAAAAAAACTAAATTCATGGTTAGATTCAGTATATCAAAGAACCCCATATATTCAATATTTGTTGAAATCAAAAAAAGTTTAATTGTGGACCCCAACTTGGACCAACTTGAAAACTGGGCCCATAATCAAAAATCTAAACACATGTTTAGATTCAGCATATCAAAGATCCCCAAGAATTCAATTTTTGTTAAAATCAAACTAAGTTTAATTTTGGACCCTTTGGACCTCAATGAAGACCAATTTAAAAAACGGGACCCAAATTAAAAATCTAAAAACACGGTTAGATTTGGCATATCAAAGAACCCCAATAATTCAATTTTTGATGAAATCAAACAAAGTTTAATTTTGGACCCTTTTGACCTCAATATGAACCAATTTGATAGCGGGGCCCACAAATAAAAAATCTAAATACATGGTTAGATTCAGCATATCAAAGAACCTCATATATTCAATTTTTGTTGAAATCAAACAAAGTTTAATTTTGGACCCCAATTTGGACCAACTTGAAAACTGGGCCCATAATAAAAAATCTAAACACATGTTTAGATTCAGCATATCAATGACCCCAAGAATTCAATTTTTGTTAAAATCAAACTAAGTTTAATTTTGGACCCTTTGGACCTTAATGTAGACCAATTTAAAAAACAGGACCCAAAATTAAAAATCTAAATACACGGTTAGATTTGGAATATCAAAGAACCCCAATAATTCAATTTTAGATGAAATCAAACAAAGTTTAATTTTGGACCCTTTTGGCCTCAATATGAACCAATTTGATAACGGGGTCCAAAAATAAAAAATCTAAATACATGGTTAGATTCAGCATATCAAAGAACCCCATATATTCAATTTTTGTTGAAATCAAACAAAGTTTAATTTTGGACCCCAATTTGGACCTACTTGAAAACTGGGCCAAAAATCAAAAATCTAAATACATGTTTAGATTCAGCATATCATAGAACTTCATATATTCAATTTTTGCTAAAATCAAACAAAGTTTAATTTTGGACCCTTTGGACCTTAATGTAGACCAATTTGAAAACTGGACCCAAAATTAAAAATCTAAATACACTGTTAGATTCGGCATAACAAATAAATAAATGTGATCAAAGATTTTACAAATCTAATGCGCCATACTGTGCAATTAAAGATTACTTCTTGAAATTTTTCAATATTTGAAATTTGAAAAAAAAATAATATTTGAAGATTATTCTTTTTAATTTCTGAAATCTGAAATGAGAAAAAATTGACCCCCCCCCCACAATTTCTTTTTATCCCCCCCCCCCCTTTTTTTCCCCAAAAAATTCTTTCCCTCAAGATATGGTCATAATCTCAATTCAAATTTCCAATGGAGTTGGCAACCATAATTACCCATTTAAATTTACCATAGTGCTAACTTAATCTATTTTATAATAGAATTAAAAATATAGTGTCAAATCTTTCATATGTACTTTTTTGTAAAAAAAAAAGATGCAACATTTGCAGATATTTTTACTGGTCTTCCTTTATAAATATGCATTTCTTTAAACATAATTTAAAAGCAGTGTAAGGGAAGTAACCAAAACGTTGTATTTGGATTACCTCCCTTACACTGTTTTAAATTATCTTTATTGTTCATTAACCATTACTTTATACATAATTTAAAAGCAGTGTAAGGGAGATAATTTCAATGATGTATTTGATTTATCTCCCTTACACTGCTTTAAATTATGTTTTGTACTAAAGTATTTGTCCATTAACCAGGACAACCTTGTTTTTTCCCCTTTTTTGCCCCTAATTCCTAAACGGTTTGAGCCATAACCCCCCAAAGCAAATCCTAACCATCCCTTTGTGGTATGGAAACTTGTAGTATAATTTCCGAGAGATCCATACACCGTTCCACAGTTATTGTCTGGAAACTAGAAAATGCTTATTTTTGGCCCCTTTTTGGCCCCTAATTCCTTAACTGTTGGTACCATAACCCCCAAAATCAATCCCAACCTTCCTTTTGTGGTATTTAACCTTATGGTCAAATTTCAAAAAGATCCATTCACTTAAACTAAAGTTAGAGTGCGAAAACCAATGTGTCTTCGGACGACGACGCCGGACGACGACGCCAACGTCATACCAATATATGACCACAAAATTTTTTTGCGGTCGTATAAAAACTCGCATTCTGATATCAAGTACTTATATCCGTATGTTGCTTTTCCAAAATTCGTAAATAACTTCACTGAGTTCAATAGTTAAACTTGCATTTTTATTAATTTTTCAAAAATCGCAATAAAAAATGCACACAATAATTTTAAAAATATCAAACTTCAAAAATGCTACTTTTGTTTTTGTAAAACCTATTCTGTTTCAATTTTCAGAATAATAAAAACATCACAAATCTCTATAAGTTTTCCAATATCAGTTGGTCAGTGTAACGACTAAAATTATATTCTTAACCTGAAAATGTTTTTAGTCAAGTTATCAAAAGCCACATGCAGTGACCAAAGATCACTAAAACTTACAATTAATTCTGCTGGTTAGTTCAGTGAAATCATCGATGGCTTGTATAATACACATGTGATGACTCGTACTCCAGTCACATGACACTTGTTTTAATACATGTATTGTCATATTCTGTATAAAGTAAAGTAAGATGCATTAAACTTTTCTCCTCTGCTTACGTTACATAAAAGTTTTTGATTTATGTGAAGTAACATGTATAATAAAGTGACTTTTACTCTCTTTTTTATTCTATTGGGTACTATCTATTGGATAAGATGGTGAGTATATAGTATATATCTTCAATTCATTTTTAGGATTGTTTAAATTTCATGATATCTAATGTCAGGCTTGTTTGGTAGAATTCATTTTTTGTGTTTTTCCTTTCCTGATTCTAACCTCCCATGAAGAAATAATTTTTAGATGGTGGGATAATTTGATGAATTTATCTTTAATTGCAAAATGAGAGTGAAATAAACGGCTTGTAAAAAATATCTCATTTTTCCAAGAAAATATTGTGTACATAATGAATGATTTCTAGACCTAAAATTTAGATTGTTTTGAAAGCATTTCAGATCATCTCAGATCTTCTTACATTACATGCATTACAATATTAAAATATCCAATCTGGCTATCTGTGAATTTATTTTTGTGTATTAATGGAAAAAATGTAGTTTGATGGATGCTCGATTTTGTGGTTTAAAAAGTCTCCGTATTTAATTGAACACTATAAAATTGTTGTAAATCTTTTACCCATGAAAATTAGTATCATATAAATAATTATGAATCCATAGTTATTACCAACCTTTTCTTGGTGTTTGTACACACATTTCACTTCTTGTATATAAATTACCAACCTTTTCTTGGTGTTTGTACATACATTTCACTTCTTGTATATAAATTACCAACCTTTTCTTGGTGTTTGTACACACATTTCACTTCTTGTATATAAATTACCAACCTTTTCTTGGTGTTTGTACACACATTTCACTTCTTGTATATGTATAATTGGATCCTTTAAGTTTACCGACTTCACAAGCTTCATCATCTAAAATCATAAAGTTTAAGCAATAAACATACATCATGGGTTCTTGTAACGGGAAAATTCTTATAATACATCAGTGGAACATTAGGTAATTGACCATTTTAGTCCCGTTCATGATCAGGCACTCTGCATATAAAAGCAATGGGCTGAACAAAGCTTTACAGCATGCAATATCTATCATTTGCTTCAGTTCCATTCTATCAATATGTCTTAGGTTAAATTCAAAACAACCATAAAGTTTCAAAACTTAAAATAAGTACCGATTATCAGGTTTTCTGTTGATATTGTAAAATATCAGCTTCGAGTCACAATATGAAGCTTTTCTTTGAGTGAGTGCAGCGAATGAGTTCAAAAAGGCTTCATATTGTGTCGAGCAGCTGATATTTTACAATATCAATATGTAGACAACCAGATAAACGATTTATCGGGTTGTATTTGCGTATTTTGCATGAAAGAAACAAGCGTTTTCTTTGTTTCACCAGCAAACCGGAAGATGACTTGATAAGTTCGGGTCAAACTTATCAACATTGGTTCATACATTATGACGTCGCTGATATGTCTGGGTCAAAGTTATTAATGCCAAGACGTATTTGACGTCACAAAGCCTTTATATGCAATTTTATTAAGAGCTGAGCAGAGTGATATAGACAGTGGGACAACCGATAAGTACAGATTATCGGGTTCTCTACACATTGATATCTTAAAATGATTGCAGAGAGCTACAATGTGAACCTTTTTTTCGCAAGTGATATCTATACTTAGAAAACATGATAATCTGTTTATTGCTCTATTACTGGGCTTTCCCCCTCTGTTAGACAGTTGTACACTTGATGAATGTAAGCTTGATAACAAATCTTCACACCTTGTGACGTTGCTGATAACTTCTCAGCAGCTATTTTGAAGTTTCTGATAATGTCTGCTCACGTCTCAAAGCCATGATACAAGAATTAAGGAGCGACTGAGCAGAGTGATATAGGCGAAGGGAAGGATGATAATAAACCCTATTTCACCTTATAAACAGGTACAGCACTAGTACCTTAAGTATTTTTTTTAGAATAATATGAATATTGTGCCATTGTTTTGCTGCTTGATAAACTGGGATTTCATGTCTTCAACAATAAGCTTATTATAGACACTTTCAGACTGGCAGTGAAATTCAATCAAAAGGAATATTTAAGACATGTGTACTTAATTTGTTAAAACTTCTGAAAACTAATTATTTTTGCTGAAATTGTTATTAATGTTTTATCCTTTATTGCCAATTATGATTTTCACTATTGTTTATTTGTAATGATGAATTCAAATAAGAAAGGTTTCAAGATTCACAAATTCGCAACAATTTAATATTCACCTTATTTTTCTACTTGCCAAAAATAGTTGGTTAACAGCATCCACAGAGAAAACAGAAAATGTATATAACTACTCACTTTATTTTTCTGCTGTATATAAATAACTTTAGTTCCCTCCACAACAAAGTAACTCTTTGGTTTTCTGTGGTCTAACATCACAGAATCTACTCGCAACATGAGGGCAACTACAAAATAAAGTCATAATCCACATCACAGAATCTACTCGTAACATTATGGCAACTACAAAATAAGGTCATAATCCACATTACAGAATCTACACTTAACATTATGGCAACTACAAAATAAAGTCATAATCCACATCACAGAATCTACTCGTACCATTAAGGCAACTACAAAATAAAGTCATAATCCACATCACAGAATCTACTAGCAACATGAGGGCAACTACAAAATAAAGTCATAATCCACATCACAGAATCTACTCGCATCATTAAGGCAACTACAAAATAAAGTCATAATCCACATCACAGAATCTACTCGCAACATTAAGGCAACTACAAAATAAAGTCATAATCCACATCACAGAATCTACTCGCAACGTTAAGGCAACTACAAAATAAAGTCATAATCCACATCACAGAATCTACTCGCAACATTATGGCAATTACAAAATAAAGTGATAAGGCCACGCCAAATTAATACCTCGTTCATCGGATTCCCCACTTGTTGTGAAAGGTCGACGAGAAAAAAAGTACTTTTTTTAAAAACCTGCGTCCATAACGGAGCCGCGCGCGTCCGTCTCTAAAAATATGTATCAAAAATTTTAATCAGTTGTGCGTTTGAAATTAACGCCTTACAAACACGGAAATTGACATCAATAACGATCTAGATCTAACATTAACAACGTTTATTATGGCCAAATATGATATGATATATATTCTAAACGTACGACATGAGTGGAATATTTATATATATATAGTAACAGTGGAAACGCAGGCAAAGACCTTAATGCCAAACACAGCAGTGGAATGTGAGGACAATTCTTTTACCGATTTGTTTGAAGTGCTCCTTGCACCGCCACCGAATTGAAAGACTCAAATTATGACAATATAACATGCATAAGAATGAAAGAAAACCCCGAAAAGGTGTAACATACAATAAAAGGGCACGCAATGAAACTATTATATTTTTTACTTTTTTCCTTGAATCTTTCATTTGTATTTGCTAGTATCGTTACAAAGTTATAAAGCATAGAATTTGACAAGAAATTTTGTGGTAATTGAATATAATATATCAATCAAACTTTACAATTTACAAAATCTTCTAAAAATAAGAATTTGTATAATTTTCAATGAGACAAACTTTCCACCAGAGACCATACTTGTTGAGGTTTGCAACCATTATGGCAGTAATGAGTAAAGTTCATCAGCAAAGCAATGAGTAAGAAGTAATACCACCATTGTTTTTCTCCTATAAGTCTGTTAAATTGGCATTTTTCAAAAAAAAACTTAAAAAGTGCAGAATTTATCTTTGTTTCAAATAAAGAAATATTTGAAATGAGTAGAGTTTGAACCTGTCCAGTACTACAATGAAAATTTCACATAATATTTCATTGCATAGAAGATAATAACCAACACTGGAAGTAAACCAATCAAATTTCATCCCCTTTTTTGTCTCACCTTGACGGAGTCAAAAAGCGAGACATAGGTATGTTTTCCGGCGGCGGTGACGTCAACAATGTATTAATTTGTGATTAGGTCAGTTTATGGAGAAGTTCAGAACCACTAGGGGTAAGGTCAATGATATTTAATATGCAGTTATATAAGCATTGGCATATCTCATTTCCATGGAGGTTATTTGACCCCACCCCCTCATTCATGGTCTTTTGACTTTGAAACTTTTGCTAAATTTGCATGTAATAGTTTCTGATTAGGTCAGTATAAGGGGAACCACTAGTGATAGGTCAATCATATTTAGTATGCAGTTGTATTAGAATTGTCACATCTCTTTTCCATGGAGATTATTTGGCCCTGGCCCCTCAGTGATTGTCTATTGACTTTAAAACTTTTGCTTATTTTACATGTATTAGTTTGTGATTAGGTTGATTTATGGGGAAGCCCTAGTGATAGGTCAATGATATTTGGTATGCAGTTGTATTAACATTGGCACATCTCATTTCCATGGAGATGTTTTGGGCCCAACTCCTCTGTCATGGTATATTGACTTTGAAACTTTTTTTAGTTGTCAAATTCAAGGAATATTTTTTTCAACCCTTTTTCGTATGAAACCGGATGTGACACTATAATTTGGTGGTATTACACCCTAAATTGATTGTACTGAATTGTTCCTCTTGTTTAGTTAATATATATAGCATCTGATCATCAGTGATGTGATGCATTTGAATACAAAGTAGTATAACTTGTTGTGGTTATTGAAGGACAGCCCTTTATAAATACACAAATATGTATAGTTGTACAAATGTATATAAAAGCTTTATACATGCATATATGCTTTGCATACGTTTATATGAAACAGCATACCATTCTATCTATGCTTGTCTCAAGTCAGGAGCCTGTACACAGTTCACTGGTTGTCGTTGGTACATGCCTATTAATTTGTTTTTCGTAAATTGTTTTGTTATGAATTAGGTCTTGTTATGAATTAGGTCGTTAATTTTGTCATTTGATTCGTTTAATATTTTTCATGTCAGGGCCTTTCTATAATTGCATACATCCACTTCATTTGAACTTTGGTGGATAGTTGTCTCATTGGCAATCATACAACATCTCCTTATTTTTATAATACATCAATTATAACTTACATCAAACATTGATGTCTGCCTGTTCAAAGCTGTTGCCCTTTTTCATGTTAAGCAGGATCTTTATTTGAGCAGACTACACAAAGTTGTAGGTTTTGTTACAAATTGAGAAGCAAAGTAGGGTAATATAAGAACTAGGATATGAGATTAAAAAAAACATGAAGCACTTAAACTGTGTAAATTTCTGATCACTCGCTTGCTTAAAGTGCATTTCTTAGATTTAATTTTTTTAATATTTCAAAAATAATATCGCTCGCTAGAAAAAAAATTCTTTCGCCTGCCAAAAAATCAAATTTCAGAAAAAAAAACAAATAAAAAAATTTCGCTCGCTCGCTACCCTTTTTCAAGGAAATAGTCTGAAGAACTAGAAATTAATTTGGTGTGGCCTAATCCACACAATACAACTGCACTTTGATAAATTCTTTGATAAACCACATATTGATTTTATTGTTGTGTGTTATTTTCAACAAAAAAAACAGTAATGACAATCATCAAAATACAAAAGGTGCTTCCTGCCTGCTATTTCAATATTGTGTTAAATTTCTTGAAAATTAGTTTAAAAAAAAAAAGTTTTCATACATAGTGCAAATGGAAGAACAAAATTTAAAACTTCAAGTCCAATGACTCCCCTCATAAAATGAATAATAATTAAAACGAAAATGAAAGTTAACTTTATCAGTTGAGAAATCAAGGAGAAAAATATGTTTATAGCTGCTCTTAAACTTGGGCTAATAAAACTAACAATTTTATTATTTAAAAGAGAAAATACTCAAGATAAGGCTTAAATAAGCTGAAATATGCATCATTAAGAATTTTGAAAAATTATATGTTGAAGAAGGACATGCTACACCATGACTCAAAAGAAAAAGAGGAAAACAAATACTGTAAACCAACTAATTTTCGCGGATACTTTATTTCGCGTTTATCCCTTTCTACACCACTTCGCAGCCATTTAATTTCGCGATTTTCAAATTTACTTGATGTATTTTAATAAGGGAAGATCCAAGTTATACATATTCCGGACGATTTATATTCGCGTTATTTTTCTACTCGCGAAAGTCGCGAAAATACAGTACCTAAAGTTTACAAAACTTACCATTATTATTATTTCCTATGAATACATTAACATATGACACATCAAGTTTTATATCAATGTTAAATTTCTGTAAGATGGAAGGCCGATGTGTCGTCTTTATACTCTGTTGCTTCTCCGACATCCTCCGTATTCTAGTTATAGCACCAAAGAAATGTAAAAGTGTATTTATAGTATTTGTGGACCACTCTATATGTATATAGGTTGTCATAACATCTAAGCTTAAAATTTTGTCTTGCTGGTTAAGCTGAAAAAAACAATTAAAAAAATTCAACCTCCCTTACAAACTGTTCTATTTGTTATAATTCTGACAATATACATTCCATACTGTGATTCAGTGGAAGTTCTGTTTTATAGGTTTTTGTTTTTGGTTCTGTATTTAAAAAAAAATATTATTTCTTGGTATTGTATCATATTTTGTTAAGTTAACATTCTTTTCCTTTAACAATGTTCAATTTACAAAATAGAAGTAACTGCATAAAAGATATAGTACAACAGTCAACAACAATGCATTAAAGGATAAAATAAAGAACATATTCCAACAAGAATGTGTCCATTGTACACGGATGCCCCACTCCCACTATCATTTTCTATGTTCAGTGGACAGTGAAATTGGGGTCAAAACCCTAATTTGGCGTTAAAATTAGAAGATCATATCATAGGAAACATGTGTACTAAGTTTCAAGTTGATTGGACTTAATCTTCATCAAAAACTACCTTGACCAAAAACTTTAACCTGAAGCGGGACAGACGGACAAATGGACGGATGAAAAAACGAACGAATGGATGCACAGACTGAAAAACATAATGCCCATAAATGGGGCATAAAAAGAACATTCAACCATGCACCAATTTATTTACAAGAAGTTAACTTCACTAAAATATTAACAAAAGGGTTTCAAATCTTTTCACAACTTTGTAATCAAAATTGCTAATGGAACTCAGGTATACAGAACAGATTATGTGTCCATAGTACACCATGCCCAGCTCACAATATCACATCGTCATTTTCAGTGAACTGCAAAATTTTGGTCAAAACCCAATTTTTTTTCTTTTCTTTTAAAGTTCACACTTAATAAACATGTGTTTCAAGTTGACATGATCCAATTCTTGGTAAATTACCTTAAATTAAATACTTTAACCTGAATCAGGATGAACATATGAATGAACAGACGGACAGACAGACACACATACTATCGTAAGCAGGGCGTAACAAGTTTCCTGAGTAAGCTGCTTTGCCTGAGCAATATTAATGCCAATACCTAAACATTTTTTTAAACCTATTGATAGCATCTGAATTGAACTGACTAAATGCAAGAAAAATTTGTTACCATATCAACAAGAAATGATTGTAACAGGATGCTGTTACGAAGTCTCCCAAACGAAGCTCCCATAATTCGTAATTCCCAGGGTCGCCTGACATTGGGCAAAGTCCAGTGAAAATTGGTTTGGTCCAGTAAAGTTATATGCATTAGTGATACCTGGGGACTAACCCTGTATATCATTCAAATCATCTTGGCATGACAAACCAGAATATATATGGTTTAGGGGTGGGGATCTCGACCATTTACAAGATATTAGAACTTTCTCAAATGGCAGGGGTCGGGATGACCCCTGGGGACTAACCCTGTATATCATTCAAACCATCTTAGCATGACAAACCACAATATATATGGTTTAGGGGTGGGGATCTTGACCACTTACAAGATATTAGAACTTTCTTAAAAGGCATGGGGTGGGGGTGACCCCTGGGGCCTAACCCTGTATTACATTTGATGTGCTTAATCATGACAAACCAGAATATATATGGTTTAGGGGTGGGGATCTCGACCATTTACAAGATATTAGAACTTTCTCAAATGGCAGGGGGTCGGGATGACCCTTGGGGACTAACCCTGTATATCATTCAAACCATCTTAGCATGACAAACCAGAATATATATGGTTTAGGGTTGGGGATCTTGACCACTTACAAGATATTAGAACTTTTTTAAATGGCATGGGGTGGGGGTGACCCCTGGGGACTAACCCTGTATATCATTGCATGTGCTTTATCATGACAAACCAGAATATATATGGTTTAGGGGTGGGGATCTTAACCATTTACAAGATATTAGAACTTTCTCAAATGGCAGGGGGGTCGGGATGACCCCTGGGGACTAACCCTGTATATCATTCAATCCATGTTAGCATGACAAACCACAATATATATGGTTTAGGGGTGGGGATCTTGACCACTTACAAGATATTAGAACTTTCTTAAATGGCATGGGGTGGGAGTGACCCCTGGGGACTAACCCTGTATTTCATTTGATGTGCTTTATCATGACAAACCAGAATATGTATGGTTTAGGGGTGGGGATCTCAACCATTTACAAGATATTAGAACTTTCTCAAATGGCAGGGGGTCGGGATGACCCCTGGGGACTAACCCTGTATATCATTCAAACCATCTTAGCATGACAAACCACAATATATATGGTTTAGGGGTGGGGATCTTGACCACTTACAAGGTATTACAACTTTCTTAAATAGCAGGGGGTGGGGGTGACCCCTGGGGACTAACCCTGTATTTCAATTAATGGGCTTTATCATTTAGAACATTTTCAATTAAAAAGATTGTGTCTATCACAAACGGTTTTCAATTTATAATCATTTGAAAATTTAAAAAAATAAAATCCCATAGGGTTCTATAGTTAAACCCTCTTTTCTTTTTGCCCCTCAAAGTACACCTTTATAAACCCCATTGAACAAACAAAACCCTGATTGCACCACTAGACATGTTAGTCTAACATATTGTGAAACCCCAAGTTAATCTGACAAGTGGTTTTGGAGAACGGGTGCGGACAAGTTCAAATTTAAAAGCGGCGGAAGAGGAAGAAGAAGAAGAAGAAGAAGAAGAAGAAGAAGAAGAAGAAGAAGAAGAAGAAGAAGAATAATAATAATAAGAACTGAGCAAAAACAATAAGTCTTCCCAAACTTCGTTTGGGAGACTTAACAAGTGAAACTGCGAGCTACTGCTCACTGATGATACCCTTGCCCAAATATTTCGGTAAACAGGAAGTTGTTAAGTGATCAATCTGAAAACGCAATCACACGGTATAGCTGACTTCTATTAACCCTGAAACCAAATTTCAAAAATCCTTATGATGTAGTTCCTGAGAAAGATGCGACGAAAAATATTCATGGGATGGACGGACGGACAGACACAGGTAAAACAGTATATCCCCACTTTTTTAAAGTGGGGGTATAATTATTTCTGTTGTAACAGTTATATACCTTTCCCCTGAACAGTTCCAGATACAAGACATGATTCCAGAAATGTTTACTGCCCTTCAGCTCGTCAGGTGATACATGAGAATTATAGTGATGACACCAAACAGTTTGTACTTCAAGATCACATGAAATGTTATGTGCAAGATATGGAATGCCGACATCTGTAAAATAGAATATTGTATAACAGCTGCTAAAACATTTATTAACCATAAATTACAACATGTATCTGACGAATCTATCATTTCATCTGTCTATACTTGACTACCTTATGTGTCCGTTCCAAGCCTGGAGCTTGTTATGGCTGTTCCAACAAAACATACATGGGAACTGGGGAAGGCACTTTGACAATGGGATAACCACCCATAGAAGCAATTTTTGCATATCTTAAAATGTATTGTCCCGTCCAACCATAAAATTGAGAATGGAAATGGGGAACATGTCAAAGAGACAACAACCCGACCAGTGAGCAGACGACAGCCGAAGGCCACCAATGGGTCAACCATAGTTGCATTCTCTGGGTGCATGTACGTCTTAAAGGAACAGCCCTAATACAAAGACTATTGTACTTTTCATGATATTCACCTTTTTGTCCAAAATTGATGGTTTTGGTGGTGCACTAATACCACAGCCATCTGTTATATCTAACATCTAATACTTGTAAATTCATTATTATTCTATAGATACCTATTTTCATGGATTTCATTGGATAAGGTGAACCACAGATCTAAATGCTCAAAGAATCTTTACCTGTATCAGTAGGTTTTAAACTAGTGAAGAATCTTGTAGTCTGAAGTCCCATCAACAAACCACTACATGATACTGATGATATGGCAGCAGATACCTCTACAAAATCTATCTCAGCAGTTATCTCCCTTGTCTTTAGAAACTGCACAACCATAGGACTGTAAAATAAATGATGTACATAAATTATCATGTTGATGGAAAAAAAATTTCATAGGTGTCAATTTTTTTGTTTGACAAAAATAATGATTTCTACTAAACTTTATCATTTATTTTCATAAAAGTAGCTGAAAATAATGCTTCAATGTGGATGTTAGACGACCCATATGACGATCTTTATTTGTCTGTTTTTTTGCGGCCTTGTTCTGTAAAGTTGATTTCTCATGTATTTTTCTTTAAATCATCTTGAAATCCAAAAACTATCATTTATATATCTATTTAAGTGACAAAAAAAATATCATTAATTAATCAACGGATATATCAGACTAATTGCTTTAACTGAACTTACCTAATATGTTTAGACTGTTCTATATTTTCAGGTTCTAGTGACGATTTATTTTCAGGAGCAGATAACTTAGTAATAACTGATGACCAGTACTGTACTTCTTCATGGTGGTAATTAAAGAATCCTCCATGGACGTTAGAATTTGCTTCTAATGCTGTATCACTTATCTATAAAGAACAGAAATTGTCAAAGGAACAACATTTAGCTTAACTTGTAATTATAAAGCTGTCTTTCCATTTTTATTTTCAAATTTTTTTTAAAAAGTTATACCACTTAATCAACAAAATATATTATATACTGTAAACCAACTTATTTTCACGGATACTTTATTTCGTGTTTTATCCATTTTAGTCCACTTCGCGGCTATTCAATTTGGCAATTTTCTAATTTACTTGATGTAGTTTAATAAGGAAAGATCCAAGTTTTACATATTTGCGATGATTTATATTCGCGTTGTTTTTCTACTTGCGAAAGTCACGAAAATAAATTGCTTGCGAAAATAAGTTGGCTTACAGTAACTAAAATCAAGGTATATACTGTACTATATATATTGACCAGAATTAATGTTTGATTGAAACTTTTTATGTTTTAAACCCCTATATAAATGTTTCATTCACATTTGGCTTTTCAAATTTCGAGCATCACTAACGAGTCTTTTGTAGATGAAAGAGACTTCTGTCTGTAGTTAAACCAACGTTTAAGAGGAGCACCCATTGTCTTTTGTCCTTTGAATTTATCATTAATTTGTGGTGTAATACCACCAAATCATAGTATGTCACATCCGGTTGCATACGAAAAAGGGTTGAAAAAGATATTCCCTGGAATTTGACAGTTGTAGGAAATTAATCCTACGTTTCATTGCAGTAAAAAATTTCTGATTCATAAACATATATCTTGGGTGTTTCAAAAATTTGATTGGTTAACTTCCAGTGATGGTTATTTTCTTATATGCAATGAAATGTTATGTGAAATTTTGTCTATAGTACTGGACAGGATAAAACTTTACTCATGCCAAGTATTTCTTTATTTGAAACAAAGATAAATTCTGCACAATTTTTTGAAAAGTGCAAATTTAACAAAGACTAATAGGGGAAAATCAATGGTGGTATTACACCTATTGTTCCCATCTTAAATATAAAAGAAACATTTACCAACAGATTTTAATCAAACAACAATCTATAAATCAATCAATTTAACGTAATAAATTTGATAAACATGTGTAATGTACACCAATATTAGTAATTGATTGGTTAATTGTTGGTGTTTAACAATGAACTAAATATCTAATCTAACAATGAACTAAATATGTAATCTAACAATAAACTAAATTTTTAATCAAACAATGAACTACATATTTAATCTAACAACGAACTAAATATTTAATCTAACAATTAAATATTAAATCTAACAATGAACTAAATATTTAATCTAACAATGAACTAAAAATTTAATCTGAAATAACGATTCTTACCAAAACTTTTAAACTAAGCTTCAGTAATTCTGCAAACTTGACTTGTGGTGATTCTGTGTGAAAATCTGTCAAATCAAAACGTATCTTATATTGATAGCAAACATTATAAAATATTCTTTGGCTCTGTATGAAAGCAAGCAGAATGGAACATTAATTTCTAAACCTTTTTAACATTTTTTTACAATTTAATTTATGCCTGCAAAAGTAAATGTATTATTATTTTTTTAATTCAATGCAAAACAAAAAAGACTAATCTTGAAATTTGAATGTTGGATTAAATATTTTGTTAATTAATGTGCAGAATGAGTTTGTCAACAGTGTCCTCCAATGAAGTATGGATTCTTGTCGTTCATGTATAAAGTAGAGTTTAAATAATCATTAAATGTAATGCTCTGTGGTCAATTTTGAGACAGATGGGTCTTCTGAACTACATGAAGAAGTACAAACCTTCTAACAGTAACCCACAGAAACTTTTCTCTTCGTCCTGGCAGGCACTATCTTGGTGATACTCTGTATGGAATGTCTTCAATCCAACTGATAATGTTCTGAAATCATTTGTAAAGAGTGTAAACAAGACAAATACTTTGACCTATAATTGTTTACTTTTTACACATTGTGACTTGGATGGAGGGTTGTCTCATTGGCACTCATACCACATCTTCTTATTTCTAAATAATAACATAAACACAGATGAAATTAATTCAAATGAACTTCACTTTCATTCCTCTTTTTCACCTTGAAAATTGAGATTCCAAATGATGAACACAAGGATTAACACCTTACAGAAAATGAATGCTCTTGTGTCAAGTTCTTATCAGTTTTTGTGGCTAGATATCTGATAACTGTGATTTTTAACTTAAGTGCACACACACTTAGGTGTATGAGAACAAATAACCCTTAATTATTTTTAATCTTAATCAAGTAAATTCCAGTTTTTGAAATATTTTTCTGTCAGCGATAGTGATGGGTCAAGTTATTGACATTTGTATTTGATATTATATCAAAATTTCTACAAACCTTTGCTTTGTTTCTCTTACAATCTTTACATCTAATTCTGTTACATCTATTCCTATTTCCTAAAGATAACACAGAAGAATGACAGTTCTATTGCTATGTTATCCTTCTAATTGTCCACCTTCACAATTCTAACTAATTGCCTTTTTTTCCCATATTAATCTAGATAGATGCTTTAAGGTGGTACCCAACACCTTGACTAATATTAATTTGGCTCGTTTAATTTTCATAAAATTTTGACAAAATGTTTAATTTGACCTTTTGACATAAATATAAAAATTTCAAAAAATTTGAACCAACCACTTTATCAGAAAAATTTCATTGGTTATATAGCAGTTTGACAAACACTAATTTTGATCATTGAGAAGCTTAATATTTCCTACAACAATACAACGTGATTAAAACGTTTAGCTGATTTTTACAGAGTTATCTCCCTGTAGTGTTAGGTACCCCCTTAAACAGAAACTGCTATTGAAATATTTTTTGTGAAGAATTTTAAGTGCTCATAAACCAAATTCCGACATTCAATTTTACCAAGTAAATATAATAGTTCTAGACTGTGGCATCCAATATTTTCTGCTTTGATATTAAAAATTACATGAAAAGGTTTTATTTCCTTGAAATGGCAGACAAGCCCAAATTTGGTTTATTCAGAAGCTGGTATTACTAAATGATACATTTCTTTGGTACAGATTAACCTATCTAATTTCATTGTTTCTACTTCTGCTTTTACCTTAGATATAGAGAAGGAGTTGAGTATTTATATACTACAATTATAAAAAATTCAGCCTTGCAGTCATAAAAATATGAGTACGAGTAACAAACTCAGACTCAAAATTTGATCAATCAAATTACTTGATTAGGTGTTTCGAGTGCAAATTGGGTACTCTGAGTACTGAATAAAGGTGTATGACTGTAAGCCCAGCATATAAATATCATAAGATATACTGTAGAAACATAAATTTTCGTGAGGATGAAATTTCATGGTTTTGTCTTTGAATGTGATTTCATGGGGATTAAATTTCATGGTTTTGTCTCTGAATTTGATTTAATGGGGATTAAATTTCATGGTTTTGTCTCTGAATGTGATTTCATGGGGATTAAATTTCATGGTTTTGTCTCTGAATGTGATTTCATGGGGATTAATTTTTGTGATGTCCAGTATGTAAAAGTAATAATTGTTTGTAAATTTAAATTTTGTTGAGGTTTTTATTTAGCGAAGAACCTCCATCCATGAAATAAACAAAATTAAAATTTAAAATCTCAACATATTCAAGAAATTAAGATTTCTTCATAACTTTCAGGGTATTTTTCTCTGAAAAACAGTAGGTCATTTCATGCCTAGAAATATTTGTAAAATACATACCTGCGGTATTAACTTCCAATTAAATGATTTGGCTGTGTTTTGTTTTGGCACATCTGTAAAAATACATAAAATAAACCCGTAAAGATGCACAGGGAATATTCATTCTCCAAATTAATAACCAAACAAGAATCTATCAGTAAAATCAGGTGCAATAACGGAAATATACATGAAATTCTCTCAAAGTTCCATTATCATGCCTTTCTTAACCATTCATAAAATATAAGCATATAAAAATCATTCATCTCAATATTTACATGCAAAACAACATTTACAGGTCCAAACAGTAATTATACATTTTTTCTGAAATTTCCTGTATTTCTGACCGTCAAGCTATCAATAGTCTCTAAATATAGGGCAATGTTTTTTTTACTTATAGGTAATTCCAAGTTGTGATCTGCAGATATCAGACAACTTGACATGAATGCAAACATTTATGTATCTCTAAATATATGTAGGATGGATGGGGAGATAGCTGTTTCAAAACCAAGCAGATAATCTGTCAACCATGTGCAATACAATGTTGATGATGATAATTAGAACATGAACGTAAGAATGGGTTTTACTCATTGTTGAAGGCTGTACAGTAACCTATATCAATTTCTGTGTCATTTGGTCTCTGGTGGAGAGTTGTCTCATTGGCAATCATACCACATCTTCTTATTTTTATATGAAACCTACTTTGTTTTAATACAAGAAAAAACTTTTCATGTGATATCTCAAAAGGTTACAGTTTTTTTTTCGGAGTCAAACTCAACCAGTCTTTGCTCTTACTCGTACATGATAAAGTGGGGGAAGAAACAAATACCAAATTTTCAAGGATTTAAAAAAAAAATTAAAATAAAAAATAAAGAAGAAACTTCTTTACAAGAAACAAATCACAGTACACAATAAAGAATTCATAATTCATAAATTTGGACTAACAATAGCAAAAAATTTCCTAGTCTTTGGTTTGACCCAGTCTGTGATCAAACTTACAACCTTCTGCACTCAAGGCAAGCAAGCTACCTAGAGAGCACATAAAGGACCAAATCAAGTAGGATTTTAGACCACTATAACCTTTGCTTACCTTTATCACCAAGAGACTCTGATAGTTTATTCTTATTCACTAACTGTAAACTTGATAAAAATCCTGAAAAAAAATAAATAAAATATTCATAGTGGTTTTTATTAAAATAAAATAAAATTATTACAGAAAGACATTTTGCAGATTTATTGCATGTATGATGTAAACTTGATAAAAATCCTGAGAAAAAAAAATATTTTGAATATAATAATCATGGTTGTTTTTCTTTCTTAAAAAATGCAATTAATAAAAACATTAAGTAGATTCATTCATTCAAAATATCTAATAACACAACTGACTTTACTGTGAAGACTATTCTGTCAAAAAATTGTTGATTACAACCATGGTTGGTCTGTTTTTTTTGGTAGACTCAAAAAAGCTTTTCAGAGGGACCATCCATATAGGGGAGATGTTTTAACAAACATGTGATTTACATCACCTACCTTCTGTCATGTTGGCATGAGGCTTGTCTATAAGTAATCTCAGAGACTGAAAAATATAAATTATAAGTTCAGTAAAAGATTAGAATAATCGTCAGTCAACAGAAAGTAAAAGAGGGTTTAGGTCAATATGTAATAAACAAATTCAACAATAGTTCCTTTTTTTTCAATTGTTTATAGTGCACAATTATTGTATATATATTAAGTGAAGCAATTACAACAAAAGCAGGATTATACAAAAAACTTTTTCAAAGAATAAAGTTCAATAACTTCTCAATGTCATATCAAAAATTTATGAAAAACTAAAGGAAGGTCATCTTAATAGATATAAGTCACCAAAGTTTCATGAAAACTGCTCAAAGCTCTTTAAAGATATTGTCTGAAAACTGGAAAATCACCCCTTTTTTATGAATAAAATCGCATAACTCGGAAACGTAAAATCTAAAATATATAAAAGGGAACTCACGTCAATAGATATAAACAATTCACCAAAGTTTCATGCAAATTGGTTATTGTCCAACATGTTGACGACGGACAGACGAACGAACTGACGTACGGATGGACAACGGTATACCATAATATGTCCCGTAAACGGGCGTATAAAAAAGCATATAAACAATATAGCTCACTATACGGTATGGGTTTTGCTCATTGTTGGGACATGAGATTGTACGGTGACCTATAGCTGTTAACTTCTATGTCATTTGGTTTCTGGTGGAGAGTTGTCTCATTGGCAATTATACCACATCTTCTTATTTTTATATAAGTCAGGAAGAAATCTATTAAGAGGTTTGGGAGGAGACATCGATTGCTGCTTATTTACTTAACACTTACCCCTCATGACCTGAATCATGAATGCAGAAAATACAATTACACTGCTTTGAGTTTGCCTCAAACCCTTTTAATAGTTTTTTTAAGATATTTGGATTGAAAATAATACTGTAAATTCAAAAATATTTGCAATGTTTTCATTTATATTGTAGAAAATTGGGACATGCTAGGTTTCACTAAAATAAAAACTTGCATCATCTGTATACAGTATATCCTAAATCATAATAAGTAATCTTGCATTTTTATCAAATGTTCAACAATCACAATAATTTCTGAATTTACAGTTTTCTGAACAGACAAATGGTTGTGCAGACGCATTGACATTCCTCCTCCCACTATTGTTATTAGTGATGTTCTGATTCAGTGAGGTTAGAAAGTTACAAGTACCTTTAAATGTTTAATATTATCTTGTCTTGCTTGTAGATGTATGAATGTGCTCCAGGACATTTCAGCTAAACAGGGTTGTGATAACTGGTCCTAAAATAGAATTTGATTTCATGCTTATGTTAAATAATTCATGTAAAATTAAGGTCAACAGTCTTCAACAAGATACTTTTCCTTTTTTAAATAGAATTCATACAAACTATTAGGATTAACAACCATCTTAAAGTCATATGAGAAATAAGTGAGATGATAGAGCGTTATATATGTGTTTTTTTTATGTTTCTCATGCATACTCATTTGTTAAATAAACTTTGTCATAACGGTTGTTAAATGATTTGCTGTATCTTTTTTTTTTTATTATTTAAGAATCAGTTAATATTTGCACGTTTGTTAACCTTTTCTTTCATCACTTTCTTGCACTTGCACCGTGTGATTGATGAAGTTCTAACGAAATGTGTCATTGTTTAGGTCACTGCATAGGAAAAGCTGTCAGCGAATTAGAGTACGGGAAGACAATAATTCAATAGCTGTAAATTTCTGAAATTTTTGATAAAATTTAGGATTTTCTATTATGAGAAAGTCTATTAAATATACCTTCTTTTTTCATATAATAAAACAAAGCAATAAAGGAAAAAAAAAACATTTTTCAATTTTTTATTAAATATGACTTTAATACTATCATGACAAATGCATGATATAGATCGTCTAAACTGAATGTTGTGCAATACTCTATTTCTCAACAGTTTCAACTCTATTTTTTAGAAAATCTGTTGAGAGAGAAGGGATATTTATCTCTTTTGATGCATGAAAGAATCTGAATTCAACATAACTTGATTTCTATTGCTGTTTAATCTCTAAGGCAATTCTTTTGCATAAATAACCAAATTTATACTTAAAAAATGATGAAATTACTATGGGAGCTAACTGTGCTCCTATAGATCTAAGAATATTGTTTGATTCTACAGTATAATAATAATTCTCATAACTTACAGTAGTAACACTTCTTAATGCTTTACAATTCACACCAACAACATCTAATATCACAGAATAGCTGAAATATCCACAAAAACATCTTTTAGTCCATAAATGCAACTAACATTTGTTTCCTAAATCATTATTTGGTAGGGCTAATTCGGTATAAATATGACAAAGACTTATTGGGATCATCAGATTGATATTATTAGTTACATAGTGTGCTAGTGACCTAATACGATATATATGGGGTCAGTAAATTTAATATGAGGTGAGAGCGTAGCTCAAATCCCCATACGGAATTTACTGACCCCATATATATCGTATTAGGTCACTAGCACACTATGTAACGAATTTATCTTACCGACTATCTTAACATGTGGTATTCAGACTAGTGGCCTATCAAAGTAATCAAGTCTTCAATACCGGTAGTATTAAGAACCTACTTCCATTGGTCTATACAAAAACAAATGCCAACAATAACAACTTGTTAGCTTTAAATGTGTTTTATGGATTTATTTCAATCGTTCATCATCAATTTCTTCGTTTGTTGAAACCTTTCAGATTTTTCCTCAACACATTGTTTTTATAAAGGGACGCATCATCACTACTAACCGTGTATTGAAATAAGCCCTGCCAAGGCGGCTACTAACCCAATATGGAATATACATGGTCTCCACGCGTTTGCTTTCAACCAATCATATTCCTAGAAATGTATAGGAGGTAAGATAAATGCCCATATTGTAATTTACTCTAAACTTAATTTCTCCATTAAATGTAGTGACATCATCCCCTCATTCAATTTGAAACACTGAAATACAATGAAATAAATTGAGATTGTCTGACCTTCTGTTTTGTTAAAACTTCACAACTACATATATATTTAATAAGCAGTGCACGGAAAAAATTATCCATCAACCCCAAAAAATTTGATGAGTGGTGAGTATTGCAGAAAGATAGCCTGAACAATTCTAGAAAATATTCAATTAAAATTTTTGTGCATAGCAGGTAAAAATTTAAAAGTACCTCCTGACGCCCCTTGCATTTATTTCAAAAACAGCCCTTTTGTTATCAATGTGAAAATTTCTTTTAAGTACAGGTACAACATCATTTTATAAAGGAGTAGACTCGCTAAGACCCCTTTTTGGCCCCAAAATATAGCATCTTTACAAATTTGTTAAAAATGTAAACTTTTAGCTATTTATTGGAAAGTATAATACTTTTGTTGCATAATTATGGGCTGTTTTTGACTATACAATGCACATGCATCAGGTACTAGCATTACTTATTCATTCAAAATTACTGAAATCTTAAAAAATTTAGCATTAGTTCTTATTTTTAGAAAGTTTCTGTCTAAAATGGAAGTGGCCGCATTTATGTTCAGTCTTAATATTTAAATATATGTTGTGTTTGATGATAATACATAACAGTGTTCCAGCTTGAATCTCAGGGCAGAAGGGTGCTAGTTGTCTGAAAGGGCACTTTAGCGTTATAACCCAGATTTCAAGGGCACTGTTGGACAGTGTATAAATTACCTTGAATATTGCTAGGCTCAGCTGGAGAACATTAGTTGTATTTAAACCATATTCAGAAATTAATGTGTTCTTGATGTTGGTTCCAGTAAGAATTTTTTTAATCAAATGATCATACCATGAAGCAAAGCATATCATTTTGATTTTAATCTAAATAAACTTGTACATTTGGTGAGGAAAATAATCATCAGAAATTTCAATGTTTTATAAAAGAGGGACGAAAGATACCAGAGGGACAGTCAAACTCATAGATCAAAAACAAACTGACAACGTCATGGCCAAAAATAAAAAGACAAATAGACAAATAATAGTACAGATGACACAACATAGAAAACTAAAGACTAAGCAACACGAACCCCACCAAAAACTGGGGGTGATCTCAGGTGCTCCGGAAGGGTAAGCAGATCCTGACTTATAACTTATACCAGTCTATAAAAATAAACGAGTAGTTTTGAAAGATGGAGTTATACATGCAAAATTGAATGTTTAATGTAATTAAATTATCTACATCTAAATTACTTGTTCAAACATATAGTATATATGTTATTGAGAGTTATTTATTATCATCTGAATTGTTACAAAAAAGTATTTTTAAGTGCACACCAAAGTGCTCCTCAGTAAGGAGTTTTATATATATAACAGGTTAGACAGGAGATGATCATATTATATTGATGCAATAATATATTGCAGAAGGTATAAACAGTTACTTTTTTCTCCATCATTGTTAAAAATAAATTTGTTGAGTGCTCCTATGTCAGGAGGATTATAAAATACAAGAAGTAAAACAGGAAGTGAATCTTGTTATGTTCAAAGTACAAATTTCTTTGATTCTTCTTTAAATTTCATAGTCATGGTTATGAAACAAAACATTTTTTACCGATTTAGTCAAAACTATGTATGCCTTTAAAATTGTAAGATTTTATTTTTTATGTTATGCCTACTGAAATAAATTTTTTCAGGTGTACATGCTGTACATAAACATTACAAATGGATAACATGTGGACATTTCATTCTGTATTAAATATCTAGTATTTGTTCAATTCTCTTAAATCCACTAATTAGCAGTAAACAATCATTAACAAAGGTGATAAAACTGCCAAAGCATTAGGTATTTAACTTAAACCCATTGTCAGTTAATTAGTGTTACACAATCAGGTAACAATTTTACAGGAACACCGGTAGGCATGAAATTTGGAAATTTTATTTTTTTTAAAAGGCAGAGGGGTGCATTCTTTGACTTTGGAGGGCAGAAGGGCGGGGGTAAGGGCACCAAGGGGGGCCGCCCTTCTTTTTAGGGCTGGCAGGAACACTGTCATAACATATATCAAGGTTGAGACTGAACACGAGTGAGGCCACTTCTACATGTGTACTAAGTTTCAAGTTGATTGGACTTCAACTTCATCAAAAACTACCTTGACCAAAAACTTTAACCTGAAGCGGGACAGACAGACAAACGGACAGACGAACAAACGGACAAACGAACAGACGCACAGACCCAAAAACATAATGCCCCTCTACTATCGTAGGTGGGGCATAAAAACTCATAGCCATGAAACAGCCAACAGTGCTGAAAGTGGTGTTAAACACCAATCAATCAAATAAATTTGACAAATTGAAGAGCTGCATGCATTAAATAATGATGGCATTAAAACAGGTGTAAATATGGATGAAAAAAGCAGAAGTGGACACACAAAAGTGCATAAGTGGAGAATTAGAAATAAAATTTCCAAAGATTTAAAAGCAAAAAGATTTTTGACAAACCCTTTGAAGACTTGGGGAATGGAAAATGAAAATATTAATTTACTTGATTTGGCATGTTTACAATTGTACAGTATGAATAAAAGTAGATATTTGGTATTCTGTATATATCAAGTGGCAGCATGCCGACAACAACAAAAACTAAAAGACATCTCAAGAGCAAAATTATCTTTAGTAATAGCATGAGGCAGATTCCATAAACGAAAAGGAAATGTCTGTCAAAATGAACAAATAAATAAAAATAATACTAACTGTTATTTGAATGACAATCTGTGAATGTTTTAATGAATAATAATGTTAAATGAAGTAAAAAAACAATTATTTGATATAACTGTTTCTATTTGAAGTAGAAATGATTAAAACAAGTTGAAAAAATGCTAAATGTTTGACAGAATTACTTCCCATTTTTTGACACAAGCTTTATGCGTTACAATGCTTTATTTTGATACTGGTATAAAGGTTTTTATAAGGGTAGTCTGATTATTCAAACATCCCTGTTTCCAAATCTATTGCTTTGTTTTGAGTCAAAAACATCTGTGATATAATATTTTTTCAATATCAAATATCTTGCTTTATAGCTGCTTGTCTGTCAATAAATCTTATGACAGCAACATGTTCGTAAAATCTTGCCACATCCTTGTAGGTACTTATATAAGCCTGTTAAAACTGTATTTCATAATGCACATTAAACAAACACATGTTGAATCTTTCAATTAACTTTATTTATTCAATAGTTTTATCAAATATGTTGCTAACACAAGTTCTGTCAAACTTGTTATCTTATGTTAGTAACATTTGGATGTGCTACAAATTAAGAGATATCTGTCCTGGGGTGAAATCTTGTTAAATGTCAGGCTGCACTAATTTCTATTTTTAAAATGACTTTCAACTAGGATAAGATCTCCAATGTTAGTTAAAAAACCCAAATATATATTGTCTGTCAAATTTATCTGATGTAAGCAACATCTTATATTAGCATCAAGTCTGTCAAATCTTATGTTAGCAACAATAAAGTCTGTCAAATCTTATGTTAGCAACAATAAAGTCCGTCAAATCTTATGTTAGCAACAATAAAGTCTGTCAAATCTTATGTTAGCAACAATAAAGTCTGTCAAATCTTCTGTTTGCCACAATGTTCATTTCCGTCATATCTTATGTTAGCAACAATGTTCATTTCCGTCAAATCTTAAGCTAGCAACAATAAAATTCCGTCAAATCTTATGTTAGCAACAATAAAGTCTGTCAAATCTTATGTCAACAACAATAAAGTCCGTCAAATCTTATGCTAGCAACAATAAAATTCCGTCAAATCTTATGTTAGCAACAATAAAGTCTGTCAAATCTTATGCTAACAACAATAAAGTTCGTCAAATCTTATGCTAGCAACAATAAAATTCCGTCAAATCTTATGCTAGCAACAATAAAGTCTGTCAAATCTTATGTTAACAACAATAAAGTCTGTCAAATCTTACGTTAGCAACAATAAAGTTTGTCAAATCTTATGTTAGCAACAATGTTCATTTCCGTCAAATCTTATGTTAGCAATTCTAAGAAAATCTTTTTTATTGGTACATGTGGATATTAAAAAATATGTTATATCAATTTGCCTTTCATTTGTAAGCAAGATATACATCCAAACCTTGAAAATACTGAGTATATCAGGATTGTTCATGTTGCTAACATAAGAATTTTCTGTCAAAATGTTTGTCCTTTTTCTTATGATAGCAACATAATATTTAGCGTGTCCTTTATTTAAAAAATATGTGAATAGATTTATTTTTTGTCAAAAAGTCTTTATTTATTTTAGTATAAAATGTATTCCAAAACAGAAGTTCATTGGTGTTGATTAAAGCCAAACATATTTATGGGAGTTTTTTACTCTCTTATATGGAAGCTGCCATGAATGGATCAATCTTAAATCAGCACGATATTTAACTTTCAAACTTACCATCCTTCTACTATGGCAATATCCAAGTTTATACTCTGTCCATCTAAGTGTACCAGACAGTCAGGTATCATAGTATTAAGTAACATCACAGTCAGATTGTTTATCTTTAGACCTATATACTGTAACAAAAAAAATAAAAATGTCTTCCCATGTTCCTTTGAAATCATGTGTCACATGATCACAGTATTCAGTGAATGAAACACTTCAGTGCAATGTATACTGTAAAGTCAGAATTGATATGTGCATTAATCATTTCTACATTCATATTACTGTAAATTCAGAAATTATTGCGTGCATTTATTATTGCGATTTTTGAAGAATGGACTAAAATGCGAGATTAATTATTGCGATTTCAGAAAAATCTGCATACAGATATAAGTATCAGATATCAGAATGCGAGTTCTTATTATTGCGATCTTCATCCACTCGCATTATTCGCATTAATAAAAACCTCGCAATAATTTCTGAATTTACAGTATCTTAATATTGCTAGCTTGATTCCTGGTTTTGTTATAGCATATCATATAATGCAAATATTGGGTATGAAAAATTGTGATTATTCTGATGTTCATTTTGAGATCAGAAGTAGAAAATTAAGAGTTTAGCAATTGGAACCCAATTTTTCAATGCAATTAAAGTTCAAAACAGAATGTAAGCAACTTAATTACAAATGATAGGAAATAAATGGGGAATGTGTCCCAGGCCCCGCTTGCATATAACATTATAAAGGGACATAACTCAAGAACGGTAAAAGTGAGGCTACCCAAATTCATTATTGATCTGAGTTTTGTGGTAATAATTATTGTGTATAAGTTTCATAACATTTGGTGGAGGCAAACTTAAGTTAGAGAACGGAGACCAATTTAGGGCGTACGGACTGACAGACGGATATACAGATGGACAAGGGTAATAACTTAATGCCCCCTCCGCTATGGCGGGGGCATTAAAACTAGTATAATATGGGTCTACTTCAAGTGACCTCTAGCTGTCATTTTGTGTTTTAGTTTATTGTTGTTTTTATCCCATCGATTAATATCCCTGTATTCGTATCTGCAAGTTTAGTTTGTTGCTGTCACAAAATTTAAATGGTTGCAGATTAACAAAAAAGTGATGGCAACATGATGACAGACAGACACCTCTATTTGCCCAAGTCTGATACCAAACAATGACTTCCATGACAACTTGATGACAAATGACAACCCTATCATTATCATACAATACTGCCAGATCAAACAGACAAGAAACATGTAGTTATTGGCCTAATATTTTGGTTTTGAACAATTTGATATGTACAAAACATCCTCCTTTTAACCCCTTTTTTATTTGACATTTGTACATAACTAGAAAAACATATATCATTTTACTTTTAAAATTTGTATGATTTGTTATCCAACATGTTACACTCAATTTTCTGAATTGTTCAATTGGCCAATATGTACTTTTAAGTTATATTTCGTTGAAAATTGATTGTGTGTTTTTTTTTTCTTTCAAAAAGTTGCTAACAAACTCTTAATTAATACTCAGTTGAAGGTTATATATATCTTTGAGACAATTACTTTGGCAAGAATAGCAAATTTTGGCAGAGTCAAATTCTCTTCTGTCGTTCTTCTTTCTGAAGGCTGATTTGGTCTATTGTTGTCTTGGTGAGCATTGGCTTGTATTCTTATATCTGATATGCAAACAACAACTGGCTTCCTGTTAGAAAATATAATATGAAATGTTATTTACTATTTTTAAATTAAATCACAGATAAAATTTTATAATGAATATGAATAAAAGGAGATGTAGGGTATACAGTAATGATACAGCAATGCAACAACACAAAATAAAAAACATACAAGAAAGATGATGATGATGATGCTGATGATGATGATGATGATGGTGATGATGACAGATGGATGTTTAACATCCAGTTTGCAAATTGAATGCATATTCAGGATGAAAACATGTTAAAAAATGCAATTTGAAGATGAACCCGGATATGTAATACTATAGACCTACAAGTTGAGCCAGACTTCTTAATGTGGTAGCACACAAGGTAACAGTAGACATATCATCCTATTTAAACACATTATTCCGACTCTGAGCTGCCCAGTCTTTGATCTTACTCCTTGATGTCTCATGCTTAGCAGAGAAGCAGCAAATACCAATTTTAAAGTTTTTGGTTTGACCTGCTTTGAGATCGAAACCCACAACCTCCCACTTTGAGGCGACCATGCAGTCACAAGATGGTGTAAATAAAGAGAGACATTCAAATATTAATCTGTTTGATTATACAATGTATACAGGTTGGGTTTTTTTGGGGTTTTTTTTATGAAGTTTACAATTCTAGAGGTCCTCCTTTTAAAAAATAAAATTCATACTCCAGTACACTGGTTAATTATTAGAACTTGGACCTGAAAATACATGGTTCCTCTGAGACGCAACTCTAATTCCCTTTCAAAACAAAATGCTAGCCAAAATAAAGACTGCTTTGTGGAATATTAGTTCATATCAGAGAGTGATTGATACGCATGATACAGTATATTTTGTAATCAAAACATTGACAGTTACTGTCAGCTTTTTAAACCTCTTTTATATACAAATGTTTGTTCATTTTAAATAAAATCTGACTGATCAATTAATAAACATAGAAAACATGTTATCAAAATATATGCAAAACAGAAGAAACTCAGTATCTTTCTGGGATAGATTTGGAGAAATATAAAGGAAATGGATCCCTCTAAATGAGTACCAAGACCCCATTTGATATATATATATATAAACAAGTCTAAATTGAAAACAACGTTAAAACCTATGATTGCGTTGGATAAAAACCGCAATTTTTATACGTGTGCATGTAAAACAATTTCGTGGTAGAGGGGTCTAAATACAGCACAAACAACAATTTCCAAAAGACCAAAAAGAGTGAAAAAGTATATTTTAACAAAACGCATTTGACTAACAGGTCGAACAACTGATATATATATATATGCTCTTTGACAAATTTTTGGGTCCATGACTCAAAACTGATTTCCAGGTTCTTCATCTGCATGCTTATGCAAATTAGGACTCAGATTTGAAATTCTCTTAATTATTTTCTTTATCAGCAAAAGTGCCGACTGATGGCAATAAAACTTTTAAAAAAACGCATCTTGCACAGAGTATTCTAATTAATTTTTAATCTTATATCAATGTATAAAACAACCATCTGGAATTCTTACGATTTTTCTTTCTTTCATTAGCAAAAGGTCACAGACATTTTTTTTTTATCTCTACATCTTTCGTAAGAACAGGTTGCATGACACGGCTCATAATAAACCTATCTAGTGTTAATTACTATTGATTCAATGTTATTCTGTACAGGTGAGGTTGAATGATGTGAAATTTACACCTGTACGTAACATGTCAACATGTGTTTCGCCTGTATCATATGTACTTATTGCATGAACTACTGAAACAATTCAATCTAACATCTGTCATCAATATGACAGTTTACAATTACAAGTTAAAAAAGCCTTTATTCAAATTTTTTTTTTTTATCGGACTTCCAAAAAAAATGTAAATAAAAAATAATCTGTGATGACCTTTTCATTTATCATTCTGATCAGCAATGTTTGATAATTAATTACTGATAATAAATATCAAATATGCAATAATATTAATCAAAACTGCAATATCAGTTCATGTCATAATTAATAATCCCTTTAATAATAAATAACAAGAACATTCGATGCCTGAGTGATCACGGTGATACACGATAGACATGTCCTATACTTGTGCAACTTGTTTTATCCACATATCCATTCAATAAATCACCTTTCAAGCTTTGTAACATTACACACACAAAACAGGGGTAGAAGAAACCCCCCCCCATTAAAACACAGAAAATACTTTTAAAGACTATTTAAGTTGATATTCAGTTTGAAGTTTGACAATTAACGTCAGCACATCATGACCCCAAATAACCATCGTAGAGAGGCAGAGAAAATGTTCCAATATTATATGTTATTTGAGATCTTCACAAGGAATACGAGCCCATATCCTCTGGTGAAGCCCTAATAACCATTATATTATACTGGAGTGTCCTCACAGATTTCAAAATTAATTACCATTCTAATTTTCCTTCTAACTTATAGGGAGACGGATTTATATAAGAGCACTGCTCTTGTTTCCTAATCCCAATTATTGAATCTCTTGTATATTTCGTATTTATGTCTTTACTCTTGTAGCTATATATTATATCGATTTCTTTAATAAAATATGTTTACAGTAACTCACAGGGTATACATGGTATATGGGCTGTAACACCACTGTCCCAGATTAGGGGAGGGTTGGGCGCTCGCTAACATGTTTAACCCCGCCACATTCTGTATGTACATGCCTGTCCCAAGTCAGGAGCCTGAAATTCAGTGGTTGTCATTTGTTGCTGTATATCATATTTGTTTTTCTTTCATTATTTTGTACATAAATTAGTTTTTTCGTTTGAATAGTTTTACATTTGTCATTTAGGGGCCTTTCATAGCTGACTGTTCGGGATTGGCTTTGCTCATTGTTGAAGGTCGTACAGTAACCTATAGTTGTTAATTTCTGTGTCATTCGGTCTCTTGTGGAGAGTTGTCTCATTGGCAATCATACCACATCTTCTTATTTTTATATCATATACCCTGTCAAGGCAACCAATCAATTGCAGGATTTGACGGAATATTTCACTCCAGTATAATATATATATATATATCTTCAAAGTCTTAACTGCATGGTTTTTCAAATACTGTTTATATTTATGGTGGTTTTAAAATAATATTTAAATTCATGGATGTTTCAAATATATTTATTTTCACTCACTCAAATATTATTTATACAATGCGTTGACGGAGTATTTCAAATATCATATATACACAGAGACTTTAAAACATTATTTATATTCACCAAGGTTTCAAAAAATAGCAATTAAAGACAATCTATTTTATGAAAATGCTTTTAATGCCACTCATGACATCATGACCTCTTTATGTCAGTTTTGCTCTACATTACTTTTGATCTATTCCAGTGACATTAAAACTCTAATGGAAGTCTAGCAATTACCTGAAAATGGTGACAATCAACCTAGATTACCAAATAAGGTCGCACATCAGTCTAGGTTTGGAAAATGCAACTGATTTTGTTTTAAATGCTGTATATTTGTTTTAATCAAAACTTATGAGATATCATTTAAGACAGATGAGGTATTAAACAAACAAAAAAAAGAATCAAGGTACTACTGCTTGAACACGCTGTTTCTCATAATACAAATAAGGAAATATAAGAAAGTGTGATCTTAAATAGAGAAAATCAAAATATATTTCCATAACTTTTGTAATTCGCTTTTCTAGTTTTGCAGCAAAGGATTTCTAATAACATGTCCTATTCAAGACAAAATTTTGTAGACTAATATTTTCAATATTTATCCAAAAATGGCAATTTAGAAACATGCAGCCTTTTCAAATGATTTTTATAGATTGTTCTTATGTTGTGCTGTTTACACCACTGTCCCAGTTAGGGTAACGGTTTGGCGTCCACATACATGTTTAACCCTGCCATATTCTGTATGTGCCTGTCCCAAGTTAAGAGCATACAGTAATTCAGTGGTTTTCATTTGTTGCTGCGTATCAATATTTTTTTTAATATTGTTTTGTACATAAATTAGGTTGTTGGTTTTCTAATTTGAATTGTTTTTCATTTTGTCATGTCAAGGCCTATAAAGCTTACTATGTAGTACAGTTTTTGCTCATTGTTGAAGGAGGTACTGTCAAATGACTGTGATTTATAGAACTTTGCTATTATCTATGTCATTTGGTCACTGGTTGATAGTTGTCTCATTGGCCTCAATGGAAATTCTTCTTGGCTATAGATATAAGAAGATGTGGTATGAGTGCCAATGAGACAACTCTCCATCCAAGTCACAATTTGTAAAAGTAAACCATTATAGGTCAAAGTACAGCCTTCAACACGGAGCCTTGGCTCCCGCCGAACAACAAGCTATAAAGGGCCCCAAAAATGACTAGTGTAAAACCATTCAAACAGGAAAACCAAACGAGAAACAAGAAACACTTATGAACCACATCAACAAACGACAACCACTGAACATCAGGTTCCTGACTTAGAACAGGTCTGATTTAATATGGTACATCATTTGTCTAAATGTCTTTAAAAATGACAAAGCTATAGCTAGCCAAAACTTTTATGAAAATATATATGAAAACTTAAATGAACTAAAGCAAACAAATTGTAGAGTACATTAAAAATCAATTAATTCTTTATTTAAAGAAGACAATTCTACTTAAATGATATTCCATCTTTGCATAATCACTATATATATTTTCTTCAAAGGATAAAAAACTGCATCTACAATTATCCAACATGAATAATTAATCTCTTATCATTATCAAAAGCCATAAAGTCAGGCTGGATATTTATGTAAAGTGATAACAATTAGTTACTGAAACCCATTGAAGCTTTTGTGTTTAGAAACCTCTTTCTGTCCCTTTTGGTATCCTTCGCCTCTCTTTTAACCCATTATTACTTTTAACAGGAAAGAATGTGGTTCCCTTCTATTCAAAACACTGTGGATTCATTATCATTCACTGCAGAACTTATTTCGGTTAGTTACAAAAATTCATGTGCTCAACAAAAAATAAAAATTCATCAATTTGGCAAACCATTATCAGGTTTTTCAATCAATGCGAATTGATAGTCATGAAAATAAATGGAATCCAGAATTATAAATGACATCTCAATGAATTCAACATTTTTCACTTCTGGCCTAATGGTCAAAGAGAACAAGTTTTAATAAAGACAAACATAAAATATATTACGCATTACATACCAAATAACAATTAACCTTGACCTTATGGTAATATTGTCACTATGACAAATCTTTAATGTAAACACAAGATAGAAGATGTAAGCTGTAACTGTCAGTTAGCCCTGTCAAAGACCAAGGGTAAATAAATGTGAACAGCTAATGATTACAATAAATATTTATGATGTTTTGTTGCTTAATGCCCATCATCCATGCTATCATCTTAAAAGAAATCTTTAAGTCTTAATAGACAATGATTAAGAACTAGTACCACGTTGACACATTTAGTCCTTAGTTATTACGGTACTGTATATCATGCAATTGTTCCACATGTATGACATGTACAACTAACAACTTCTTGCAGCAAAGTTGACCGTATAAAAATAAGAAGATGTGGTATGATTGCCAATGAGACAACTGTCCACCAGAGACCAATTGAGGTAGATAGTTTTAGCTGTAATCTTTAGGTCCTTTTCTATTTTCATGATTTTATGGCCTATAATATTTTATATTTTGGCTTCCCAAACATGTTGGTCTATGTGATGTAATGTAACCGTCAGTTAGTCCTGTCAAAGACCAAGGGTAAATAAATGTGAACAGCTAATGATTACAATAAATTGGCAAAAATATATAAAGAAGGCTTAATTGAAACTGAAAATTTTACATATAATTGAAGCCTGATTTAGCTTGTAGGAATGAAAAAATCTGCTTTTTCAAACTTAACTTATTATGGTTATATCTTTAACAAAAGGTGAAAGATTAAGACCATTCTATTTGGCAATTTAAATTTATTCAGAAAAAAATAGAGCTACTCTATGGTTGTTAAATCCATGCAACATTGAATGAACATCTTGGAATATATATGATAATGATAATCATTTCTCTTTTCTATATTTTCTATGAGAATCAAACAAGATCTTATTCTCTAGTTATGAAATTACTTAATTAAATCCTTTTAGAAATACAGTCACTGACAAATGTTAGACGATATACTTCCTTTTCAAAAGATATTATTAGCTTTCATTAACAGAAAGCAAATTCTTGAATAAAAAAATATGGCTTGTGTGTAATATTTTAATACAGTATTGTTTTTGATGCCGATTATTTGTTTCTCTTCGGTAAATTTAAATTGGAATTAATCAGGTTATTCTTGATTTTGATTATTCTACTAACCTAAATCATGCCTGAGACTGCTTAAAAGTTGAAGATCTTTAGGGTCAACTCAAAGCTTAGGAAATGTCAGACAAAGAAATTCAGCATTAAAAATACTCACTTGACCTCCTGATTTACAAAACAACTGGACAACCAAGCTTTATCTATTTCCTAAAATAAACATCATAAAAAATTTTATTTCACACTCACTTTTTATGGTAATATATTACTTATAAAGCAAACTAATATAAGAGTTGTCCATCAAATTTTTGTTTTATTGGCTTATTTGTGTTATTGAAAAAAAGGTTATGAAAATACTATTTAGTGAAGTTATTAATTGTTGCATCTTGAGTTTTTTTGGATAAGTATTAATTTGCTTGCATTCAGTTTGAAATACAACTAAAACATTGTTTTAATATTTTTAGCGTGTTTTTTTATTGAAAATCTGAACATAGCTTTACTTGGAGCATTGCACATGTTACTTGAGATCATATTTTCTGTTATCTAATCTGCAAGTTGGAAAACATGGGAAATTGGTATATTAAAAACATTAATTCATGACAAAAAATACCTAAATATGAAAAAAACAAAAGGCAAAAAAACAGTGCTTTCATTGTTTTTCAGCATCTCATAATATAATCACAATGAGGCCTTCAACACAGAGCAAATGCTCACATCTCATTGGGCTAGTTTAAGATGTTCCCCTGCACAGGTTGGAGTGGAAATCTTTGATTAAGGCTGATCAGCTTTCTTTAACACAGTATTTTTTTGCAATTTGTAGTTTTGTTTATGTCATCTGTTGAAATATTATCATATTTTTTTCTTGAAGTCCACAATAAACCTAATGAGTTATATTATCATTATTAAAAGAAATGAAAATCTTACGCTACCTCAAAAGAATCAATGCGTTCAAAGACTGAAGAGAGCTGCTCAAGTTGATGTTATTGGAGATGTCTTAATCTTGATCTTAATTGTGTGTTTTACAGTGAGCTCTCTTAAGTTTATCACCGGATACCTTGCTTCTAGCAACTGTCAAGATGAAAAGCAGCAATAAAAAAGTCTTGTTCTTTGGATAAATTGGCTCCTTTTCATTTAAAAGTGTTTAAAGATTATGATTTATTATGTTTTGTTGCTTAATGCCGATCATCCATGCTATAATCTTAGAAGAAGTCTTTATGTCTTAATAAACAATGATTAAGAACTAGTACCATGTTACACATTTAGTCTTTAGTTATTACGGTATATCATGCAATTGTTCTACATGCACAACATATGCATGAGCCACTGGACGTTAAGCAACCAACAATCAATCAATCAACATGCATGACATGTACAACTAACAACTTCTTGCAGCAAAGTTTATCTTATGAAAATAAGATTCGGTAGGATTGTCAATGAGACAACTACATGTCCACCAGAGACCAAATGAGGTAGATGGTTTTAGTTGTTATCTTTCGGTCCTTTTTCTATTTTATGGCCTTCCATATGTTATATTTTGGCTTCCCAAATATCTTGGTCTCCAGCATAATTGATCAAAAAATAATGGCCTGCACAAGGAATCTGCATGTGGGAAATGTAATTTTTCCATTATTTTATTAATGATAAGCAGTAACAGATGTGTACCAAATGCTTCAGAAACCAATGATTTATTCAAATAATGACAATCATGGACAAAACTCACACCTTTAAAGAGATGAACCTTACAGCCTGGAAAGCATTTAATGTAGAATAATAGAAATACCAATTCAATCACTTATTCATATTGTAAATGATATATGAAATACAATGATTAATAGGTCTCAATTTTCATCCCAGAAATGCAATCAATGGATTCTATACTGAAAGCTTATAGAAACACTACACTTGTTTTGTATTTTCCATTCAATTAATTTCTAACAAATGGATCTTCCTGCGATAAGTGACTTAATCAATACATGTAAAACATTGTGTCTATGATCAACAACTTTTTATTTGTTTATTGTTATTTGAATTTGCAATTTGGAAATCTTCTAATTTTCAATTTTCACACTACCAAAAAAAAGAAAAGAAAGAAATTTGAAGACAATTTTCAACCCTTCTGAAATGTTTAATCACAAATTCTTGAATTCTTAATTAAATCAAATATTCAGTAAAATATTTTTTTATTAAGAATTACTTTCGGTTGAAAATTTACACATTTCGGTTGTTTTTTTTATAATTTAAAACAAAAGTGTCAAATTACCCACCTTTTATATATAAATGTCACAAAATGATTAAAGTTTCCTTTACCTTAAACTTTATTAATTTCAAGAAACAGACAAATCAATTATAACTATTAAAATTCAGTTGTGTTCTGTTTTTCCATAGTCTCAGTATAAAATAGTTGCAAGACATATTTAACATGTTTTATTTTGCAGATTAAATATAACATTAACACTGGTATTATTAACTTGAAAGCTACTGGCAATATTGTATTTGATTGATTGTAATGAGCCATACATACATTATTATATAATTAATTTTGGATTATTTCTTTTACGTATGTAATACACCTAACATAAAAGCCAAACCTGTACAATACACAAGATTTTTCACAAATATTTGTAGATATGTCTTTGAACATTTATGTGCTCATTTCTTGATGTGAATTCATGACAGATGACTGATTATTCCAGATCTAAGTATCATTCAGACAAAATCATGCTAAGACAAAATGTTCAAGTACAGTTTTATTTTACAAATTGTTTTAAACTAGTTACATTATTCACAATTAATGCAAACATCAGTTCTACTTTTTCAAATTCACAACACAGACACTACATCATTTTTCTACTCTTTACACATAACTTTCATTAATTTGACCAACTAAACCAATGGTCCTTGTTATGATCCTGGCTTTACAATAATAATTGTGGAACGGAAAATTTATGCTCTATACTGCTGCAGTTAACACATAATGTGAGGCACACACTCTAAACTTTAATATCAAGAATCATAGATAAAAATAAGATTAAGTATGATTGCCAATGAGACAACTCTCCACCAGAGACCAAACAACATAGAAGTAAGCAACTATAGGTCACAGAACGGCCTTCAACAATGAGCAAAACCCATATCACATAGCAAGTTATAAAGGGCCCAGAAATGACAAATGTAAAACAATTTAAGGAGAAAACTAAAGGCCTGAATTATGTACAAACAATAAATAAAAAATTAATATTATATACAGCAACAAAATCATGATGATAGCGAAAGTGTTGGAGGATTGTTTTAGCTGATCATAACAATAAAGCAAATACACAATTTCTGAAAAACTCAGTTTTCACTTTCATCATCCTCAACGTAATTTTTTACTGACATTCTCATTAATGGAGTCTCATAGAATTGTATCTAATTACATTTATTTAGTCTAAATTATAGAGAGAATCATAGCGCAATACAAATCACCAATGGACATGATGGACATTTGTGAATAAATGTTCAGCTATTGATAAACAATTTCATGATATAAAGTACAAGCAATATCCCTTAATTCATGTTTGTCATTAAAATTAACCTACCAGTAACTGATAACTAAATCAGCATGCTCCAGTTATGGAATTTTATAATTATTATTAATCTAAAACGAATACTTATGAAATAATAATATTGATACAAATATAATAATAATAATTTGTCAGGATAAGACTCATTCCTACCTTAATCAATGCTCTCTACTAATGCATAAACTCTGATTTAATGAAAAAAAAATGATAATTAAATGACCATGTTGACTAAAAGATTTAAATGTAAAAATTCCATTTGATCATCCGTCAAGACAAAGTGAACAGTGAGGAAACTTAATATTTCATTCTTGTGCGATGGTATTGATTTTGTTCAGCAGACGGATCATAGTTATAAAGTAAAGTAGGATAGACTTTAACTAAATCTCTCAGGGAAATTGGAAGACAGGAATTAATTAACAACAAACAGGTTGTCGGATTCTTTCACAATTTGGTACTAGTTTCAGTCAAGAAAAAAAAAGATGGGCTAGGTGTAAACTGGTACCTACACTAAAGAGTACTGTTTCCTTTAAGTAATGCCCTTTCCTTATTTTGCAATTACTGAAATGTTGAAAAATTACGCATTAAATCGATAGAAAAGAAAGTTCCATCTGAGGCCAAATAGTCTATTTTCCAATTCCGTAATTGATCCTGCAGTTAAAGATCTATTTGTAGAAGTTGTTTCCCTTAGGACATAAATTTTCATTGACAATTATTGCTAACCAAATGAAACTTTTCCACAGATTCATCTCCTCTTAGTCAAGATATTTAAGATTTTGTAAGTTCTATTGTGTCATTGAATAAATACAATAGCTATTTTCTGTGTAGTTTTTTCACTGGGGACCTTTAAATTTGTTCCAAGAGAAATCCATCACTCTTTGATTAATTTACCTGAGTAAAAAAAGTATCTTAATCTAAATAGATGAAAATATATGTTTCAACTCTCAAAACTGTTGTGATGTTGTATCTATTCAATATCAATAATATATTTTCAATCTGGTAAATATAAGTTTATAACCACTGATTTAATCATAAAAAGTTGATTTCTGACAATTTTTTTAGCATTGTTCCTACTGAAATTTGCATTTTTTGTTTTTGTTTAGTTATAGAATACATTTAAGAAGGCCTTAATATAAGCATCATCATTTTCCAGTTTTTATTTGTCAAACACAAAAAAAAACTAATTTCAAAACTTTGTCAGAAATCAACTTTTAATGTTTGAATCACTGTTTACATTAAACAGATTGAAAATATATTATTGATATTGAATAAATACAGCATTTGTACAGTTTGGAGAGTTAAAACATGTATTTTTATCTTTTAGACGATAATTTTTTTACTCAGGTAAATTAATCAATGAGTGATGGATTTCTCTTAGAAGAGATTTAAAGGTCCCAGTGAATAAACTACACAAAGAGTCACATTGCATTTGAGCCAAATTTTACAAAATCCAATCTTTCATTTGCGCCAAAAAGTAAAACCTACATTTGCGCCATTTTACAGGTAATATATAACGGAAAAGTTTAAATATTTATTGCGATATCGTGAATAAGAATTTTTTTATAGTATTCCCCTCCTGGTAACTAAGTGAGTTCTTACTCATTTGTAATATAAAACTGAGAGTCACTTAGGTTTAAAGTTTAAAGGTGTCAAGATGGACATTGTCAATTCTGAGACAAAATTGCATTGTTTCATATTTTTCATCAGAGCCGTTCTTAACTGACTATACGGTATCCAGGTTTTTCTCATTTTTGAAGGCCGTACAGTTGCCTATAATTGCTTTCATCCAATTCATTTGAACTTTTGTGTATAGTTGTCTCATTGGCTATCATACCACATCCCCTAATTTTTATATAGAGGAAATGAGTCAATATTTTTTTTAGTTTTAAAGTCTCTTTTGAATAAAACTATTTTGTCATACTATATACCTGTATTTACCTGTATCATTGGTGCAAATGGAATGTTTTATTTTGACACAAATAAAATATGGTTTGTGTGGCAAATGAAAGATTTTTGGCGCAAATGAAACGCCAATTGGCGCAAAAGAAAGCACTGACACAGAGAACAATAGCTATTGTATTTATTCAATGAGACAATAGAACTGACAAAAGTTTAAATAGTTTGACTCTGTGCCTGTGGAAAAGTTTCATTTGGTTTGCAATAAGAAATAGCAGCAAGAGCAAATGTATCTGTGCAAAATGTGTGAATCTTTTAATAATACCTAATATTTTGTCAAACTAAAAACTTTTAATGATTCAACATGTTCAATAATACCTAATATTTTGTTAAACTACAAATTTTTTATATCAGTAGTTATTCTTCATTAAAAATTGGTTTTAAAGTCGACAATACATCATTTTCAGCTAATTATGCTTTGCATGAAGATGAGCCCATTTTGTCCAGTTTAGAACCAATGGCCGCCACGTTCTACAGTTGGCACAAGCTAACATCTTGTGTTAAAATTGTGTAATAACAGAATAAAATAACTAACAGGCAAATAGACTATTGTTTAACCCCGTCGCATTTTTGCGCCTGTCCCAAGTCGGGAGCCTCTGGCCTTTGTTAGTCTTGTATGTTTTTTAATTTTAGTTCATTTTTATGTTTTGGAGTTTAGTGTGACGTCCATTTTCACTGAACTAGTACACAATTTTATTTAGGGGCCAGCTGAGGACCACCTTAGGGTGCTGGATTTTCTCGCTGCATTGAAGACCCATTGGTGGCCTTTGGCTGTTGTCTGCTCTTTGGTCAGGTTGTTGTCTCTTTGACATATTCCCCATTTCCATTCTCAATTTTATTGGCATTTCAAAGTGTCTCTTTTTATAATACAATGAAATGTTGAATCTGTGTTCTTTAAAAGTACATTCCTATTTTGTTTTAAAATATACCCTTTCTATATCATGTATATGTGATAAAGCCATAATATGCCATTATCTACCTAAGAAAAATGGCAAAATTATGCAGTATAAACATGCATATCTTGTCTATTTCTCTCAAATTGACTAGAAATAATATAAAGCAAAAAAAAAAATTAATTTTTGGCAAAGCTCGGGTACCCTATCTTAATTAAGTCAAAATGTCCCTGAAACTTGCTAAAACTTTTGCTAAAATCTGAGAAATCTCCAGTATGAAGTCACTTTAATTGTGCAGTCAAATTGTGCTCATGTTTTCCTTTTCTTAAAGTTTTTATTCTGCGATATTTAAAAAAATGTTATCAGTAATCACGGTAATCATGGTAATGGTATCATACACTTTTTTCATTTACAAAAAAATGCATAGCCTGGCCAAATAAGCCCCAATAGGTACCTTTTCTTTTGTTTTAACTAGAAAATTACAAAGTTTAACCATAATCATTTATTTCCAAATGCTATCTTTACAAATGCTCAACTTAAAAAAAAAAAAAAAAAAAGCCTATAATTTGCTATTTTCATTGAGGTTTTTACTTTAATGTATAATCTATAACAATTTACAATATCTACACTAAATTCAATAAATTTTTATTCATAAATTCTAGGGTTAAGTGTGTTTATATACTTAAATATAATTCAAAAGACAATAATACATCCTTTACATAAGGAAGTATTGAAAGACAAATGTTTTTAATCGATGACAAATTGCTCATTCCATATTAATGATGTCATACGGCTAACCTATGTACAATGTTGTAAATTTTTACATTTATCAACAAACATAACATTATCATTTTTATATTGCAAGTTATGTGTACCTATAGACGACACGGTTTTGAAACTCGCTACCTTTTTTACATGACAAGGTAATGGGCTGATGCGATATCATTCAAAAACTACTTGTAGATGTCATGAGTTCAACAATAAAGCTTAGAGAAAAGTGCAAGATTTATAGTGCTTTTTTATCTTGATTTTGCTTGTAGAAATTTTTATAAAAACTTAAATTCAACAGAAGACCTGCAGCTAGGACTCTATATTCTGTGAAAAAAAAACTAAAAACTTGCAAAGTCCAAAATCAAACAACCTAATTTGGGCTTGTATAAAACTTATAAACTGCAGTCTTGGTGATGTTCAAATGGATGTTTTTAATCTTCAAGGTGTCTATTTCAAAATAATAAAGCAGTAATCAACTGAGAAAAAAACATGCAATATTAGAGCTAATTTCCTAATGCATGTAGAGTAAGACTTTGGTTAGCTTGCTTGCTTTGTTTGTATAATGTACAATTGTCATTGGGATAACATTAAATCAAATTTGAATATAACATATACAGGTTTAACTCTGCCTGTCTATATTGTTTGCAGATGTAAATCTTAATTACAATGCTTGAGCTAACGTTTAAACAAACAAAGCAAGCAAGCCAACCAAAGTCTTACTCTACAAGCATTAGGAAATTAGCTCTAAAATCATTAGCAACAGCTGCAGCGATCACAAACTAAGTCAGATTGTGACCAGGTTTGATTGATAGCAGTTTTCAAAATAATAGACACAACTTGCATTATACCCCTATGTTCTATTTTTAGTCATGTCGGCCATCTTGGTTGTTGGTCTTATCTTGCTGATCATATTTGCTGTTTACAGTCTCTTTCTATTATATTTTCAAGATGTGTTTCATTTAAAGTGTGATATACCAGGAGACCAAATTTGTGCTATACTCTTTATTAAAGCAATAACACTCTGATAAGAAACTTTCCTTTTCGTTTTATAATCACACTTTTTGTAATATTCTAGCTTTTGTTTGACATTTAACTAAATCATTTCTTTCTAAAATTATTTTGTGGCAAACCAGTTAAACATGAGAAACAACATAAAAAAAATTGAACATTGTCTGTAAAAGTACACCTGCCAGGTGAACAGCTCAACTGTTAGACCTGAATTCTCGAAAAAAAAACAATTTCCCTGGTTGTCCTTAAAGAAAATTTGCTGGTCCTAACTATTATTTCTAGTGCAAAATATTAAAATTATGTTGGACCTTTGCAAAATTTTGGGGTCAAAATCTTCGGACCATCAATTTTCAAGAATCTGTTCAGACAAACAATATGCCTTAATTGATGATAGTAACTATTTTGGTGAGGGGGTATTTCTTTCAACGCCTTACATTTGCTCACATTATCATTATATAAAATTTGCATGTAAAAATCAGTATAATAGTTTCACAAATTCATTTTACAGGTAAACACATGTCAATCATATTTATTTTTATAAAACTACTCTTATAAAATCTAAAATGCCTATTCAAGCATAGCAAATCTCAAGAATAAAAGGTACTGATCTTACATGACCATACTCAGCCCTAAGTTTTGGTATATATACATGTATGGTTGTTTGAAATTTCAAGATAGTGTAAAAAAATCACAATATGACAAAATGTTTGATAATCAAAATTAAAACTTTTTTCAACATATGTCTTTTTTATGAATTATCTTTATATTTACATGTGTTACCTGTAAAATGATAACAGACAAATGTAATAAAATATTGTTCGGAATCATTAATAAAATCAATCCTTAAATGAGTGCAAACGTAATACATCCATTTCATGAAGGCTTGTTTTTAAAGAATTACTCCTATGTAGTCACTTTTATAACCTGTGTTAGTGCAAAAGTTTAGTAAATAAGATCGTCTAAACCTCGTTCTTTTTCATAAATATATACAGAAGTAGCAAACCACCATTTGGGATACTTTTCATGTCAAGTACAAAAAAATGCAACATGATAAAATATTATAACCCACTTCCAATTAATGTCTAATTTCAGAAATATTTCAAAGTGGTAGGAGTTAAAAAAAAAGGGAGGGCTTTAAAAAAAAAAGCCTTTTTCTATCATTTTGATTCAGAATTTGAGTATCTGTAAGTATGCCTATACTGTGGAGTCATTTATTTTCATGGATTGGGGATAACATACATATATCTTTGTTTATACTTGGCAAATTCTGCATACAAGCCTATAGGACATTTACATTTCGTTGAAAATTTGAATAGTTGTTCACCTTACCCAACGAAATCCATGGAAATCAGTACCCCACGAATAATAATGAATCCTGTGTCATGACTGTATACAAATTAACCGACGTTTACATCTTAAATGTCCAGTGTAAAAGCTAATTTTCCAACATACAACAAGCATTTAATATTGCCACATGGGTCAAATTATTACATGATCAAAACAATATTTTAGCAGTTCCAGGCAACAAGGCAAGTGCTTAAGTTTAGATCCCTTCTTCCATCAACTTGGATTGCTATGCTAAGAGGTCATCTTAATCTCGCTCCATGTTGAAGGCCTCACTGGTGACTTTCAGATGAAGAGCATCAATAAAAGATCTGTCCCTTTACTTTGAGGTTTGTCAAGCTAAGTGCATATAGGGATTTTGTGTCATGAATTAAAAAAAACAGTTACCATATCTATTTAAACCTTTCCATTATACAATTTCTTAAATGTGTACTTACAATTTTCAATCCTTTCTTTACATCCAGGATAACTTTACGGCAACTGAAGAGTCCAATGCTGCCGATGTGAACCAAAACACCAGCGTATCTGTGGAGTAACCACTGTATCATCCATGCTAATAACCTAAAATCATACAGCATTTTTTTAGGACAGAGATAACATAGTACATTTGTTGTACAGTATTAGTGAATTAATAAGAAATTACAAAAAAAGTTTAATTCCTAGTTTCATTCGAATTTCTTCAAGTGATTATTTACAAATTTAATTACTATGCCATGAAAAAATAAAGGTTGATTTCCCCTCACATGTGAAAATTATTAAGGCCTGGCAGACTGGAAAAACTTTTTATTTTATTTCATTTTTTGTGAAAAATCAGTTTCCCTCTACAGAGAATGTTGTTGTCTGACAGTTCCTATCGAAGGTCGTGGTTTTCTCTGGGCACTCTGGCTTCCTCCACCAATAAAAACTGACCAAACAGGCTATCTAGGTGTTTGATTTTTTCCTGAACAGAATTTCAACCATTGGAATTGGATGGTAAGAATATTTTCATTAGCCTACAATGCTTTATACAAGCTTTAAAACAAACAACATTTCTCTAGCAACAAGCTAAAATTTTTCATCACTTGATGAGTTTGAAGAAAGGAAATCATTCTGCACATGCGAAAAAATATGACCAATTGTCATTTTGAACATGTTGAAAGGGCAAAAGTTTTTTTGGATTAGCACAGCAAATTATGTAAATTAATTAGGGACATTGTAGGTAACTGATAGGCAAATGACTTATGACTGGTTCTGAGCTAAATTGTTTAGGAATTTTTACAGTTAAAATGCATTTTGTGTTATCGCTGTTATGCCACTGCATCAGTTAGTTGGGCTCAAATGCACCAAAACTAGTTCATCCCTATACCACTTGGTTACATCTGAACCCAAAAAATTTTAACTAGAGTCTGGTCAAATTTGAAATGTAGATAAAAGTTACATAATTTTTGTTTTGATTTACCAGGGGTATATAGATTTTTGAGCTTCAGTTGTAGTAACAAAATCTAAATTAATGATTTGTACTTGTTATTTAACGAGGAGAGTGGAAGTGTCTAACTTTTGTCCTGTTTGACTTCTTGTAAGCACAGCAGAGCATGGCAAAGTAATTGCAAAGGCAATGCCTTTATAAAAAGTAGCATTCTTCTGAGCCCTGCCATGTTTTTTTCATTGCTTTTCACAAGACATCAGAGCATTTGCTTAATAAACTGCTTTGCTGAGCGCAGCTAGATAGGCCCGCAGAGGTCCAACCCTGAACAGTTGGGGCAAAAATGGACACAATATTCAAGCTTGATTCAGGTCTGAATTTGGATTGTAATTAAATATTTGACATATTATAGGTTTCTGAATAAATGTAGTCAAAGAACTTGAAATTGGTTATATGAATTGAATTTATATTCAATTAAGGATTTCTTGCTGTTGTGCAATACTTAGTAAATCTGTTGTCAGACTATAAACAAATAAAGTTCAATTAATTCTCAATGTCATATTAGAAATTTATGAAAATAAAAAGGGAGCTTACATCAATAGATATATACACAATTCACCAAAATTTCATGAGAATTGGCGACAGCATTTTTGAGTTATTGTCCGAAAACTGGAAAATCACCCCTTTTTTTTAATGAATAAAACCCCATAACTCAGAAATGTAAAATATAAAATTTATATAATTCTAAAGGGAGCTTATCCCAATACATACAAACAATTCACCAAAGTTTCATAAGAATTGCTGAAAGCATTTTTGAGCTTTTGTCCGAAAACTGGAAAATCCCCACTTTTTTTATGAATAAAACCCTGTAACTCAGAAACATAAAACCTAAAATTTATAAAAATCGAAAGGGAGCTCATGTCAATAGATATATAAACAATTCACCATAGCATTCTTTACTTATTGTCCGAAAACTGGAAAATCTCCCTTTTTTTAATGAATAAATCCCCATAACTCAGAAACGTAAAATCTAAATTTTATAAAAAACGAAAGGGAGCTCACGTCAATAGACATGATCATGATGATAGATATAAACAATTCACCAAAGTTTTATGCAAATTGGTTAAAGCATTTTTGAGTTAATGTCCGACATGTTGACGACGGACAGACGGACAACGGTATACCATAATACGACCCGTAAACAGGCGTATAAAAATCAGTTGCTTCCAAAATCCAAAGAATATATTTGAAAACCTTTAGGGACTACATATGACTAAACGTATTATTATTAGTATACATAAGTGAATGGATAGGTTTTCTGGAATGTGTCCTCCTGATTAATATTATTAATATTATTTGACAATATAGGGTCTGGATAGTGTTTACAGAATAGTCTGGAGAATGATGAACGATAGTCCAGAAAATGGCAAAAAAAAACAATAGAATAAAGAGAATAATGGGTTGCTAAAATATCAATAGATAATAATGGCCAAAATTTATTAAGAATAGAGAATAATGGCCAAAATTTATCAAGAATGGAGAATAATGGCCAAAATTTATTAAGAATAGAGAATAATGGCCAAAATTTATTAAGAATAGAGAAAAATGGTCAAAAAAGTTACAGAAATTAAGGACTCGCATCAAGACCCTGATATAATTCATCAATAAAATTATGAAATTTTAAACTCCTGCATTCTGCTCTGAAATTATGACTAAATTGATATTAAAATGAATGCTTGATGAAAGAGTAATACATCTGAAAAGGTCAATCTCAGTCTTTTTCTTACTTTTGGATATTAAATTAAACTAGTGGCTATAAAGAGCATAAGGTGCTCATCTGGGTCAATGTGCATCTTCGACATACATGTATGCCACTCTCCAATATTTAAGACTATATACATGATAAATATAATTAATGACTAAAATCTATTTTTGTTGCTATTTTTTTTTTACAGATTCTCTCTGTCTACTATAATTTTTCCAAAATTGCATATATTAATAGGTGAAAATCATCATTAGAGAATGATAACTCTGAAAGGTAGTGAAATGACAATTGGCAATGATAACCTTTTTCTAGATCTTGCTTTGCTGGATCATTTTTCATCTTTTAACACTATTTCTCTATCTTCTATAGTTTTGCCCAAAACGCAAAAAATAATGAAAAATTGTCATTTCAGGGTATAATTCCTATATCATTGTATATGGAGTAGACAGACAATTACGGCTATGTCAGTATGAGTAACAATGCTCAAGATTAATTTCGTTTGTCCCAGTACGGGCATTTACTTGTCCAAACCAATTTATCTCCTTTACCAGAGAATCAAGCAAGTGTTATTGTTGATCCCTGTTTAGTAATGCTACTACTATACACATGATACAAGGCCAAAAATAAAATTAAAATTGTTTGATGTTGCCTACCTACCAATACAAAAAGAAGCTTACCAGAAATAATGTACATGTATGACACAAATCGTTTCAAATTTCTTTTAAACATCATTTTCTTGTCTTAAACATGTAACTTATGCTGTTGTCAAAAAAAAAAAAAAAACCCTACCTACCTACCCAACCCTACAAGACATGGGAAGGCAACATCAAACAAAGAAAATGAGGTCATTTTTAAACACAACTTTTACATGTATAAGTTGTTTTTTTATATATCATTTACAGAGGTGTCCATTTATACAGATTTGAATAACATGAAAAAAAAATTCTCAGACATCTTGAAATTTTTCTAATGAAGCATAAATACTAATCCTCAAGAACCACTAACTACCATCCAGACACACTTTACATAGTTACTATTGATGATGTAGGTCATAGATTTGTCCTTTTGGACTATTCAAATACAATCTTTAGGGTTATGCAGGTAGACAGATATACATGATTGAAAACATTTGATATTACGGACTTCAACTCATTAACAATTTGTAACCAAAAACAAAGTCCTATGCTCTTTCTCTAATTATAATTAATATAATAATTAAAATGAGTACCAGTTAAAATGGAACAATTGTTTTCAAAGAAATTTTGAATAATTTTCCATGCTTTTATTGTAATTTTAAATAATTCATCTGATCTGGTTTTTCTTAAAAAATTACCTATATTGATAACTGAAAATAATAACTGTTGAATTTATGCCCGAGCCCAAGTAAATGTGATAAAAATAATCAATACAGAAACTAAATTGTCCTTAATTAACATTATTTTGTAATCATGTATATATAGACTATAGTACATGTACGTAGTATGTCATGGTGTGTGCTGTGTATTGAGAAATAAATTGTATGAAGAATTGTATTCTATCTATTTGTTTGTCTGACATATTTGTTTTTCTTGTATTTTCAATTATAACTTCTCACTAAAATCTAAAAGTATTTTTTATTTAAAAGATCAGGTTAAGTCATTCCCTTTAAATGACTGAGCTTTAATAATAACTACAATCAAATCTTTCTAAATGAATAAGTCAGTGACAAGAACTAAAAATAGACTCTCTTTTATATCTGTTAATTAATCAGTTAATTGTGAATTGGAACACCTTATTAAATATGTTTATACAATAATAATCATGAGCGATCAATACAAGTGTAGTATCTATAATCCAATTATCAGAACATATTCAACTGTGATTGAATTAAGTTTAATTTAATTGAATTAACAACAGTCATTGCAATGGACAATGGTTTCATTTATAGATCTGACCCTTTATTTCTATTCAAAAACAAATAAGCTGTTGAGTACAATGTTTTGAAAACATTTTGTGGAAAGGTTTGCTTTCACTTTCATTTTGCAGACCTTTGACACCACCTTTGAGATCTGGATTGATCAAACTGGACAGGGTTTCACAAGAACGTGACTGCTGACATTCGTTTGTTTACCATTTTTTTTAAATATTGAAAAATAGATTGAACACGATGTCGGAAACCCATAAACAAACTGACAGAAAGGATCAGCTGACTTAAAACATATGACAGGAAGATTTATCAATGTGTACTCTAGAAAAAACCTGGTCAAATCATTGATTTGTTTACATTTTGTTTCGGTAAATTTACCTTGTTATAAACCAGATAGCCACAACAAAACTAAGTAGCGTCCAAATATAAGAATACATGTTTACAGTTGTTCTCTTAAATCATTTTAAAACTTCAAATTAACGGTATATTTTGTAAATGAACTCCATGTACCCTGACCTCCCACTCAGACAGAGCCGGTGCTTCCATTTTTCTAAAACTGGGTCAAATATTGCATGTGACCCTTCTTGACCAATCAAATCAAGTGGCCTTGCCGCCTTGTTATTCCCAGCAAGTCGGCCATTATTGTCGCCATATTATGTGAGGAATTTATGAATTACTGAAAATTTTATGGTTTAACAACCATTTGGATGATTTGACAAACGAATTTATCAGTTTAGTGTCATATAAAATCATGGAGTGACAATGAGTCACCCAAACCCAGCAGGAAACGGCTGCTCACTGGAGGATTGTTACACAAATTTATTTGCATTGGTAAGATAATTGAATCTATTTATTCAAAAACCCATTGTTGTCTTATCGGTTTCCCTGAATCGAAATCATACCAAATATGGCTTCCTAAATATTTTATCATGATTTTTATCTAAAATTATAGTATTTCTTACTCTGTTTGTAATGAAAACGTATAAAATGTCTGAAGAATGTTGACTTGAACGCGACGTGACATTTGACCTTATTTATGTTTCGCACAGTAATGTCACGCATGTTTCAGGTACATATGATCTTTTAATCAAAATAAAAGGAAATAATATTCTGAAAAGCATTATCTTTTATGATTTATTGTAGACTGATATTTGTGGCATTAAATGGAGAAGGTTAGCCACAAACCCTGATTCCCATGTTCCCTTGGGGTTGGATCATCTTGAGGACCCTGTTTTGGTTTCCTATTCAAAATGTATTCAGTCCGACATACTGTGTGTCTGGAGACGAATTCAGAATCAAGCTGGAGAACAGCGTACCGACCATTTATCATTCAATAAAGAATTATGGATCTTTTGGTATGGAGATGAACCTGCTGCATTAGAATCGCATGTCTCTAAGGATCTTATAGGTATGAAACTAATTTACACCGAACATTTAATCTTTGTGTCTTGGTTACAAGAGAGGTAGCAGTTCAAAGGAATACTTAAAATCAGGGTTATTTATCAAAGAAGGGCACTTGTAACTATATGGATTTATACCACTGTAGTCCTTGTTATTGCTAATAGAAAAACAAAGGATATGGGGTATCCATCATGTCAAAAAATCAATACATGCACAGCAAAAAACCCACACAAAAAGCAAAGGAACAGCAAGACTTCTACAGAGCGCCAAAAAAACTCACCTCACTGCAAGTTTAAGATGGTCCCTAGCACCGGCTTTTGTTGAATTCTATGCTAGTTCATTGAAATAATATTAAAAAATTAAACGCCCTGTTATATGGTATTATTAAAAAGATTAATTAATGGATGTTGGTGTTTAACACCACTTTCAGCACTATAAGCAATATTGTTGCAGCCAGTTTGTATTGGCAGAGTACCCAGAGAGAACCGCAAGAACTGGCAGGAAAACTTGCATCCTTGTCAATTAAGATTGGAGTTTTAAGCACCTGCCATGTGCAAGGTTCGAACTCAAAACCTGAGTGTTGATTGAAAAACAGAAACAAAAAAAATGGTGAAAGAAAAAATTGTACATCTTCTCATTTAATAAGGAAATATCTTCATTTTTTTTTTAAATTTATGAATAAAATTGATAAATAAAATAATGCATTCACAAATATTTTTTGGCTCAATTTTACAGTGAAGGAAACAGGTTCCTGGGACAAAGGTAAAGATCATGGACTGTCCTATGAATGCAGAACATTACTATTCAAAGCATTGCATAATCTCATTGAAAGGTGAGTAAACACAATTAAAATGTAACATGGCTTATGTCCCTTCTACTATCGTAGGGGCACTGGTGGTTTTTTTTTTTTTAAGTCTATGCTGATCAGGTTAACAGTCTTCACTATAAACTTTTACTGGCTTGGACAGTGAGGCTTGTGGTTTATCTTGCAGACTGTAAGAAACAACTAATATTCGGACATGTTACCATAACAAATCAAGTTTTTCAACAAACACATGTAATTGTCTTCAAATATTAATGTTATGAATGATTTCCAGTGAAAACATTTTGTTAAGTTCACAAGGCTGATAAAAAATTGGCGGAATAAAAATTCCAATCCTTATGTTTCTCTGATTCTGTATAACTCATTCCATCAATGATATAAAATAACAGGGCTTTAAACAGCAACATATATATAGTATTCACTAAAGTTTTAGTTCTTTCTACAAGTAAGGGGGGAGATACAAAAGGGAAATTCAAACTGACAACGTCATGTTACGTAAAAAAACGAAAAACCACTTAAAGGTCAAACAATAGTCTACAAAACTCAACATAGAAAATTAAAGACTGAGTAACACATGCCTTTAGCAGTTTTAGCATCTCTTTTCAACTGATCAGTACTAAAGTACATGTATGTATATCTCTAAAAATGTAAATGTTTTACCTGGAGATAATTACGTAATCTTAATTTTCATAACAAATGCTGATCAATAATTGAGTTATCTTTTTTTAGGTGTTTGTTGACAAAGGGATTTGCCAGACTGGGAAGGTGGTTTGTTCAACCATATGATTCTCAGACACAGAATACTGACAGACAGTAAGCTTTTAATGAATTTTAGTTTTATTGATCATTCTTAAAGGGATTAAACATAGAAATAAAGGTTCTAACAATTTTATGCAGAAAAGTACCTGAATCCAGGTCAAATAAACAAAATTTCACAGACTCAGTTATGGCTGTTCATAAAAAAACATAAATGCCTTTACAGATGGTAACCCATTTTTAAATTGCCTTTCCTGAGTACCATGCATGCTTTTATGGAACAGCCTTAAGCTAAATGTAACTCTGTAGATTTTTTATGTCTGGCTTCAATGTCTATTTCACACTACATTCAACTCATTATAACAGGATTCTTTGATTTTATGATGAGTCTTTTGTAGATGAAATGCATGTCTGGCATACAAAATTTAAATCCTGGTACATGTATCTTATGATGAAATTATATATGATATGTCTTTACAGAATTCATTTTTACATGCTTTATTTCTGTTTTTCAGGACACATCTTTCCTTCAGCTTTAATTTCTTTCTTCATGGAGAGAGTTCAGTTTGTGCCAGTATTGAAGTTAAACAACACCCACCTGTCTGGAGACTTACAACACATCACTTGACGTTAGCACAAGAAAATCATACTAACTTCCAAGGTAACATTTTTCAGACTTTACAAACTTTATGAAGCGATGATTTTGAAATTGAACATAAAAAATGTAAAATCATTTTGATCACATGATTTCTTGTAGAAAAATATCTGTTGTTAAATAATGCAACAGCATGCATTTGCAATGTTTTCATTGGTAGTATAAAACTAACTAATAACCTGCTTACTTGAAATTTTGTGTCTTTGTGTCAACAATGCACCCCATGTTGCCTACCATGTTAGCAATATGTTTTAAGGCAGTTCACTACACAAAGTGTTCTAAAAATATTTTTCAGTTATAATGGTTTCATTTGTATCAAATCCTGCTTAATGCTAGATTAAAACAAAAATGTCTCCTTGCCACCTCGACCCAAATTTTGTTTTACCTAGTTATACTCCACATTTACATAAAAGAAAGAATCCTGCTCAACCAGCCTCAACCATTTTCAGATTTGGATTCCATAACACTATTTTTCTTAAGGTGGTATCAAACACCTTGACTAAAATTAATTTGGCTCGTTTAATTTTCATAAAATTTTGACAATATATTTACTTTGACCCTTTGACAAAACTATAAAAATTTCAAAAAACTTGAACCACACACTTTATCGGAAAAATTTCATTGGATATACAGCAGTTTGACAAACACTAATTTTGATCATTGAGAAGCTTAATATATTTCCTTAACAATAAAACGTGATTAAAACGTTCAGCTGATTTTTAAAGAGTTATCTCCCTGTAGTGTTATGTACCACCTTAAACTAATTTTCTGTAATGTTTAAAAAGTTTGATTTGATAATAAATATATATTGTTTTATGAATTATCAAATGAATTTTCTTATTACAGTCATACTAGCACCATATGGTTTAAATGGTACATTAACTGGCCAGTCCTACAGAGATGCTGATCAACATGCCCACAAAGTACTGGATGAATGGAGTCGATTCTATCCAATTGACAAATCTGACAAGGAAGGGGATCCTTCTAAAGCACCAGCGTTGGTAGAAGTTCTTGTTGGTAAGTAGTTTTACATAGCTTAATGTTAAATAGCATTGTTTATGAAATCAGTAGCACAATAGGCCATGTAAAGTACACATTTGTGTATTATACACACCCCTTTTAATATTCCTAAATAATGAATAGTTATACATAGTTTAAGGCTAAATTACATTGTTTACAAAATCAGTATAACAGTATATAATGAGGTTTTTATGCTTAGATGACCAGGCGGCTCAATACTTTTTTTAATGCTTATATTTGTGAAATGAGAAGATATACATGTTTATATTAGTATGTATGTCAATAATTAACGTCCTGTTTGTAATTAATATATCAGAATTCAAAGAGAACATTTTGAATTTGTATAAAATCATTTGATTTATTCTAAGATAGAAAAGGATTGCTTGTTTAAATTTGTATCTATTAAGATGACAAATTTAATTAGCAGTTTTTCATTAGAAATAATAATCTGACAAAATATCCTCCAACTTAAAAAGATTTTGACTGTCAACTTTTCAAACCTTGCTGCTGACGAGATAAATATCAGCAATAAATACAATTTCATGTACAACTGCCTTGTATCATTTCTCTTAAATGTGTGGCAGCAAAAAAAACAGTAGGAATAAGTTGTATTATACCCATTGTTTTGCAACACTGTAGGTGATTTAAAATTTTTATTTACTTTCAGCTGGTGTACGTATGAAGTATCCGTCAAGTTTTGTATTACTGTGCGATGTTGAAGAATATCTACATAAGAATATTACAGCACCTGCCCCAGCAACAAGTCTGCCACGCCCACAGCCAGTTGTACCACACAGTCATTTAACTCCACCCTCATCCCCAGCAGATATCAGTATTCTGACAGATCACGGAACCAAAACAGGAGGTGGTGTTATGGCCTCCGGAGGAACACATCATATGGATATCAGTTCGGATTTGATCGCTAAATCTGAACGTGTTTTCTCGAGTAAAATACAGGAGAAGATGTTACAGGATAACTGTATCAATTCTGTTGTCAGTAAAAGGTCAGTACAAATAAAATTTATACAAAGAATTTAAAGAAATACGTAAGTAGATAGAGGATAAAAGAGCTAGGAAATGGTAAAAGAAAAGTTTCTGAAAAGAATCAGATTAGAAGAACATTGAATATTTAAAAAATCTTTCATATGGATAACTTGCAAAGTCATAGAGAAATTGGCAGACAAAAACCAGAAGTTTTATTGTTTACACAAAAAAAAACCAAATGTAAATTTTGGTTAAGGCTAATTCACATCTTGGCAGAGCATTTGATTTGTATACAGAACTTTTTATATTGCAAATACATGTATGCTTATATGCAAAGTGCAATATTGAACTTGTTGACGATCAACAATGTTTTTATGGTAAAGTGTTTATTTTAGACCATCTGAAGCAGTAAGTGAAGAAACAGCCGCTGGTGTGTGGGATTTCAATGACCCTACCACAAAACTCAACTGTAACTGTTCAAGGTAAATATATTAAATCACTACCACAAAGCCAAATTATTATTATTAAAGGTATATATATTTGGAGGTAATCCATATATGCCAAAATGAAACAGGTTAGCTTTTGTAAGAGTATAAAGAAGCATTATAGGACGAAATACTGTGTAGTTTGAATTATGTACTGCTAAATTGATGCTAATTTTTTTGAAAAATAGTAACTTCAAAGGTTTTTATGTCAAATTACTCAAATACTACATTAAGTAATAGAATAATCTTCCTAAAATACTAACAGATATATTAAATACATAAAAGGCATATATAGGATAGGCTCTGCATAAAGATTAGTGCTATTCAATAACAAGTGACTGGTAAGGTTTTGCAAATAAGTCTTATATAAGAGTGGCGGAAGATACCAAAGGCATAGTCCGATTAAAATGTACTAAAATTATTGTTTCAGGCATCGTTTATTAAAGAATAAGCCAATCTTGACAGGACAAAACAAAACACAACAAGGAACAACAAACAAGCATGGAAAAGGGGATTTTAAAACAGACAAAAATGAAAGACCACCTTCTAGATTAGGCAGAAGCACAGCCTTCCATCGCCAGTCAACAACTGCAGAGGTAGTAGATGTTGACTTGTTGATGCAGAGGGCAACAGTACAGGGTGTTAACTTTGCTCCTTCCCAAGGACCAGGTGGAACATTACCACAGTTGAATAACACGGGTGAAGGTAGCACAGTTCCAGAAGGCCATTCTCCAGCGGCTGTACCTTCACCACTAGAAGAGCCAAACAGTCATTCTCATGTCAGTCAGAGTGGTGAACCTACCATGCCCAAATTAAGTCCACACCCACCACCAGAGGTTCCTGAAATTAAGCCAGTGGTCGAAAATAATCCTAGTGCTATGGTCAATGGACATGTGGACTTTGCCAAACCAAATGATGTGTCGACGCCAAAAGCAGCAGAAAACGTAATGTCCCCTCCTTGGGTTCCTTCTGAAGCAAAAAATGTTAGTATTAACAATTGGATCAAATCTCATCAGCTTCATAAGCATGTAGAGGTTCCTGGGATAAAAAGGCCATTGTTGCCGACCCTTCAGACAGATGGGGAGAGCTTTGTGACTGAGAATCTTTACAATCTGGACCCTCTTAACACATGGTAAGTGTTATTCTGTGTAATTGTCATTTGACTTTGGGAGGGGAGAATTAGGGTACTTTCTTCAATGTCCTAATATTTGTTCATATATCAAATTTTTTTTTTGAGAATCCTCTTTTTGTATTATTCAGAGGCCATTTATCAACTTTTTGCATATTCTGATTTTTTTTTAGTAATGAGTGAACCAATGCTTGATATTCGTAGTTGCTATCGTAGTATGTGATACCTATGTAATAAAGGGTTGTTTTTGTCAAGCAGGGTTCATCTGACATTGACCTCATTTTAACTAAATACATCACTAGTTTATTCAAGTGATTGTTAGTGAAAGTCTTGCATGTCATGAATAAATTCCTCCTCGTAAAGTAATTTAGACGACACTTTATAACCTTGTTTGAGCTATATTTGGAATTGGCAATGACATATTTTGTTACAAGATAATGTTTTTAGCACACAACTTATTTAATCAACAGCTGTTATGTATGTAATTAGAGAGACGTATTGATATTGATTTGAGGGGATTAAGTATGTAATTTATACTTATAGTCTTCAGGAATGGGATGTATTATGTTTCAATTAATGTTTGAATTGGATGTAGTGTATACAATATGTTGCAGACTAACCTTTTGATTTTATCAGGTCAATATCTTCACAAGCTTTAGTGTTTATGAACTTTTTATTTTGGTGCTTAGTAATTAGAAGTTAAAAGTTTTAGCCAACTCTTCTCCTACACTTTCCCAATCCAAAACCAGAAATACAAGTTGATTTTTCTTTCCTTTTTATGAGACGTGTGTGTGTGATTTTCAAGGGTGTTTCTAGTCTTCTTGTCTGTTAATTTATAACTCTAATCTTTAAAGAAAGGGGTAAATACCATCTACATGCATGACATGTACTAAATCAGTGGTTGGATATAACTGTAGTCGTTGCAGCCTTATTTAATTTGACACTTGTGCAAAATACTGTAAAAAAAGGTACACCCATTGAAGTGATTTTTGGCAAATATCAACTGTTTAATGGGGAAAAAACCATTTATGCATTGACCAATTTTTGTTTTAAATCAAAAGTAGTTTTAAGCCTCTATGTATTAAAGGTCTATGGGAATATATGATTGAAATTTTAAAAAAATCAATAGATAAATTGATTAGTGTTCTATAACATATTTAGATGGGGTCTGTTGTACTGAGCAACATCGTTGGTAATTCCTGCTATAATGCTTTATGTATTACTTGTCGAGAGTATTGTTGAAGAGAGTGTATTTAATACTAGAGTTGAGGGGTTTTATAAATTTACATTTGAAGATTAATTGATTGTTGTAGTGTCTAGTGGCAAATTTTGCATGCATATTCTGTACAAGAACGAAGATGACACCAAGTACAAGAGTCCACCTGCAAAATAATCAACGAGATTTTGAAAGGGTTCTTGATCATCCAACCATTTCACTGTTTTTTCTTATTATAAAAAATCTGTTTTATTGTTTTTACTATTTAAGATGTGGATAGGATTTTAGATTCAGAAACTCCACTTTACCCCACAATTCTAACCAATATAAGTCTTTGTCTTGCTTATTATTTACAAAATGGTCTGTCCCTGTTTGTCCCAAACCTTATGCAACCACAATAAAGTTTAGAGGAAAATTTTCATTTTATTGTCTTTTATTTATCTTTTCTTAGTTAAAAATGAAGAGATGAAGGTCTTAACTTGTCAGAAATCCTGTTTGGAACACAAATGGGTGATATTTAAAGATTGATAGGCATGTAACCCATCCATGGGCAGCATATCAAATAAAGACTCCTGACAAGAGTCCACCTGCAAAATAGTCCGAGTTGTTGAAAGGGTTCTTGAATATGCAAATAGTGGGCTTGCCATACATGAGGCATTTCATTTAAAGTCTGGATGCGAGTCATGTGACTAATATATACTGCCAAACATACACACAAAGAAGAGGTTTTAAAATTACTGCTGGACAGTAGAATTCTAGGTGACCATATTTTTATACTCCAGTCAGGCGTGTCAACTATTGTAGGTCTACATCTGAAAGAGTTTTAGTTAACTTCAAAGATAATTGCATTTATTTAACCATTGAAAGTCACAAGATAAGTGTACTAGATTATAGTTGGTTATTGTCCATTGTCAGACCTTTCATATATTTCTGGTAGAAAGTAAGTTTAAACTGAGAAACCCATGATTTTGGAATTCTTTAGAAATTTTAAAGTTTAACAGTACTTACATACTTGCATGTTTATTTTAAACTTAAATTTTAGGTTGAGTATCCCAGTACTGAAGAAACCACGATATGAAGAACTGTCTCCGGATGGGGAATCAATGATGATATCCCAGAAGCACATGAATTGTAATTCTCCCCAGTCTATGGAAGATGATCCTTACGAGTTTTCTGATGAGGCATCAATTAATCCTGCTACAATCACAAACAGAAAGATGAGAGATAGCAGAGATGAAGGCTTTCACAATCGCAAGTCTCCTTACGGCAGAGGGGTAAGGTTATAGTTAAATTCAAAATGTCTGTCTCGGACAGGAAGTGAGGTCTTGGATTCACTTGACAGGAAGGGGTGTGATTGACAACAAGCCATATCTGTTTGTCTATGAGTTTCATTGATAGATTATGTCTGCTTTTAGTTAACATTTGCTATGTAAAAGATAATGGAAACAGTGCTATGTCAGGACCTTATTAATATTTCGTTGCATTCTTCTAGTATTGGAATTGAAAAGTTTTAAAAACAAGTATATTTTTGAGGGCATTCAGAATTTAGCAGCTAAATCTTAAGTGGTTAGTGCAGTTGAAATCGAAAGAGTCCTATCAAAATAGAATGGACAGATTATCTGTTAAAGAACATTATGTGGTCCCAATCCCCTGGTGGTCTTTCAAGAAAATCTGCTTGTCCTCAATATTATTTCTATTGCAAAATACCAAAATTGTGTTGGTCCTTCTCAACATTTTAGTGGTCATAACCTTCAGACTACCACTTTTCGAGAACTCTGCAATTTTAGTAGAAAATTTACTGTCTTCCACATAGACACATGACAGATGGAATGAACTCTGAGCTTTTGGCGATGCTTTGGTAAAAGTCAACTTTGAGTGTCTTTTCAGTTAATAAATGGCATGTAAGACATAAACTTTAAGAAATTTGAGGTAAATCAAAACTACAACTGAACTATTATTTGTAGGATGATGAATCTGGTAGATTGGATTCTAACAGGGATGGTACTGGTAAGTAGAAATTTTATTAATTTATCTGCTTTCTTCATTTGTGAATAAAAGGAGATGTGGGGCACAAGTCAATGAGACAGCTACCCAACAACCCAAAAATCAAAATTCATTTAGAGGTCAACATACTAGTTATATAGAAAATATATTCATCTATATTAGATAAAAGGATAAAAGATCTTTGAATCATTAATTCTAAAATGTTTATTTCAGGTCCTTTAAAAATTTTGAAAAATGTTTGCTTTATGAAATAAGTAGATTTGAAAACTATAATTAGTATTATCTTAACATAGAGGATGCTATTGATTGATTGATTGATTGATTGGTGTTTAACGCAACTTTCAACCCTATTGTGCTATTTTGTGGCGGTCAGTTTTTATTGGTGGAGGAAGCCGTTGTGTCCAGAGAGAACCACCAGCCTTGCGTAGAAAAATTGACAATCCTAGTCAATTAAGATTGCAGTCAAGTGCACCTGCTCCCTACAGGATTCGAACTCACAACATCAATGTTGACTGGCTAGTGATACAGTAGTTGGACCACTCAGCCACTGAGGCCCTCTAGAGGATACTATAAGCCAATAAAACTTAAAGTACACACAAGATTTCGATTTAATGAATGAACTGCCCTGATTGACCTGCGGTCATTTGTGGGTAAAACGCCTCATTGGACATAATATATAATATTGTAATGATATTTGCTTTGTGACGTCAATTTTTCTGGGGAAAAGCACCCGATCGGGAGGTCATGTATTTAAACTATAAAGGATGATGATGAACCTAGTATGCAATTTAATGTAAAACTAATTTTTGTAGATCCTGGCTCCTTGACATCACCGCCAGCAACTCCAAACCCAGCTTTAAAGCAGGATGGTCTGATGCATCTGAATGATCTTGTTGTGAAACCTTCAGATCTGGACCATATATTTGAGTCGGACTCGGATAATGATGAATCTGTAAGTTACCAGTCAATACATTGTTGAATTGAGAGTGACATTATTTTATCAGTGATACATTTCTGCTCATAGTATGGATTTGAAAATGAGTTATTAGAAAAGAAAAACAAGGGATATGGGGTATCCATCCATGACACAAAATCAGTAAATGCACAACAAAAAACATACTAAAAGCTAAGGAACAGCGCTTTTATTGCTAAGTTGCCTTATGTATTAAATAAGTAAAGTCTAAATTCATATTGGAAGTTTTAAAAATTACTGTACTTGTACATTTCTAATATTTATTTGGTCTTTTGGGTAAAAAACATGAAACAGTTAAGATATTTTATAATTAACAATCTTTTCAATATCCTTCATCTTTGAATTATTCTTTGTATCAAAAGATTGGATTTATATTATGTTTCTTTCATTTTCAGTCATTATTGCCAAAAGACACAATTATTCCCGATGATCTAAAGCATGCTACAAAAATTGTCATTCAGCCCACTGAAGGAGTGATAGGTAAGCTAGTTATAAATAAAAAAAAAAGGGAAAAAACTTACAAAGTGTTCAAAAGGAAAGAACAACAAAAAGTACACTAAGGAACATTTAAAAAAAGGAATATGGAGAGGATACAAGGTAGCAATGACTTAAAAATTATTTGAGGTATAACAATGCTGAGGTATAACAAAGAGGGGACAAGGTTGCAGGGTAACAGACAGTGTGAAAAAAACGTGTTTTTGGTATGTGCATTATGATGTTTTGTGATTGACCAAAAAACATGACTGTTTAATTTGAGGACAAGACTGTGTCCCTTTTAAATGTGTTGATTATATTGTATTTTCCTGAATACATAATTTTGCATTTACTTTTTTCAGCTGCTTCAGAATTGATCCGAATGTACCCAACACCTCCATCAAATAATTCAGAGATTTCACCCATATCATACCATGAAGTTATTGAAACATATGAAAGGCCCATTATCAAGAAAGAAATTAATGTTCCTTCTATTGAAGAGTTCCTCAAGGTAAGCGTTTAGTGTCATAACATTATCTATTTTTTGTATGATGAAGCAATAATTGGATTTCTTTAAATATTTTACATAGAAATGGATATTTTAGAATGTAATTTCATCTAAAGGATGTTATTTTTTCTTCTTTACTTTTGAATTACTCTTTTAGTTTGAATTTACCAAAGCTGTGTTAAATATCATTTGGCCAGTTCAAAATGACACTTTTGAAAAAAAAAATGTTCTGTCATTGACTGCCACTGGTAAGGATAGGAAAAAGATGCTGTGTCTAGCTGATACAGACATGACAGAGGGAAAGATCACACTTTTTAAAATTCATAAATTGAAAATTTTTCATTGAATATTTATTCACCTTTTAAACTTTAAAAAAAAGAATTGTGGAAATAATCGGAAAATTATTAAAATGGACAGAAACCTGTGTTTGACTTGCCAGCAATTTTATGGTTAAAAGTGTCTTCCCTTACCTTGAATTTATGTATAAGAGTTAAATTGTTTTTGTTGTGTTATTAACAGGATGTACCTAGTGTGTTCCAGCCACAAGAACAAGAAGAATTTGTCAGTTCAGAAAAATACTCAACAGTGACTCTACCTAGTAACAAACTGTCTCCTATCCACCACCCACCAGATTATAAAGCTTCTTGGCAGTTTCCTATGCCAATCATGGAGAAACCTCCACCTAACAGGTACTTTTACCTATATTTGATATAGTGCTTTGCATATTTTCAAATTGTTTACAATATTCTTGTAGCTTAATCAGTCAGGGATATAACTCTATAGGGTTATTACAGAAAAATAACATACATTTGTTATTGTGGACTAAAAAATCAAAGAACTGTGATAACATATGTATGTTACATGTTTCAAAGGGACAATATACATCACTAGTTTAGTTAAAATGCATACAAGTTCTATTGATATTACTATTGTCTTTATGTATACTTAACTATAGAAAGATATAACAGTTCATAGTTTGCCAATTTTGCATAGTACACCTATATGTTATTACAGAAAAAATATGCCTGTAATAACTAAAGGGTGTTATCACAGCTTCTCTATATCACTCCAAAGCATTTTCTCAGACAAACATCATGCTTAATTACAATGTATTTTAATTTATTGTAAGAAATAATGACCAGAGCATGTAATGAGGTTCTGCGCAAGCTTCCCAGTAATTCCCAAGTGTCTCATATAATAAGTTACATTCCTTTAATAACTAAGCTATGTTATTACAGCTAAGTTTATCCCTTAAAAGCCTCGTCTCATTGATTTACCATGGTTAATCAAAAATGTATTAATTCAATTAAAAAATTAATTATCAAGGCTATGCATTTAGTTTCTGCGCAAAGTCTCAAGAGTTCCCTAGAGCCCATTATAAATTAAAACATTTTTGATTTATTTTACAAATAACAAACATATGTTATTGCAGATTTAGAAAATTTAAGGAATAAAGAGTAGACTACTCATGAAAGTATCTGTAATAACACACACAAGTTATTTTCTGTAATAACCCTATAGAGTTATATCTCTGACTGTTAATAGGCTAACTCATACTTTATGAAAATATAAAAAAAAATATATAAAAATTTCATCGCAGTAAATTGACAAGAAATTTTTACAAAAGTGAACTGTAAAATTGAGAATGGAAATGGGGAATGTGTCAAAGAGCAGAAAACAGCCCAATGTGACCAATAGGTCTTCAACACAGTAAATTTATTTTCATCAATTACAAAATACTAACGAGATACTTAATTTTTTATGGACATTTGATTTCATAGTTTTGCCTAAGTCTGCATACAAAGCAGAAGAAAATTTGTTCTTTGTCGTAGACGTACATTTGTTGTTCTCAAAATACACGGAAATTAGGAATCTACAATAGTGGATTTACAAATCCCTTATATAAAAGTCACATACATGTAGGACAGAAACTGTGCAATATGGCGTTGAAGAATGAACATCTTTGGTTTGTTATATTATCTTGACCAATAACATCATGTAGATAGTTGACAAGTGAATGAACTAAACAAAGACCAGAAAAAAGTCATGACCTATTACACAATTATGTAAATGCACTTGTCACGTTCAGCATAAAAAATAGTTTGACAAAATGAAGGGATGATAATTGGGAAGTAAAGCTCCAAACATCTGAATTGGAGTTTTCATGGTTTTCAAGAAAAACAACATCAACATATGAAAATATTTTTTGTTGCTACTGCTGATTAAAACATAGTTCATTGATATATCCTTTCAAGATATATAGAGTTTATTGAATTGCATGCATGTAAGGAATTTTTTTTCATTTCTGGAGAATTAAATACGTCAAACATTTACACTGACACTTAAAATTGGATTTTAGAATTGTGTGCAGAAATTTTATTTTATGTATTTGAAAACAAAATTCATTATATCATTGAGGATAAGTGGTATATTTGTAACTTTTATATTGATAGCTACATAAACATACCGTCCATAGAGAATATTCCAAGCTTGCCATCACGTATGCCCTCCAGTGCAATAGAATCTTCGCCTGCAATGTTCCAGACATCAAGTGTGGGACCACAAAGGACACCGATGAGTTACGAACTGCAGTCCCCTGCATCAAATGCTTCGTCATATCTAAACAAAACCTTAAACTCTGTAGACAACCAGGGTACTAATAATCAAATAGCAGAGGTGCAAAGTTTGATTGTCAATATCTTGTTAATGGATTCTAGACTCAACGTCTTTAAAGATGCTAATTTTGATAGTTGTAATTTTTGTGTGTGTAACGGTAATATAAAAGGTGCTGATAGTGGTATTCTCATAGAGGATCCATCTGGTGAGGCACAGTACAGTTGTACGTGTGGATTTAGTGCTATTCGCAATAGACGATTTGGAATTCATGCAGGATTATTTTACGAGGATGAGGTTGACATTACAGGTGTGCGAAACGATCGATTAGATAGACGGAAGCCTGGTCTGTTATCGTTGGAATTTAATGGTGAACATAAAGGGGATGACCCAAATATGTTGGTGCTCGAGTTATTATTAGGACAGTTTACTGTGCCGTATCCTTCCTCATCCTCATCTCAACTTTTAATCAGACTCTCTATGAACACAGATACTTCATATGCAGCTATTTCAGTCGATGATTTCCCACTAAGGGGTAAGTCTTCATTCTATTATCATTGGAAATTTTAACTTTTGAAAACAGAAGTAATTTTGATGCTTACTTTTTATTTCTTGTCTGTAGTGACAGTATATGTAATCACACTCTTGGCAAATTCTGTAAGTTCAGAAATTATTGAGATATGCTTTATTATGAATATGAATAATTGACAGGATGATTAAGAACATCCCAATATTTAAAACTTGCGTTTAAATTTTGGTGGTAATATTAGTCTTATTCAATAGTTAGTTTATCTGGTACTATTGTCAGTTGTAAAAGATTAGTGGTAATACATAAAAGTACCTTTAATGTGATTCTATAAACTAAAGTCACGGTTGCACCAGCCTGGGTTGCAGTTAAAGTGTGAACCACAGTTCAACCAATGTGAAATATAGTGATTGCATTTGATTATTGAAATGTGACAAGACTTGGATATTTCAGAGAATCAACCCCTAATCACTTTTACTCACTGTGACAAATCACCATCAAGAGTGATTTTAAACTAAATCACCCTGTCTGTGTATATATGTAAATACAGTAAATCCCGCAAATCATATCAAGTAGAACTGAAAACAGGAAAAAGTCAGAATTAAACTTGCCCAGTAAAAATTGTATCCATTAGCCATGATTAGCAGTATAAAGAATTCAAGAATAGTTTGGTTTGCTGATAAAGGCTGTTTCATAAAAACATACATGGAACCCAGGGAAGGCACTTCCAAATCTCAGCGATGGGTGGGTGTCATATATATGTTTTTGCATACTGGAAATGTAAGTGAAATTTTAATTTGCCTCTATAGGTGGTTACCCCATTTTTAAAGTGCCTTCCCTGGGTACAATGTATGTTTTAATGGAACAGCCCTAACATGGTATTAATAACACAAGCAATTTTAAGCAAAAATGTTATACTGTTTAAACTTGGTGGTTTTGGACCACTGTGGTCCGCCAGTTATCTTTATTTAGACACACTTGAAAGCCTTGCTGGTCAATGTTGATCTTGTGTATTATTATAAACAAAAGATATAGTGTGGGTGAAAGTCAATGAGGTGGAAACAGTCTAACCAATGAAATCATTGGGGTCAACTTGATCAACATATGTTTATAAAAAAATACCACAAATATCATTTGGCTTAGTTATTTAAAGAGTAAGATTCATGTAAATGAAAAGAAAATAACAACATTTAAACAGTGATTTTGCTAGCGCTCGTCACTTTCGTAATTTACAAAACTGTTTTCAAAATGACGAAAGTATTTCAAATCAATTTCGTCACTTAAATTTGGAAAGTGTAATAATATTTTCACATGAAAATACTATAATTCTACCTGTCTACATGTTTCTGACAAGTTTATGACCCTCAGCTAATTAACATTTACAACAGGTGTTATAAGTTGTGATTACAGCTAATCCGTTTATCGCCATCGGATGGGTCACTAATCCGGTTAATTATTTTCCCCAGTAAAATCAGTCAGACTGCATTTTAATTTCAATATTTCTCAAGGCCAACGACCACAATTTGCAGTTCGTTTGTCGTAGTTTCGTCATTTGTACAAAATTGTTTTCCCCCGGACAGTTCGCTTTTTAATTTCAATATTTCTAAAACGATCATAATTTGCAATTCGTTTGTCGTAGTTTCGTCAAATGATTGTATTTTCGTCATCTTTGATATAAAACGTTCAATTTCGATTAAAAAGATAGAACTTTATTCAAAACGTTCAGAAATGTTTTCACGTTAAAAACTTCCATCATCATCAACGAGTCAAACAGGTGCTTCCTTTACGATATACTGCGCATGAGTGAAAGTTTTCCTGTAGACACTAAAACGTAAAATACTAAATAAATTTAGTGCCAAAATAAATAAGAGAGGCAAATATAGTTCTTACTAAGCAAATTGAAATAAAAAAATGATAATTTCCTGTCTTTTAAACACGAACCAATCCGTAAATGAATCCGGATTCATTCTGAATCTATTATCTACTTGTCACTTCCTGTTTACATTTCATTTGAAAATCGAAAGTAAACATGATAAATTCTCGATTAATTTACAATTTACAGTTAACGTTATTAGAATCGTTCCATTTGAATTTGTACAAATCCTTGGTTCCAACTTTATAGAAATTAATTCAAAATATCGATTTAAACGTATTATAAGGATAATGATTATGCAGTGTAATAGTCTTACAAAGTTCAACAAGTTCATTTATACTGTGATTCCTGGTTTTAAAAAAAGGAACCCAACTTTTGTTGATCAGGAATGTCCCCTGAAACTAATTGAAGTAAAATTTTGAACTAGATTTTCAGATCTTATATCCTAATCTTCATCTTTTAGTGACACATGAGTCAAATCATGCAATTGATGCCTTAGTCCTTCAAAGTCTGACAAAGATCGTACATGTATAGCTAGTAATATGCATACATCCTTGGTCCCTTGCTGTAACCCAAAATAATGTTGATTTTCATCTCGCGCAAAAGTGACTAAAGCCCTCAAAATCCTAGCTTAAACCCTGCATTTAAACACTAATTACTGGTCAATAACAAGTGACCTGAACCAAGATAGAAATGTATGGTTAATCCTGACACTATTGGTAATAGATAAAAACAGAATGGTGCATTTAATTTGATTATATATGGTAGAAACTGTTTACCAAGAGATATCAGTACTTGAGAATTTTACCATGATTACTCGTTGAATATTATATAAATAACACATAGATGAGAGGGTGATCGAGCAGATTGTTACCCCGAGAAAACATTGTCAACCGCAGCAAAGCCAAGGTTGACAATGTCTTTTTGAAGGGTAACAATCTGCTCTATCACCCTCTCAGCTATGTATTATTTACTTTATTATACTGAATGATCTGTTAATACTGTCTGTTAAATTTCCAATTCAAAGTAATAAACAATGACCTCTTGTACATAACAACCATCCCTATTTAGTAAAGCACACAAATGATCAAGATTCTCTGTGAAGGGTAATAGAGTTTTTGCCATGGGGTAGAGTAAATTATCTCCCTCGTATTAACTAATCAGAATCCCGCATTTTGACATGCAGTATAAAAATTCTATTATTTGATCATATTAGAAATTGAAATATACTGGAATATCAGTTCTTTAGAATGTTATCCATTATATTTGCAGATGGAAACGATGTTTCCTATACAGCTTTAGACCAAGGTCGGCAGGCTATGGAACACTGTTTACCAACTAAACTGAACGATGATGTGATGAAAACTACTTGTCTCCATAAATGGCAATTTTTACAAGGTAAATATTTATATCTGAAGGTTGCCTGCCAAAAATGTGTCTTCCTTGTCAGGTTACTGACAGAATAGTGGTATAATGGTAAGCATGACTATAGCTAGTTTTTGAAAAGGGTATCATCTGCACATTTGTATTTGTTAAAACATGTAAAGAAAAAAATTGTTGCTGTCAGTTAAGAACAGCATTTACTCAATAAAAAGAATTGCTAAAATAAGATCAAATAATTCTCTCTGGTAATTAGATATATATTATTCATGCTAAGAGAAATAAAGGAAAAATGAAATATAAAATGTTTACTACATGTGGGAATTACATTTTAAAAGCAGTTTAAGAAATGTACCTACAGAAGTAAATCTAAAATCAAAATAATTATTCACTTTTTTATCTAACAAATAAGACACCAAGTGTTTGCATAGCAGAAACTTATACATTATTTTAAAGTTTTAAGTTAAGGAAAGTCCAATGAATTCTCGTGTTACACTTGAGATGTGATTAGTCAATAGGAAATTGCTTGTTAAGTAGTTTAATGTTGTGGTGTAACATTCAATTGATGTTTCTGTCTAAACACCCAATTGTAAAACAGGATATAGCTTTTTCATAATACTTATGAGGGTGCTTATATGTATATAAAAGTTATTTGATTTGTGTAAGATTAAACAAAAAATAATTTACAGAATATGATATATGACATGCAATACACACGCACACAAGTTGATTCAGTTTAAATAACGTGTTTATGATGATGATATAGTCCATTTGATGCACAAATATGAAAAAAATTCTCAATTACATGCATGTACATTTAAAAAAATTGGAAATTAGATTAACGCATATTTGATCCGTTTTACAACCAAAAACATTGATACTGTTGTCAGATATAACAGTGTAAACCATTCGACTTTTGCTGTACAGAAAAGAGTAACTGAAATATCTTCCCATTTTAAAGATTACTTGTTTGATATTTATTGATTGCTACATCATTCTTTAACAAAGATCTTACCTTTTCAGGTGCTACTAAAATACCTCTCAATTCTCAAGACTCCCAACATCTGTTGAAGTCACTACAACCTATTTTGCAAGATGCAATACAGAACAAACGTGTGACAAGGTTATGGGAACAGACTTTCAAATTAACGGGTCCTCTCACATGGAAGGAATTTCACCAGCTGGCTGGTCGGGGTAGGTATTTTAGTAAAACTGTGTTGTACAATGTAAGGTTAGCCTGTGTTTATGTATGATTTTGCCAATGTTATAGTGCAACAGAATATACAGTACCAAAAAGTTGAAGGTTTGACACTCTAACAAGCTAGTGTCAGAACAAACTTTTCATTGAGAATTTATTTTTGATATTGTTACTGGAACTTGGAAGTTGTTGAATTATGTCTTTACATTTACTCTGTGTTTAGAATTTAATGCATGCATTTATCATTGTGAATAGGCAATAATGTGTACAAGTTGTAAAAGTATATCAATAACAAAGGTTTTTAAATCCTGTTGTAATTTTTGAAATGTTTATCTAGTTTCATTTCTGACATTAAGCAAAACATCGAATTAATTTATGAATTTATGGTACACATAATATTTGCCATTTGGATTATAAAAAAGTCTTATGGAATTATTTGAAATAATCAAGAGTTGTTTATTTATATGTATTCCATTTTAAATTGCCTTATATTTTGAACTACAAGAAAAAAAGTGAGAGAGAGAGAGAGATATTCTTTCTGGTGTACATGTGTACCATGAACATGAAATTGCCTTTCAAAGATGATTAAAAAAACAGAAATCAAACCAAATTGGAATGAAACGTTCAGAATATTTTACTTTGACTTACTTTATAATGCAAAAATTTTGGATATTAGCAATTTCGCATCGTGTACATGTATATTATCAAAAGAAAATACATAGAAGAATTTAAATTTACTTTAAAAGGAAATAGCAGTGTGAAAAAATATGGTTCCTTTACAATTGCAAGTATTGCAATATTATACATGTAATTAGATTGTGTGGGATTTTATATTTGAAGGTTCCGAAGAGAATTCTTCTCCACAACCTATACCTGCATTGTTAGTGGGTCACGACAAAGACTGGCTGTCAGTGTCGCCATACTCGCTTAGATTCTGGGTAAGTAGATTGTTTTAGTCAATATTTTATTATCGAAGATTTTAGTATTTGAATAAAGCCTGCATCTAAAATTTTCTTTAAGATATATCTTTCTACACAAATGATGAAGGTTGTGTAATTTCGGCAAACGTAGTATTTTATGTCACCTTTGTGCTGCTCTACATATTCGAAGAAGCAAACTGTTTATGATGTATACATGATAGGGTAGAAGGAACTTTGTTAAAATGAGAAGTTCCCAGGATTTTTCAAAACTAAGATGAAAAACGGTTACCTCAGACTCAATTTTGACATCATTATCTGTATAAAATTCTACTGGAGTTGTCAAAGTCTGCATAAAGATAGATAGTGAGTTTGGCTTGATATATTAATATACATGAAAAATATTACAAGGAAACAAAATTCATTCAGCTTCATAATCAATTTTCAGTATTAACTGAGGATAAAATTTAATATCTGTTGTTTAATTGCAGGAAAAACAGTTCATGGAACCATATGGCAAACAAAGAGACATTGCCTATGTTGTTTTAGCTCCAGACAATAACTATGTGATAGACTATGTCAAAATATTCTTTCAAGAACTCAGTAATGTGTATGAACTATGTCGGTTAGGACGTCATGCTCCATTTGCCAAAAAGCTTCGTGATGGAATCATGAGGATCGGTAAAAAGCAGGCAGCTTCTAAAACTGGTGACGAGGTCGAGGAAGAATTCTTCAAACATATAGGTATGTAGAAGAGAAAAGTTCCCTTTGCCATAATTTTATATGAGTTGATTAACATATTCATTTTCTGATAAAGTAGTCAGTTTGTCTCAAAGAGAAAAAAGGCAACATTTTAGTTTAGTCTGAATAAACAATTTAATTCTAAAAAGCTATGATTATAACTGAATGTTTCTGATGAAAATACTGTTCATATTGACGCTCGTAGGCATTTTTCATATTTGCTTTTTACATAAATGAACTGTGTATGTAGGGTTGCTGGAAAAAATAATGATATAACAGTTTGGTCTACATATAAAATCATCATATACATGTAGATGTAGTCAAACTAAATCTATAAATATGATATTAATATCTTTTCTGCCATTAGTTTGAAATTCAGCCAACTAGACAGCTTTAAAATAAATCTGCCTAATTCTTTTGTAATTGTTCACTGTATATATATTTGTAGGTGAATCTCCCATTACCAATAAATTGAGGCTGTATGCACAAGTGTGTAGTTCCTGGTTAGGTAAGTATAGACATACCACATACTGATGGGATAAGAAAACAAGGCATTTAACAGACATTAGGATAGTTGATATTTAATGTGAAATATTAGTAGTTCTTATATAAAATAATGTTAAAAATGTAGTGAAGACATACAGCTGAATAAACTCTTGATAGGGAACAAAAATTACTGATCCAATCTTATTGTCTTTAAAAAGCCATAAACAATTGTGATTAACAGATACCCAGTACACAAAAAGTGATTTTATTAAGATGAGTGAAGCAAGGTACACAAGTGCTGGTGACAACACATTGATAAAGAACACTTATATGTTATAGCTTGTTAATATATATATATGAAGTGGTGTTTCAGAGTGAATGAACCACAATCACCAGCATTCACTGTGAATGGTGACCAATAACTTGTGTGTACTGTACTAAGCTTACAAATCTTCCAAGAAATCTTTGTACATATATATTGGCTAGTAAAATTAACATGGAAATTAACTGTCATAGTCTTGAATTGGTACTTGTGTACTTGCATTGTGCATCCTTGAACTGTTTTGACATTGTAGTAATCACTTGTGTTCATGTATGTATTGATTACAATAAGGCCTACTAAATAACTGTTTTTTCTCTTTTTTCCAGCTCCATTACTTGGCCAGCAGACCTTGGACCAGTCGGTATTTGAACCAAATACAAACTACAGGGCAGGGTATAAACCATGTGAGCCTATTCCTCCAACCAACACTGAACATGTTTTCACTGTACCTCCACCTACTACTGTTAATGAAGACAATAAAGGTAGGCTAAAATCTTGTCAGATATGTCTTTTACTCTTTTTGGCGCTTGCTCCTTTAATATTTTTATTTCAAGGAAATCGGCGAAGTTCTAGAATAAGAAATTTCTTATATTATCTTATATTTATTATAATATTAGTGGTATAATTTTTGGTAGAAAATTGAACTGCCTCATACATTATTTTTTACATTGGCTTGAGAAGCTGAAATTTATTTTGTTTGAACTGATAACGATCATATGTACATATGTGATCATTATTCTATAGTATATATCACCATAGTTTTTGAATTTGTTGCATTGATAAAAAGATAAGATTAAGAAGTCATAAAAGTTTATTGTATTTCAAGTTGGGGAATGAAAAGTAACACCAAAGTTTATCTCTGTCTTTGTAAGACTTTGACATAGAGGCCAACTCTTTATTTCAGTCTTTCATAAATTTGTTCACTGATTGACTATTGGGTGTGCTTGATTCACAGATAATTAAGGTAAAATGTCATGGTCATTGGTTTGGAGGTTGGGCTCTAATTATTATTCAATACATATTGAATGTAAAGTATTTTAAATAAAGTATTTATTATTTTGTAGAAAACACTCAAACTTCTGAATCTAACAACTTGAGAGATCAAAGTCTACATGAAAATGATCGTGAAAAACCCACGGAGAGTCCAGCATTGGTTGTGTATATCGTGGATCCTTTCAGCTACGGTCAGAACTGTGAAGGGGAATCAGATATGGATAGAATCATCAAAATAGGGCTACTCAAGTGTTATCTACAACTTGTCAAATCTCTTCCAGATAATTTACAGCAAAATATTAATTTACAGGTAAGACTTTCAGTTCAGAATGGAAATTTTGTTTCATGTGCTTCCATATCCTTTTGATGAAAAATTTGACAATAATAATAGTTACTATTACTTAAATGTCTGAAAATAGGAAAAAATCTTCAAGAAAACAAAAAAAAAATCTCAGTAATTTTCTATCAAACTAAAGAAAGATATTATATAAGGGCTATTCCATAAAAACATACATGGGACCCAGGGAAGGCACTTCCAAATCTCAACTATGGGTGAGTGTCATCTTTGTTTTTGCAAAGTGGAAATTTAAGTGACATTTTAGTTTGCCTCTATAGATGGTTACCCCATTTTTTAAGAGCCTTCCCTGGGTACCATGTATGTTTTAATGGAACAGCCCTAATTTGGAATAGGAACACAAGTCTATTATTTAATCTTTATGTGACCTTAGTATGTAAATTAACTGAACCTTTTATACGTCACAATATCAAATTGTCCACCTGAGTGAGTTTGATACATATAGATTCTACCACTGCATCGAATGTGATACGATATTTATCCACTCGACAGTTAAATTTTCAAATTTAAAACGCGAGGCTTGCAGAGCATTTTAAATATTTAAAATTTAACTGTCGAGAGTGGATAAATATCGTATTACACGAGATTTGGTGGTGGAATCTGTTTCTCTAATGATTTTCAAACAATACGCAGGCAAATTTATTCCTTCTTTTCGAATGATCTGCAAAAAGATGTGTTCTTTCTATGTGACGTCATCAGGCATGGTCGCCTTTTTTCATGCTGTGTCAATAGGAGATTAAGAGGAAAGCAAGAAAATTCGACGTCATAATCGGATTTTAACCAATGAAGAACTGAGATCAAACGAACCACACGTTGATTAAATTTTTTTTATACAATGGGTGCAGAAAAGGATAAATTGACGAAGAATTAGAGAAAAAATTTTATCAAATTTTCATAATACTGCAGTTTAATTTATATTCATTGAAACCAATTTTTAATGGATCAAGGGAAAATTGTATTTAATTTAATATGTGGTTCACCAAATTGATAATTACCCCACAAATAATAATGAATAAACTTTTTAATATTTACATATTTGAACTTGCAATGTAATTATATTTGAATTCATTTTCAGATCATTCCGTTACATACTGTGTTAGAGAGTACAGAGCGGGGCAGTAACATGCAACAGTTAAAGGCAATATCGTTTTCTGTGTTCACAGCCTGTCGATGGATTTCATCGCACAATGTACTGGGTCGGTCATTGACAGGGTTTGGGCCAGCATCAGCTGCCGATCTCTTCCTCAAAAAGAAGGAAGTAAGTAAAGATTTATGTTGTTGTGTTTGTTTTCTCCTTCTATGATAGTAATTTCCTGTATATGCATCTGTCCATTAATCTGTTTGTCTGTTTGAGGATTCTGTTTGAGAGGATTCTAACCACAGAAGGAAAAAAAGCTTAGTCTTTGATATAAGGCCGGTGTGTTAATGTTTTCAACATCATAAAGAATACAAATTCTCATAAGAATAGTTGGTTCTCTTCCTTCCATCAGTGTAAGTCTGTGAATAGGAAGTAGTGATTTTAGTCATCAAGATTTTGATTATGATCAGATATGCAGTGTTATGTCTTTTTTTATGGGAAACATTATTTTGCTAAAATTTTCTACAGTAGAATAGATTAAAATCTCTGATCTAAGTACCATGAATCTCTTGTAACGTGTCTTACAGAAATAATTATGTGTCCTCTTTGGATATCTATATAGCTAGCATATGTAAATAAATCTGTTTAAGTTAAATCTGAGTAAGTCCTCAGTTCACAGATGGACTAGGTCCTACAGATTATACCATGACTTTTCAAATGTATATAACCCCTTTGAGGTTCATCAAATAAGATGTTTAATCTGAGTTCAGAGGCCTTAAACTGTGAAACATACAAGTTATAAATAATCTACATTTCTTTGATTAGGATAAGAAAATGAAACTGTACAGTCCTCCGTTTGTGATAGCTCCCACCAAAGACAAACAAGCTCTGCTGGCAGAGTGTCATGGGGAGAAGTTGGAGAGGAGTAATGTCCTGTACTTTTCTTACTGTCTGTCAGAGGACCAGCGGTGGTTATTAGCTGCCTGTACAGACGAGCAGGGTGAACTGATGGAGACGGCCACCATCAACATAGAAATTCCAAACAGGTATTCATTATAACATTAAATTTTAAATTAGTTAAGGAAAACATTACTTCTAATTTTGAAAGCAGGTTTACAGGTTATTTGAAATTGCAGTTTAGATGTATATAAAAAAAGAAAAGAAAATGCAACCTTCAAGACTTGCAGTATAAGCAAGCTAATTTGGTAAAGTGTTATTTTCAGTTATTATTGTTTTTATGCCCCCGCCGTATTGGAGGGGGCATTAAGTTTTACCATTGTTTAATCATAATCATCATGATTGATTAAAGAGGATTCAGGAATTGAGACTAAAAAATAATCAATATTGTTAATTATTTGGAAATTGTTGTTAAAAAAAAGTCACTGAGATCAAATCAATATATGTTTCTCTTTTGTTATTCCATGCTGTATTTTTTTTTAGAAATTTATATTCTTCATATTTTTTTCTTTTAGAAATCGAAGGAAAAAAGCTTCAGCGAGAAAAATTGGTTTGAGAAAGTTGTGGGATTTTATTTTGGGTGTAGTTACCATGACAACCATTCCTAGCAGGCTAGTGATTGGGAGATTTGGTAGAATGGGCCATGGTGAATTAAAAGGTAAGTAATTGTATGTACTTGAACTTTATTTCAAGGGGTAATTTTGTACTGTAGTCACTTTAAAAAAAATTAAAATTAAAGATTCCAGAACAGGTCTAATACCTAGTCAGTTATTTCCTTATCTTTACACAATGCAACTGGAAGTGGCCATTACATTTTTGTAACAATGTTTTTTATTATGCCTCTGCCGTCACAGGAGGGGGCATAACGTATGACCCTTGTCTGTCCGTACATAGGTTCCGAAATTGGTTTTCTGTTCTCTAGCTTTAGTTTGCCTCAACCAAATGCTATGAAACTTATACACAATGCTTATTACCACAAAACACAGATCAAGTTCGAATTTGGGTAGCGTCACTTTTACTGTTCTTCAGTTATGTCCCTTTATAATGTTATAAGCCAGTGAGGGCATCATATGTGTCCATAGACACATTCTCCATTTATTTATATATATATTGATAGTGTGGTATTTTATATATTGACTTCTTATACCCATGTTTCTATTTGTTTGTGAGAGCAGCTTTCAGATTACATCATGAATTTGTGAAGTGTTTGACTACATAGCAATGGTTGTGCTTTTCATACAGCACATATAGTTTACTGTATAATGTTAACAAAAATTATTTTCTTGTAAGCAGATTATGACATTGTATTTGAAATGTTTACAGGTTGGTCAGGATTGTTGAGTAAAAAGAACATTGTAAAATCCATGAGACGTATCAAAGATCTGTGTCCCAACGTGTGTTCCCATTTGACAAACAGTTCAGAAATTCCAGGAATTCTTAGTGTGTGTTTGATATCTCTGGAATCTCATTCATCATTCCAAGTTTTAGCCGATGCTGTTAAGGCAGAGGAGAAGATGAGTAGTAATTGTCCGCTACAAACTCCACAAGATGCTTCCTGTACACATATTCTAGTCTTTCCAATTTCTGCAAATGCGCAGGTAAGTCAGTTGAGAGTATTATGGGGGAATTTTTGAGGTTGGGTACGCAATTCAGATATACTATAATTTCATTAAATAAGAAAAGCAGTAGCTACATTCCTTTGTTGCCAAGATTTTCTTAGATAATTGGCATCTTTAACATTCATATTGCAAAGAACAGCTGCTGTTTGTCTTTTTGTTTAAAAAAAAAAATCTTTGTAAGATGTAACTTGTTAGTCTTTTTACACTAACAGGAACAGATGGAAAATGAAATTAAATTTCCAGTGTATATGTATATGGTCCGGGTACACAGTTATCGTCCTTTGATTTTCGTTGTCCACGAATATAGTCCCTAGTGTGGACAGTGTGTTACTTGTCGATTTTTTTTATACCCCTTCCAAATTTATTTCTCCATGTTTTATGACTCAAATAGTAAGTAGGGGGGTGAAATGACACTGTAAAAAAATTTGGGTCATGAATTTTAAAGTAAAGTAGTGATTTGGTCCAGCTGAAAAATGTTAAAAATTAGCACTTCGGAAGCTGTCAAAAGATTTGAAGACCCCCTTAACATGAAATTGTCCATATTTTGAGTTAGAGCCGATGAAGTTTTCTATAATTTTGATATAATTTGTCCCAAAAGTAGTACAACACACTGTAAAAATATTATTGAGAAAGCGCAGGTGGGATTTTTTTAATTTTCATTTATTGTCTAAAAGAAATGCACTACGAAATAACTGTGTACTCGGACCTAAGAGGTGAAATCAGGAAATATAGAATCTGTATTTTGGCAACTTCCCTGAATGATTTAATGGTGTCAATTTATCAAATAGCATAAAACTAAAGGATTTAAACTTTTATTTGATAGAATTTCTGCAAAAATTACCAATTTTGGCATTTTATGGTCAAAATAAGCATTTCATAGCTTTTTCAATTTTGATGCATAAGTGGCATTCTGACTTTCTATCTGACAGGTTTTTATGTGTCAATATTTGTGTTTCTATGCTTCAATCCAGTTGTATTACTCATTTGTGAACTCTGAATCTACAGAAAAGAAGATTATCTTGGACAATTTGTGCAAAATGTGTTGTATATATGATCCTCGTCTAACGCCCTGTTTGGATCAAGTTAAATGTGAGGAGCTTGGAACATAAAAGTTGAAGTCCATTATAAAGACCTCACTAAATTTGTATAAAAAGCACTTAACAATGTCTTTTGTACCTGTTTTATGTCACATAATATCTTTCTTTTCTTCTGTAGGATAGCAAGTGGTTCAAATATAAGCCTGTTGAGACTAAAATTGCATGCATGTTTTTCACTAAAAAGTGAAAAATCTTTGTATCAGACCATACTGTCTGCAAAAAAAGTTGAATGCAAGAGTCTTTTTGTGCTCAGATTTATTGTATCATGTCACCTGAGCATAGAAATGATAGAAAAGACACAAAATTTTATTTCCTATAGCTTCAATATGCATTTTTAAATGTAAATATGTGATACGGCCTAAATTGGCCCTAAATTATTTTCAGTCTTACTTGGCCTAAGACCCTTTTAAACTAATGTGATATGTTATTTGTAAGTTTTCTTTCCATTTAAAGTACATTAAATACATATGTAAGGATTAATTATAACCAAAAAGCTTTACAAATTTAAAATTGCTGGAAAATATTACATCTTCATGTAAGGCCCCCTTCATTGGAAAACCTCCATTTTTAGCCACAGGCTCATATAAATTTGACTTTTTAATAATTATGATAAGTCTGATAAATCAAATGAGTACTCTATTGCTTTTAATACATAATACATAATATATTAAGGCATTTCAAAAGTATTCTTTTGCAATATTTTAATTTTTTAAGCCCCAAATGTTGGTAGTTGAAAATTTTCAATTTTAACGTCTAAATTTAACACGCAAAGTTGAATATAGAATTAGTCATATTGTCTATAATATATATCCTATTGCCATGAAACTTTGTAAGCAGTCTTATAATTTATTAAGCTTTGATCATACCAAGTTTCATTAAGATTGGTCAACTTTTTCTACCCTATTAGGTCCGGGTACACAGTTATCGTCCTTTGATTTTCGTTGTCCACGAATATAGTCCCTAGTGTGGACAGTGTGTTACTTGTCGATTTTTTTTATACCCCTTCCAAATTTATTTCTCCATGTTTTATGACTCAAATAGTAAGTAGGGGGGTGAAATGACACTGTAAAAAAATTTGGGTCATGAATTTTAAAGTAAAGTAGTGATTTGGTCCAGCTGAAAAATGTTAAAAATTAGCACTTCGGAAGCTGTCAAAAGATTTGAAGACCCCCTTAACATGAAATTGTCCATATTTTGAGTTAGAGCCGATGAAGTTTTCTATAATTTTGATATAATTTGTCCCAAAAGTAGTACAACACACTGTAAAAATATTATTGAGAAAGCGCAGGTGGGATTTTTTTAATTTTCATTTATTGTCTAAAAGAAATGCACTACGAAATAACTGTGTACTCGGACCATATATTGTATTCAATATTCTGTTCCATAACCCCAAAAAAATGATACCTAGTTGATCATAATTTATTTTGCAGGCAAATTCTCAGAGTGTTATGCCAGATACTGGAGTATCTTTAGGCCTAGGGAATATTGAAGATGTCATGGATGATGACAATATTCTGTCAGGTTTACATGAGGACTTCAAAATGGACAATGATATAAATGATGGATTTCTCTTTAATGTTTTTGAAGAAATTACAAATTCTCCAAATACTGTGCTTCCAGGAGGAAATAACTCTAATCCAGGATCACCAACAGATAATGGCAGAAATTCATTGTCAGCCATGAATGGTTCTACCTCAGTAAGTTTATAGTACATTTTTGAGAATTGAAATTCATATATTCTGCTTGAAATTGTTTGAAATTTTATTGGTCTGACATCAGGGACCGTCAGTTAAATGAATTATCAGGCCATCACAAATGAAATTTGTGCTTTTAGTATCATTCACAAGTGTTGTAAAGGTCAAAACAAATTAATAGCCTGCTTAAACATGCTGCAATGTTGGAATTGTGTGCCTTTGTTGATACTTTAAAGATAAGAATCGTGTCACATTTGAATAACACATCTTTTAAAAAAATATATTTTGAAAATTAGAAATTTTTGCCTGTTGGTCATACAAACTTATGGCTTAGCATGTATGAAGAAAAGTTAAATTTGGTGTTGCCAGATGAGGAATTATTTTATTTTTTTAGATATCCTTATGTGTAATGGTATTTCAACTGTGTTGGTATTTATGCAATACAATATTCCTTGTTAATGGTATGACAACACACACAAGTTATGAAAACAGTGCATTACATATCTAGCGTTTACTGATTTTACTGTAAATCAAGTAAATCAGACATATTTTATGCATTCAAAAAGATAAAAATAGGCACATCATAACATGGTATTAGTTTTGGCAGTTTTGTTTTAAACAGCATGCCTGTGATTATCTTTCCATACTTTAAGTAATATTGGTGTTCTATGAATACTGTTATTTCTGGAGTGAAGGATTTGTTTATGCTTAAATGTTTTATATCAGAAAATGTATAAATTATTAAATCTTTATAGCTTCTTCTATAGTTAACATTGTTTCTTTTGTTTTAGAATTCACAGGATTTAGATCCTCAAGATGAACAGCCAAATTTATTACAGCAGCCTCTTGCAATGGGATATATTGTATCCACAGCAGATTCTGGGCCTCTGCCAAAATGGTTCTGGTCAGCCTGTCCAGAAAGCGAGCATCACAAACCATATACATTCAAAGTAAGTTGTTATACACTTTAATTTAAATTAAAAGTGGTGGTCGTAGGTTTATATTGAATATTGGATAAATGTATTGGTGTCAAACATCCAGTGACAAATATTAAATGAATATCAGGACAAGAGAACAACAACATGTTAAGATGCTATTAATATGAACCCTACTTTATAGTATACCGACACAATGAGCCAAATTGGAAACATGCCAGTTCACAAGGCTACAGTCTGCAGGAAGACATGTCGCCCTAATATAACACATTATTCTGACTCTCAGCTAACTTATCAATGCTTCATCAGTTGATGCTTAGGTGGAGAAACTTCAAATACCAATTTTCAAGTCTTTGGTTAAAACCAGTCATGGAAAGAACCAAAGACTTCTCACACTAGATGGGGTGGGAGCTCCAGATCAGAAAGGTGGTATTTGAATATATGATGTGCAATAAATGGTACACACTACATAATGAAATACATACATGTAGTAAGCATAACCATTTTTGGGATATTTCCACGTGTTAACATGTATTAATGTATGGTTTCAACTTTTCTGGTTAAAAATAGCATGTTAAATTTTATTTTGCAGGCTGCATTACACATTCAATCAAATCAGGAGGAATTCATGCCATCATCTCAAAGAAATTCTCATCCCTTAGACTCAAGTATTACTTGTGATGTACTCAGGTTAGTAAGATCTTATAGAAATTCTCATCCCTTAGACTCAAGTATTACTTTGATGTACTCAGGTTAGTAAGATCTCAAAGAAATTCTCATCCCTTAGACTCAAGTATTACTTGTGATGTACTCAGGTTAGTAAGATCTTATAGAAATTCTCATCCCTTAGACTCAAGTATTACTTGTGATGTACTCAGGCTAGTAAGATTGCATAGGTTATGGTTTGTGAGACTGATTGGTTGTATAACGTATGTAAACAATATAATTTATACATAAAAACATGAAGATTTCAGTGCACAACACTTACTGTGTATCAGAAATTTTCACTAAATTCTCGGTAGACGTTTTACCGAGAGATTTACCTGATATGGAAAATCAAAACTGAAGATTTCTCTGCCCTTCTAAGGCCAATACCACAAAATTATCCAGGCATGTGGTATATTTCTAGAAATAAAAAACTTATCAGGAATGCACAAGACATTAAGATTTTGTTTCTTTTATTGATGATTAAAATTCAGTTTGTCACAGTAGAAAAAGTTGATGTCTCTTGCTATATTGACAATACAGTTGCCTATATTTATATTCATTACTCTGACAAATTTTAAGACAGGAATTTTCCCTGTAATTGTAAACACTGTATCCGTATCACTCCTACAACAATGAGCTTTCATAACGGTATCTTAGTATATTGACTTATAATGTGGTAATCTTTATACTCTAAAATGCCAAGAATTTGCATTTGATCTTTGTATTTACAGGTATGTTTTGGAGAACTACAACGCTCTGTCATGGTTGACCTTTGACCCAGTGAAGAATGATCGCCAGTCAAGTTTACCAATACACATCGTAGTTCTGATGCAGATGTACCATGCATTAAATGCATTTCTCTGAATCTGTGATATTTTGACAATTTTTTCTGTGATGCATTTAATTCATGCTCCATCTGTCATGATTGATCAAAACGCTGAAAGGATCAGGATCTCAAAATCGACATATTTATTGTATTTTTTATACATTTTGTGAATAATACTGTAATCTTTTGTAAATTTTTGTACCTTCCCTTATCGTGAACTAAATTATTGAAAAAAAGTCAGTGAAACTTGTGTATTAAATGTACATGTGATTAATTTATTGTATAGTTCATCATATCTCATACCGTTTCATATACCTCACAGTAAACAAGTCATGTCATGAAGAAATAATGTATATATTCTTGGAATAAGCTTCTATTAAGCTCCAAGCATCCTCGTTGTGGTAGCTGAATTCATTAAATTGTACATTTTATAATGTTAATGAACTTTTCCAAATGATATTTGGAGCTGACTTTAAAGAATTTGAATGCTGATCTTCCATTAATATTATGAAGACGAAAATAGTGCTAAGAAGGAAGGGTCAATGCAATGGGGAATTTGTTAAAATGCCAGTATTTTTTGTTATCTTTTAAGGACTAGATATGTCCTAAAAGAATTAAGGAAAATTTTCATTTATCATGCACATTGTTACTTAACACTTTTAGTTCTATTCACGTCATATCAAAACTGGAGAATAATAAAAAAGACTAAAGATTTTATTTTCCAAGCTTGTATCAACAATGTTAATAGTTCTTTTTGGAAAGGAGACTTTTCAGTACTTCAGCTCCTTTTTAAAATCTTAGAAAACCCACATTAGATATAAATCATGTTCTATGTTGATATGATTATATTAATAGTATTTTTTTATTTGTTAAAAATGAAATATTTTAAAAGTGCTGAGTACAGGAGGCGTGCTAAATTAATTAATAAACCATGACTCAATATGAAAGTCAAAATATTTTTTTATAAAATATATATTTTTCTGTCAGATATCATAGTTTAGGGTGATCCCTTTAAAAGTCATAATTACTCTAGTTTAAAAAAACTTTGAAAACAAAGAAATTTGTGTGAAAATATCAGCTAAATTTATATCAAATTAGCATATGGGCATGTTACAAAAATATGGGAATACTGCCAATCTTGAAAAAGGTTTTCAATGGATTGAGTTATTTTTTTTTATGGCAAGATATTGTAATAATTTATATCAGTTGTGGGGAAACAGTGATGAAAATAATATCTCCTTATTTTATAAAGGGGGAAATCAATATCAAAATACCATCAAAGTATTGTAAATGAAGTGGCATATTATAAGCAGATGATCAATTTGTTAAACTTAATGTTAGATTTCTTAATTCTTAACTTATTTTGTAAGTATTTATAAGTTCCTGTGATATGTTTCTACATATGATTATTTGGGGATCTTTGGTTTCAGAGACTTAATCTGTGTATATTTTTCATACCCTTAGTCAGTATTATTATAATGGTATGCCCTCTTACTCTAGGGCCTTGTATGCCAGAGTAGGGGAAAGGATGAGTGATGTGAAACATTACCAATCAATGCTTAGAAAACATTTTTGTTATTATAGAGATTCCAGTATATTATTTTGTCCTTTTTACCTATGGGGAAACAGACATACTCTGTTTGATAATTTAACCAATCAGATTGTAGGAGTATCACAGATATGCCATTCCAAAAAAAGTATATCAATATTTTGTTTTCTTTTTTCAAAGAGTTACAGTATTTAAAAATATATTATGGTTGTAAATTAAGATATTTTCCTTTAAAACACGCCTGGCACTTAGTGGAAGCTCTGCAAATAAGAAATGGACCTAATGATGCAATTTTACTACCATTGCTTTTTGAACCATAGCAATTGTAGTTAATATATACATTTTTGGGGTTCTCCCTTACACGGAATATATTTTATTCTGTATTCAACATATGAAAATTTGTTTTTAATGTATTAAAGAAATGAAATGTATGATAATTTTGGTATTTCTCTGTAATAACTTGAAGACATGCTGGAGGGAGCTCACAGAATTCCTTGAAATTTCAAATATATTTAGAGTGAAAAAAGTTTGATTCCTCACGTCTGGACAAGTAGCTCCTTTCCTTTGTGCTGGGTGTGGTATGTTTTAATGGAACTACCGTTACTTTCAATTTGAAGTATTTCTGAAGGGAGATAATTGATATTAAACTTTTTTAATTGCTACTTAATATTGGTTAGTTGTTTATTCTTGTTTTTCTCTAAAAAATATTGTGCCAAATGTTGGACTCCATATAAATTTTATTAAGATTAACCTTTATTTTTCCAAGAGCAATTTAAGTCTTTTATTCATTTCTTTTTGTAAAATTGGTATGAATAATTAAAGTTTTCTATTAATTATAAACTTAAAAAATGTAAACATAGATTTAAAAATAGTTAATTACATCTAAAGGAATACATTATTGAAACTATAAATGTATTGGGGTGCATTTTTCTCATTTGAGTGAGGAAGTTGTTCCCTGTTTAAATAAAATCTTCTATCAATTTTTTACCTGTAAATTAACTATTTTCAATCAAATAATGAGATCTATAATTTATTATAGGCTTTTTAAAGAGTCGTTATTGGTTACATTTTCCCACTAAGTTGAATTTTGTAAACTGATCAGTATTTTTACCCATAATTCCACCAATTCAATAAGTGATACTATTTTCCTAACTCCAGATAGTCCTTTTTAGGCATTTCATTGTTCCTTTGTATTTTTATACTGCATTAAAAAGTCTTAAGATAATCTTTCACATTTGTTTTTGATGAAATATGATGGTTATCGTGTCTATTTTGTCAGCACCAGAGAAGGAAAAGTAAATTGTAGTCATGATCTAAAATATTGCAAATTGTTTTTAAGTATCTGTGAAGCTTGTTTGTCTCATTGTTGAAAACTTTTTTATTTTTTGCATATATCTGAATTTTTATCAATTAGAGGTCAGGGGTCAATACTGAGGAATACTTCTCTGAATTCTATACTGAAAACGGAAGAAAACATTGTGTAAGTTACCATGCAGAAGTCTCATTTTTACAGTCAGGGGTAGACTTAGGGTACAAGTTCAATGGTTGTAACATAATAAAATCATTTTTTGTTAGTTTTATCATACTTTCATTCATTTGTCAGTTTTTCTTGTTAATTTTGTACAAATGTATTTATGTAATATAAAAATGTTCTATTTATATATTTTGCAATTTGCAGGGAGATTTATCTCCCTTTACGTTAACATTTCCAAAATGATATTGTATAAAGACGACACTAATTGTATATTTTGCTATTTTGTAATGAAACCAAAGTTTGTTGTACTTTATTTGTTGTAATAATAAGATTGAAGAATTTGTAAGATTGGTCGTTTTGTAGAAGTTGTGTAGAGTGGACTAGAGTAAGTACTCAAATAGGGAAGGATTTCAACTTGAATGGCCCCACTGTGTATACTGATACTAAGCACGGTCCAAAGGCATGTTCAAGGTTGTTGAGTATTAGATAGATAATAATTTTGCAGTGCAAAAATTGTGTATTAAGTACAAAATAAAGAGTGCTATTTGCATGGTTAGTGTAAAACTGTAAAGAATTGTATGTGTTTAAGGTGTTTAAGAACATAGGTCATTTTAAGTATACAAGGGGAGCCATATAAGCAACTTTGTTTCAAAGAGAGTTATAATCTTCTGGGTGTTTTTTTGTTGTAAACCTTCCAAAATTTATCAAATTAAAATTCATCAAAACTATTGGTATATAAAAATGTCTATTAAGGAAATAAAAATATCTGAATCTTTATTTGTTTCCTCATTGTCAAAGCTGTGGGACATTAGAATTTTTTTAAAAATAGTGGAAAAGGAAAAAAATTATTCCTGCTTTTAATTTTTCTAATCCACTTCAAAAATTTCATAAGGTATACTTTTCATTTGACCTAATTCTACTGAACACAGGACAGATTTTGCTGCTGATAGAATTTGATGCACTGAACTTAAGAAAGGGCAATTATACAATTATAAGTAAGGATATTTTTGGACCCTAGAGATTTTAATGGATCTGTTTTTAGGAATTTTTGGTCTTCAATGCTCTTCAACTTCGTACTTTATTTGGCCTTTTTAACTTTTTTTGATTCGAGCGTCACTGATGAGTCTTTTGTAGACGAAACGCGCATCTGGTGCGAATACAAAATTTCAATCCTGGTAACTATGATGAGTTTTTTTTCATCGAATTAATTATGAAGACTGTATTGTACAGTTATACACAGTGGCATTCCAGTTTAGGTCATTGTAGAGAATTATCTTCGTTGTTTGTTGACAGTATTATAAAGGCATAAAAACAAAATTAAGAAATATGTCAAAAAACTTTAGTCACTTATTTTATTAGCACATAAGGCCAATTGTCTTGCACTGGTTTTTGGTGCAACTTAAAGATCATTAGAATATCAAGGCATTTTTTTCTATGTATATTTGTACTATTGTGATGTATAGTTTTTAATGTCTTTGAGATATTATCTGTAATGATGATTATATTATACATTTAATAATTTATTTCTGTTGAAACAAAACATGAAATATTGACTCATTTCATCAAAATGAAAATAAATAGAATAAAATTATTGTTTAATCTTGTTAAATTATTTTGCATGGATTGCCAGTTAGCATTGAAAATAGCAAACATAAGGAATCTTCAGGGTATATTATAAAAGTCAAGTATACTGGTTATTCAAAAAATCTTCTCAGGAACAGTTAGCTGTCATAGTTTTGACTTTGTACATGAGATGAAAGTGGGAGTTTAAAAAGGTAGCATGCTTAAAATTCCATTTGTATAAGTCGTTTCAGTTTCAACTAGAGGTGTTGCAAGCAAAGCTAATAAAATGATAACCCTTGCGTGAAGTCTATAATATGCATAAGAAAACTCTAAAAAGGGTTACTTAGAAAAAAAAACAATGAAAGGTGCGTATCATCTTTTTAAGGTTTAGATTCAGAGAAGTTATGATCAATTCTAATGAAAGGTTAAGGAGGAGTTGTGGATACAAAATGGGTACCCATAGCATTGGCAATTTTCATGATTTGTCAAGGCAGACCCCAAAATAATTCGGACCAAAAACAAAATGGGTTATGATGAATTCTTCCCAGAAGATGCCAACAAGTTGTTGAAGGTGTTTAGGAGGAGTTTTACACCCTGATAAAGCTGTGGCGAAGACCATTATTTGGTGAAAAAATGAAGTAGGTGCACAATGATATTATATGGTACAGATTTTGTAAAAGTTTCTAATTCTGATGGCGTTTTAGGATAAGCAGATATGACAAAAGTCCATGTTATGCGGAAGATAACCCTAAACTCATTTCAATGAAGAAATGAACTATTAGGGGGAAAGACGCATAATTCGAGTTAAACATCATCCCAGTTTCACAAAATTTTGTCGAGCATTTAAGGCCAATCAAAATTAATTGACAGATTTTCATCCCCGCCTGCCCCTCTGAAATTGTCCCACCAATCTTTTTTTTATTTTAAAAAATATACTTTAGTGATTAGAAAAATTTGGATATTTTTATTTGTACAATGACTTTGTGAAGGGAAATTTGGACCATAAACCCCCATATTCAAAAAATGAGAATCATGTCACAGTTACATGGTATGAAAAACATGATTGGAGTAAAGATTTACCCAATCACAAACTTGTGTGTTGTATTACACTGTTGAAGATCATATGAAATTTGAGTACAAAACAGATTTACTTCCGAATTATCCTTGTATGTTGACAAAACCCTAACACCCTCTAAACCCAGCCACTCATTAAAGTCATTAATGATGAAACAACTTCTTCTTTTGGGCCAGTTAATGTTTTAGGCAGTGATGAATCTTGCATGAATGTAAGAATCTCCAAAGATAATGGTTTTCAGTTATGTTCAATATGTTCAATCAGTACTCAATATACTTGTTTTTCATACCTATGAGTGTCGGGATTCTTGCTCTATACGGTAAACGGACAGAAAGTCACAAATTTGATAGGACAAAAAGTCACAAATAATTTATTGACAAATGTTTGAATATATAAGAGAAAGATCTTGAAATATTTTCTTTTTATTACATATATTCATTTTACAGTCATTAGCCTTGATAAATGAAAAATTATTGAATCTTAATCATGCAAATGATATATTTCTTGGCACCGCGAAGCCATTTAAGTACCAAGCCATTTTGACATTTTGTTTTCTTAACAATTATTTGATCATTATTGATATTTATTAAATAAATTTTAATTACACTCTCTTTGGATATCATACGTGAGGGTTTATCAATCTGGTGCGGATGATAATCACTGCAAGTTAGCCGTAGGGCCCAGGATGTTCCTGAAACACTAGTACTGCATCATTTTATAGACACTACACACATAGCTCAGAAAGTGAAAGAATATTGATACAAGTAGTTTAAAAACAGCATTTTTCCTACTTCCCATTTTTTGGTTCGTACTTAAAATTGGTTTTTAAAGCAATAAAACAGTGGTTGCCAACCAGAAATATTATTTCAGAATTTGAAAATTAATACAGATCATTATATATAAGTTATTTGTACAGAATTATCCTAAGTCCTAACATAGGAAGAACAACTAACAAAAGGGTTTCAGAGGAAATAAAAAGAAAATAAAATCCTCCCACCCGCCCCAAATCTTCCCAAAAGTTGGATTAAAATCTACTAATTAATTTTAGTTAGCCTAAGGACTAGATGCATTTGCGAAAGTTGGATGTATTCCAACATCACTGTAACTGCCTGCTTCAGAAAACGGTTATAGTTCTGTACCTTGTATATAATGTGCCTAATGGGGTGCAACTATTCGCTCATACAAACACTATTTATAAATACATTTAGCACAGAAGAACATCTTTGGTATCTGAAAAAGCTTGTGATCTATAGAACAATTTGTCATACTCCATCCTAATCAAGTTTGGACTGTTTTTGCACAGCTAAACGAGCTTGCATTGGTTACACTTAAGGATTATGTACCCTTTTGTTGTTTCAATGCTAAACATATGGAAATATGGTTCATCAAAAGGAATTGAAAAATATGGCCGTGTGTACACCACAAAATCTACTATGAGTTCAGACAAACTGATGCATCTACGAAAGTTTTAAGGTATGGCAGGACCTAGATATATAAAAGTTATATGTAGTCTATGTTTCAGAAAATTAAAAACTTTAATACCTGGATTTTGATGTGCATTTTTTTCCAGTCTGCAGAAGATAGCAAAATAAACAAACACGTGAGTTTCATTTGATACGGTCCACTCAGCTACACTGTTTAAATCGCCTATTGTTTGCAGATGTCTATTGTCTATATATTGTCCATTTAAATCAATACTACTCACAACATTTATTATATTAGGGGAGCTTCTTAAACCTCTTCCCCAACTTTAGTTTATTTTGGCACCTTCTGCAGAAATGAAAAAAAAATGAATAGCAAAATCCAGAAAAGTTTATAATTTTCTGAAACATAAAATGCATTTAAAATTTAATTATCTAGTTTCTGCCATGCCTTAAAACTTTTCCAGGTTCACAGGTTTGTCTGTACTCAGAGTAAAATTTGTGGTGTAAATACGGCCATATTAGCCAAAAGGTTATGATGAACCTTAACCAAAGCATTAATATATATTTTCAAAGAATACACTTTAATTGTTATACTCCTGCTCGTAAATATGATAGTATACTGTTTACCTCTGTCGATATATCCATAAAAATGTTGTCTTTTCTCAGCAACTGCTTACCATAGCTTCTTGAAATTTTGTACCAATTTTAATATTGGTAGGCTAAACCGTGTGCATATTTTCTTCATCAAGGTAGAAAGTGCTGAACACGAGATTCATTTTTTTCTTATTCATAAAAAAATCTAATAAAAGTATTTTTAGTGTTGGTTAGTAATTATCAACCAATAATATCCCAACCATCGTACAGTTGATCGTTGTTCAGAGTATCTAGTGATCTAACGATTATGTCAGATTATCTAAAGCATCGTACAGTCGATCGTTATACAGGGTATCTAGTGATGTAACTATTGTGTCAGATGATATCAACCATAGTACTGTCGATCGTCATACAGAGTATTAAGCGAACTAACGATTATGTCAGATGATCTCAACCCTTCGTACAGACGATCGCTATACAAGGAGTATCTAGCAATGTAACGATTATGTCAGACGATATCAACCCTCGTACAGACGACCGCTATACAGGGAGTATCTAGCGATGTAACGATCATGTCAGTTGATCTTAATCAACGTACAGTCGATCGTTATACGTAGTACCGTCGATCACTATATCGAGTATTTAGCGATCTTACGATTATGTCAGATGACATCAACCATCTTAGAGTCGATCGTTAATACAAGGAGTATCTAGCGATGTAACGATTATGTCAGATGATATCAACCATAGTAAAGTCGATCGTTAAACAGAGTATTAAGCGTTCTAACGATTATGTCAGATGATCTTAACCCTCGTATAGTTGATCTTTATATAAGGAGTATCTAGCGATGTAACGATTATGTCGGATTAAATCAACCATCTTACTGTCGATCGTTATACAGGGAGTATCTAGCGATGTAACGATTATGTCAGATGAATAATTACGTATTTTTGAAAGTTGAACGATGTTAATAATCTTTGAGGTAGATGCCACACTTTTGGGTTTTGAAATATAGGGTTAAAAAGTGGGCATGTGGAATATAGGGGGTAAAAACAATTTGGATCGTGGAAAAAAAGAAGGAAAAAAGGGGGAAGTGGAAATAAATACAAATAACATGTTGAAGAAAGACTATTTTGTGTTATGAATGATACACCATATCCATCTCTTCCATCAGAAATGTTTAAAATTTGAGCAGAGCATAGGCTAATACAATGAGACTATTGCATTTTATAAATCATAATGGACAACCCCTCCTCATTGATAACCATGAGTTCTTTTGTTAAATCGTTATAAGAAAGTCCCATTGGCCCTTTAATGCCATCTTCTTCGTTCAGAATAATGTCATGTTTCTGTCCATCCCGATATATTCTGTAAATAGCATTTGAGTCGACAGATGATACGTAAACGTCATTGTTATCATCAACTGCAATACCCATAAGACCGTTAAGTTCCGGGCTGTCGTAAAAAACTCGTTCTTTCCAGTCAGATGTCGTAACATATACTTTGTCATCATTGTCAGCTATATAGTATATTTCATTGGCTTTGTTCATAGAAATATACGACGGATCAGAGGTTGTTGAGATCTTTCTCTGTTCTACACCATCAATATCTACCAAAGATAAGCTACTATTACTATCACGAACACAAATGTTTCCATTTATACATGTAATTACTGTACATTCTAGTCCAACTCCAATATTACTACTCGGTTCTAAAGTATCAAGATCAACTATTTGGAAAAATCTTCTATAGGAGCTAACAAGAGCTTTGTTGTTGTCATATAGAGCAACTGCACACGGATTATATTGTAGCTCTATTGACCTAACATTTGATCCCTCAAGGTCACAAACATATATATTGTCGTAATAGCTGTTGGCTAAAAGTAATCTATTTCCGGGAATAAAACATCCGCAGTGAATGTTAACACCACCGTCAATTTCTGATGTCTTGAATGAAGTTAAAAGGCATAACCGTTTCTGGTCACTTTGATGTCTAGCCTGACCTTGTTGATCTATGTCTAATATAGCATCCCCACTTTTTACGCCTTTTGCAACCTTTTCGATCGAAATTATAGGTTTACAGCTTTGATGTGATTCTGACATACAAAAGTTACAAAGTACACGATCATGTTGACAGCAAAATAAAACAGTATTTTGGTCTGGATGGTATTCACATTTTCTGGAAGGTTCAATTAGTGTGGAACTCAGGTTTTGTACCCTCTGGATTGGTACAATCTTGTGAGGAGGGGACAATTTTTTGTGGAATTTGGCATAAGCATTGCAGACAGGTTCCCCACAATCATTGCACCTAGATCCTGCACTCATCTTATTTCCATCACTTTTACACCCAGCACAAAATATACCGTCCGCCATTCTGAAACAATAGGATAAAGTAAAGTTAGCAACAGAAGTTTTGAAATTGAAGTATGCAAATAAAACATAAGAGTGCACACGCTGAAATGTTTCGCCTGTTTTACTGACCATTGATTTTATGTTGAAAGTCTTAAAGGTAAAGATTTTGTGTTACTACTTGTATTACATAAACTTAACATTTTTAAAAGATCCATGACAATGAGGTCAAGGTCAGACAATCCTGTCGGATAGACATGTTCACCTTACAATTATTCCATACACCAAATATAGTTGACCTATTCTTATGGTAATTGAAAAACAGACCAAAACACAAAAACTTAACATTGACCAGTAAACCATGAAAATGAGGTCAAGGTCAGCTTATACCTACCGGACAAGCATGTACACCTTACAACCATTCCATACACCAAATATATAGTTGACCTACTGCTTATAGTATTTGAAAAACAGACCAAAGCTAAAACTTAACATTGACCAATGAACCATGAAAATGAGGCCAAGGTCATATAAGGCCTATCAGACAGACGTGTACATCTTACACACATTCCATACACTAAACATAGTTGACCTATTGCTTATAGCATTTGAAAAACAGATTAAAACTAAAAACTTAACATTGACCAATGAACCCTGAAAATGAGGTCAAGGTCAGATGAAACCTGCCAGACTGACACGTACCCCTTACAATCATTCCATACACCACATATAGTTGACCTACAGCTTGTTGTATCTGAGAAACTGACCTAATCATGTAACTTTATTTTAGGTATTTTTGTCCTATAGCTCCTCAACGGTTTCGGTACATATACATCCTCGGATTTCAAATGTTTGGCTTTGAGCGTTCCTGATGAAGGTAAATCCAGAAAAGCGCTTCGGACGCATGAAATTATTAAACGTGTTGTTTTCAATTTTTTACATCACTGGGTTGATACCTCTGCTGGTGGACTATCAGTCCCCGAGGGTATCATCAGCTCAGTAGTCAGTACTTCGGTACTGACATGATTTAACAAACTTTTCTAAAATTGTCCGTTTTTAAATTTTGAAATTATTAAGAAACTAAGGTTTCAACTCCCTCAGGCAAAGTTGACTTTAGATGAATTTGGATAATTATTTTAGGTATTTTTGTCATATAGCTCTTCAACGGTTTCGGTACTTATACATCCTCGGATTTCAAATGTTTGGCTTTGAGCGTTCCTGATGAAGGTAAATCCAGACAAAGCGCTTCTGACGCATGAAATTATTAAACGTGTTGTTTTCAATTTTTTAACCTTGATCACTGATCCATATGAGGTCAAGGTCAGGTGAAATCTGTCTGACGGACATAAAGACGTTGCAAGGAACCCATATAACCAAATTTAGTTATCCTATTACTCATAATAAGTGAGAAATTGACATGACATTATGAAATATAAAGCTTTATACAACTAGTTTATATCGCCGCCGTCGCCGGATAGTACTCTCTATGTCTCTCATACGGCGACGAAAGTCGCAGGCAAGACAACAAAACTATTTACAGTCAGACAGCATCATTAGATTTAGATTATAGACTGAATTTGTATCTCAAACACAATACATACGGCTGACTTATCCTTTTGTATAAATTTGGTATTTTACAACAACAATCGTCTGTTTCCTTTTGTGAGCTTTCTGCTGTTGTATTAGTACTGCGCAATTTAATGAAGGCAGCGGCTTATAATATCACGATTTTGTTAAAAAAATACTAACAAAGATTTATGAAATTAATTAAACTGTACATCATGGTGCTTATGTAATGCCTCTGGTCGATTATCAGCCCGTGCATCTCGTGGTTGATGGAGTTTCGGCCTATGCAACTGTATACACGCACTTTCTTTCATTTTAAGCAACAAAAGACCCATTTATTCCATAAATTATTCTTTTTATGGTACCATAATGTAGGAAGCATTATAATGCAAGATAAATATAAGTACAGGTTATTCGGCGCAAATAAATTCCGTATTTTGGTGCGATTGTTACCTTTACTTGAAAAATAATATTTGGCGAAAATGATACAACATGAAACTAGCAATTGGCACAAAAAGACTGCAGTCCTGTAAGCACTGTCGTCCATGTCATAACTGCATACGAGGACGCCTGATGGATTTAGATTCTATATTTATTTTATCACTTACTTAGTATGCATGTCTAATTCTATGCCCCAAAATATATTTAAGTGTTCCTGTATTAATTTTTTTATCTGAACCCCACCTATTCGTATCTGCAAAAATATCGACAATGTAGAAATTTACAAGCCGACAGAAATTCCCTATTATGGTCAGGAACGTGACAAAACAGAGAGTAAGCACAGCGCGGTTTATAGATTTCATTGTGTATTGAATTCGGTGCTCACACGTCCGCACTTTTGTTGGGAAATGTCACATTTTCTTTCTTTATTTACTGATATTTATATGCATATTGAATGCCTATTTATTTTGTCCAACTACTTACAAGCTTTACTTACATTCATATGTAGATATATATATACATAAGGACTTTATAGGATGACAGAAATGTCAGAAGTATATTTTGTTTATTTATTGTTAATTATGTGTTTAGTACATTCATGGGGGTAGTCGAAATTCTGTATCACTAGCCTGTCAACACGGAGGTTGTTAGTCCGGATCCTGTTTAATGCATCTGCCCCCTTTGATGGGAAAAAAATATCATTATTTTGCTTAAAATCGTTTTTAAATAATCCGGTATTTTTTTCCATTTTGGACAGTTACGCCCTTTTCCTTAGATCCTGGATCTGCCCTGAAACTTGTAGTTATTTTACATTCACTTAGTCAAATATTTTAACATTTTTCATAAATAGTTTTATTAAAAGAATTATATTACTACAAACAAATCTATTTTGTACATGAAAAATAAAGAAGCAATTTCTCATGTATACAACTAGGAATGAACTATATTTTTATCAGTTACAAACAGCTGAAAGAGATAATGTACTATATACCACAGTGTAGATACTATTCTGTACGCCATCCGCGATGTCGCGATTTTCGAAGCGAGAACTTTTTGGATCACATTTTAAATTTGATGGATATACTGAATTAAACGGTAAGTTGATCATCTGTACATTGCTTAATGATTAATTCAGCTGACATCGATATTCTCAAATGGTTTAGAATTAAATTCAGCACATTCATTATTCGTATCTTTGCCTTAATCAAGAGATTTTCAAGTGCATCACTCAGGAAAATCAGTCGGTGAACCTAAAAACAATCTTTTTACCCTCTTAGTGTACAAATTAACGTAAAAACCAGACGTAATTAACTAAATGAAGTATATTTCAAGTGGTGGTAAAAGTTTCAACCAGATCTTTGAAGCCAGAAAAAAGAAAATTACACTTGTTTGAATTTCTCACTGTACGATCAGTCTCGCTTGTATATTTTGAAACTGTATGCATATGATCAGTCTTTATTTCACTGTATTCTAGTGGTGATTTCAAAGTTATTTACGGTACATTAGAAGGTGGCATTTTTCTAAATAACACAAATATATTTCAATAAATTCACATCCTGAAAACTTATGAAACATGTTTTAGCTTGATGGGGTGTACTCGACTTACTACATTAAGTATAAGGATGTTTAAATGTTGCTAAAATAAGAGGAAGGTTTGTTGTATATATAAGTTTCAGAAATGTCCTCCGTTATACTTAAAATTGTACAAACACACAGATTTAATTGTTATATAAAAATGCATGTATTTACACACATTCGAGGCCGTACTGTAGCCTATAATTGATCACAGTTCCTTCTTTTTGTTTTGGATGTAGAGCTGTCTCTTTGACACTCAATTGTACACCACTTTGTAAAGCGGGGGTTTATAGTGATAATGAAGTCCGTCTTTCCGTTGGACCGGTACAATATGTTTCGTCGGTTTTGTAAGTGCATCTCCTCATAAACCACTTAATATACATTGTGGGTTCCAGCCATTTTTAAATGGAGAGGGGGTCCAATCCAGGAGAAAAGGGATTCCAAATATATGTTCCCATACAAATGCCGTCTACAAAAATCATCAGAAATATATATGTATTGTCTGATGAAAGAAATTACACGTTATAGTTCCCTGGACAGTTCATAATATCACATAGACACGTATATACCTTCAAATTGCCGTTGTTTCTTTTTCAAAATTACGACTGGTCATACAGTCAAAAAATCTGAAATCGCTTCTAGAATACAGTCAGTTCTAGACTGATCGTACAGTAATTTATTTTGGGATCCTCAAGAAAAACATATTTTATTTATAGGAAATACGAATATTCTACTTAAATACGAAAAGAATATTGAAACAGTATATATTTAACTGTAAACTGATGCAAATATTTGCATTAAAAGATTATTTGCTTTGTACTACGAGAGCAAAATTGTCCATCGATTTCACTTTTTTCTATCAAGTTGGTGTGATGCACACGTATATTTTATATTCTTATGCATGTTTTTGTTACAGTTACTCATATTTATGATGCTATACATACCTTGAAGATGTTCAAAGCACTTTGTAGATATAGGAGTAAACAAATGATGAGAAAAGTCACTGTAGGCAAAACCGTCCTTTTAGCCAGTTGGAAATCATCGCTTCGAAAATCGCGACTTCCAGATAGCGTACAGAATAGTATCTACACTGTGTATACGTGGTCTCGGGAAGCTTCGCTTATGTTCAACATAGATTTTATTTATTTTCGTCAATGTAGGCCTGTATGTACAGTGTTTTGATCCCACAATAAATTAGTATAGTACAGTTCTATAATTAAAGCTCGTTGTTTTTGTTTTTACTGGAAATCCGGATATTTAAAACGACTATCATATAAGTTTATTTAGATCTTGATGCCATCAAATCCTGATTCTTTTATCCTGCTCTGTCTGAAAATAAGATAAACTTCCTTAAAAACTCTCCCTTATTATTGAAATCGATCACTTTAAATTTATAAATGTCATGGTGTAAATAAAGTAAACAATAAACAATATACATATGTACATACAATACGAGTACACTCATATTGTACACGTAATGACCGACGATTTTAACTAGATTATGAATACCTAAACAAGAAGATAAGAGATTGTAGCTATACACGACACACCTACCTGGTTCCACTGGTTTAATAAAACATCTTTCCTTTAAAATAGACTTAATATTTCCGACAGGAAAGGGGAAGTAAACCCAGCATTCTTTTGTTCATATTAAATATAATTTCCGCGAAAATTTAAAATCCAGTTTAAGTAAACATGGTTAATGTAAAACTCTTTCATTTCAAGGTATATAATTCATTTTAAAGGTGCATTTAATAACTGTCTAAGACAAAGTATCTAAATTATTAGTATGTCCAATTTTTAAACATGTAAATGAATGATTATTTAAGAAATTCAATACTCTAATATTTGTTGTTATTTTTTATTGTAACAGAGACATATAATATGTATTATATATATATTTATTTTTCATATGAAAGCCGCTGTCTCATTCTTTTTACTGTACAATTGTCTGTTTTATTGTTTATATTTATTCATGCCTTAATTATAACCATTTAATGTAAAAAAAGTGTTTGTGCAAATAAATATTGTATATTGTCTATTTCAAAGAAATTACTAGTAACCGTTTCAAGATAATCACTATTTTTGGTAACAATTAATTGTGAATAATTGATTGATTGGTGCTTGATTAACATCCTGTGGCCAATATTTGATGCATATTCAGAACGTTTAATCATATTGCAGAATACATCACAAGCTTTGGCGTTGACATGGAATATCCTTGATGTTGTCATTTTCTTTAAAGAATAATTAATATCAGATAACTGCATGTCATTTTTCGAGTGCCGAATTACTATGCGACAATGCTTTCATATGAGCTCGCTAAGCACAATTTTCGGAGAAGTATTTTTTTTAAAGCTAATACCTTCTTTAAAAAACACTACGTTATTTACTGTAATGTTAAAACAGTATTTATCCTCTGAAATTGCAAAAAAAAGACGATAAATTTGTTCAGACTTTTCAAAATAGACACCGACCATTAATTTTTTTCTAAAGACAAACAATTTTCTCGATATTTGATGATAAAAAACTCAATATTTTAATAACAATCAGGACCAAAGAATTATTTAAAGTTAATTCATTTTTTTCCAATTTTATTACTTATTTTCAAAGGAAACAAACTATTGTTTTCACCTCTCTTTTGGGAATTCTTTTTTTTTTAAACTATTTATTTTTAAAAATCCTACATGCCGCGACTCCAAATGATGAATGGTCGATGTCTGTTACATGAAGTTCTATTGAAAGATGAATAGGATGATCAAATACGAACACTTCAAATCGGAAACGTCAGTTGTGGTCTCACAAGGACACAATAAACATGTTCACATTGGCATAGTTTACCTAAAATGACAATTTTATATATTCTGGAAAAATAAGTTATGAGCCAAGGTCTTACACCTAACCATATTTTACCCGAAAATGATTCACTCCTTTGAAAAAGACATCTCGAAGCATACTGTATTAATTATTGGGTAGGCCTTTGCTCATATGATTATAAACCTTGAAATGAGACTTTTTTTAAAGGGTTTGCACCTTTGCAATAAATGCAAAAATGTTGAAGCCCTAACACCGATATGTAAACATAATTCAAAAATATAAATATTAACTAGAACACTGACTGAATTAAAGTACCTATGCCTTATCTTTAGCCTGGATTTTTAGTATTCGTATTGTCATCTGATAATATAAAGTCATTCTGTTTATAAGGTGAACAGTTTTCTCTGCTTTCAAATCTTTCTGTTTGAACCCATCATGGTTTTCTTACTACAATAAACTTACTTTAAACTAAATTTAATTTTCTAACTAATTAACCAAAAGTAATAGTGGTATTGAGGTGGATGAACACAGACTTCTTAAAAAGTGAACTATAGTGTAACATAAATATAGAATAACTACTGGAAGAATTCCAGATTCTCCTGATAGAGTAGGGATTTACAGAAGGTAACATGTGACATATATACTATTGGTATCGGTATCGGATTCGACCCGGAACTTGTTAATTATTAGGCCACATACCACAATTAAATTCTCTATTAGTTCTTTTTAACGTTTTGTTTCATTAAAAAAAATGCACCGGTTCTTTTTGTCAAATATTTTGTGTGTGTAAAGTACAGTACTAGTCCAAACCAGTGGCGGATCCAGAGGGGGGCGTAGAGGGCGTACTTTGCTTGAACTTTTTTTTTTTTTTTTTTTGTAAAATGATGAATCAGACTAGACTTCGTGAACTTTGCCATTTCCCGGTCGTGTATTTAATTTTTATGCGACAATTCTTTACTTATAAAGATATTTTTCGCTCGTATTTACTGTAATATATTATTGATTATGTCAGTCATATGTTTCGCTACGGTGGAGTTGATCTGTACTTTTGAAACGTCACTCAGTCATT